CATTGTTCCTCAAGAAGCTGCCTCACCGAGGGGCACATACCAAGTCCATCGGTAGAATGACGTCATGCCGAACGCGGAGCTGAAGAGCAACATATGGCCACTTCGGACCGGTAGCCGTCGTGAAGGCATGCCGCGAGGTTCGATACCTAATCGGGAAAGACCGGCTACTTCGGTGTGGCTTGGAGCGAAGCGCGCGCTTGGCCGAGCGGCGTCAAGTGGCCCTATTGTTCGCCGAATGCGGAAGATGTTCCGAGATCTACGCACGAGGCATCGGGACGACCGTGCCGAGCTTCGAGTAAGCGTCGCGCACCGTCGAAGGTGTCGAAGAGCGTCGAAGGCGAAATCGAAGTGTTGGGAGACTGAGTCGAAGTGCCGGGCGGGATGCGAGTGCCGAAAAGAGGTGAATCGGGGCCCAGAGGGGCTTGGCGCCTATCACCGGTGCACCCGGTATTCCATGTCTCCTTGCTCAGCAAGTACACGCGTAGCGATATCCCAGGCCGGGAGCCGGAGGAGCCGCCTGCGATTGAGGTTGAGGGCGACGAGGAGTACGAGGTTGAGCGGATCAAGGATTCGAGGATCTTCCAGCGTCAGCTGCAGTACCTCGTCAAGTGGAAGGGTTATGACGACTCGCGTACGTCATGGGAACCGGCGCGCAATGTTGCGAATGCACCAGCCCTCATAGCCGACTTCCACCGGAAGAACCCGAACGCCCCTCGCCGCCTCAATGCTGCTACCTTTGGTGGTCTCAACTTCCAGCCAATGCCTTCGCCACTGACTGAAGCACGCTGCCGCTCCAGGTGGGAGATGGGCAAGGGTGCCTCGCATGAGGTCATGCGCCGTTGAGGGGGGGGTAATGTCACGAGTTGGCACGGCGTCTAGCCGTTTTTTTAATTTTTTCCTTTTTGCGGGCTCGAACCCGCGACCTCTGTACTACTTGCCTGATACGAACGCGTTATTATCTACTGTACGATTAGATTAGATGGGGCGGCAGTGCACGGCACAGCTCGGGCTCCGCTGACACAGCCGCTTTGACTCACCAGCCCCCGTGGCCGCGTCGGCATGCTGCGCACGGACCAGCTGCGCACGGACCAGCGCGCACAGCCTGCCCTTATCTCCTCATGTATATAAGCCGGCCTCTGCTGCCCTAGGGACCTTAGTTTCGACCTCTTGTCCCTAGGTCAGTAAGCATCCCTTTGCACCACTTTCTTACTCATACTAACTAATACATTTTCTTGTCCCTAGCCTTAGGTTTGAGCCTCGCTCACCATCGCTTCGGTGAGAATTAGTCGGACGCCCCCAGCTTTTTAGGTTTCCCCAGTTGCTTGACCCCAAGTCGCGACAGGAGCCCGAGCTGTGCCGCGCACTGCCATCCTATCTAATCTAATTGTACAGTAGATATGATGCGTCCGTATCAGGCAAGTAGTACAGAGGTCGCGGGTTCGAGCCCGCAAAAAGGAAAAATTTAAAAAACAGCTAGACGCCGTACCAAGTCGTGACAGTTCTGTACACACCCTAGTTTGCCAATCCCTATTGAAGTTCATCTAAGACCCGATGCGAGAATGATCGACAAAGATATATCGCATTTCTTTGAGCTCTGTTCGAATGCGTAAGGAACACACAAAGACTCCGAGTCGCGCAAAGTCGGTGAGGTACTACAAGAACAACACCAAATACGATGGCATGCGCTCGCCACAATCCCAAATTCCAACACAGGCGTCATTAGAAGCAGTCAACTTCGAACACAAAGACCTCTGCATTTGATGAACACCTCGGGTGTATTGGTATATGCTGATATAACCCATCAGGTCTGCTCGAGTTCCTAAAGGTTACATAGTTAGTCACGGAAGTGGAGTCAAATGATTGCAACTAATGACTACCTGCATTGACAGCTTTCCCCAGTGGTCCACTGTGACGTCCATGAAGGTTGGCAAATCCTGCCAGATAGAATGCATCATCTCATCTGACGCAGTCTGTACCATGCTCAGACATGCAGGGCAGAGTCCGGAGAGATTGAAGGGAGCTGAGAAATTCCACATAACGTGAAAGAAGCCCTCTCTAATTGCCTGCGAAGGTAGCTCCGATAAGGCAGTCTTGCATTTGTCTTTGCCAGAGCACCCGCTGCTACACGCAAGATCAAATAACCACGTAGCCCTATCCTGAACAGCGGCCAGAAGTCGGTCGTGACCTTGTAGCACCCTGACCTTATCTTCGGCAGATAAGGACTCCAAAGTACCATCGGGTTGACGGACTCCATTGACGAACTTCGCATACGCCACTCGGGTACAATGGAGTAGTGCGGCAGGGAGAATGGACATGGTGTTGGTAGAACGCGCTATATTGACCACCAAAATCGCGTAGTCCGCAGAAGGTTTAGTAAGTTTAGTCGCACATACGTCGCGCCATGCGGGCAAAGTGGTCGGATAGTATGCCTTGAGACGAACTGATGTATCCTTGTAGAGATCTGCGAGATCATACTTGAAGGCGATGCGCAACAGAGACACGATGAATGGGAATGACATCTCTTGATGATGTATGCGATACCTGCTGGCAAGAGTTAATGACAACGTGGATGTAAAAACGAGGAAATGGCCTCCTTTTTGCTATAGTAGAGCACCGAGAGCAGGTTTGTAATGTCTTCGACCGCATCTGAAAGTCGCACTACGGGGCAGCCATCCAATTGCTCAGATTTAGGAGCTGGAGTGAGAGCTTTCGCTAATGTAGGAGAATGACGAGAGAGTATGCTTTTATGTACGCGGAATGCCACCTTCCCGGACGAGATTACGATGTTTCCATCTTCGTACCAGAGGTCTTCATGCCGCTCAAGGTCGGCGGCCTTGAACCCTTTGATGTCCTCTGAAGAGCTTTCTTCGTCATGATCTTGATCTGCGTGAACTCGTTTCCGAGTTGCACTGGCAGAACTCACGGTGGTTGACCGAGGCATTGCCAGCTTCCAATCCGTGCAGCTGCACTTGAGAATCTGGGCTCGATAACAGATGAAGTCAGCAGCCATGGGCAGAATGTAGGATTACACACCAGATACGCGACACAGCGATTGCTAAGACGGGACCACGTTCCCAAGAGACGTTCCGACTAAATATACATGCGCCCTGCCAGGACCCCGGAGAATTCTCCCCAGAGCTCTGATCCCGTGCAGACCCGTCTTCGGGGGTCAGCCCGTGGACGGTAGCTGGACCTGATCAGTCGAGCATGACATCGTACTGAGTCGCATAAAGGGCTTGAGATACTATATGCATAACCGTACGAACGTGTGCATTACCGAGCGAGTCCGGTATGTATCAACTGGGGAAGTAACCGGCGCCCAAACAAACTGACAGCTGAACAACTACGCGTCGGTGCATCACTGTCCAAGATCGAGAGCAGTGATAAGTCCGAGCTTTTACTCCTCCGGGGCGTGGTGGGAAGAGGCTCAGTCCCAGCCAGGATGTCTCAGATTGAACGTGAGATCAGCATGTAGATGTCACGGACGCGTTACGCCACGCGACAATGGGAGTCAGCCACAGCCTGTGGCTGCTCGTCTTCACTTCATTGCCACTGCAGTGTATCCCGCCCCTTAACTCCCAGTCGACAGGTCATTCAGGTCGCACTCGCACTCCCCTTGAAGTTCACAAGCAGCCTACAACACTTCGCCAATGCATCAAGCTCTGCAGATCGTCGACAACCTCCATCTCATTTTCCAACAACTGGTCTCGGACGAGAAGACACCCAGAGAATTTCTCCAAGTAAATCAATGCGCATTGAGTCGTGCAGCCCGTATCTGCAAGATCTTGAAGAACCCTGCACTTGATGCGCTCTGGGCCTATATAGATGATATACAAAACCTCCTCCGTGTTCTACCCACCCTAACGAAACCAGGACTGCCGACATACGTGAGTATCTCATAAAGTTATGTCGCCTCGTTTTTTTGACTCGACGTTATACAAAATACTAGCATCTAGACGGAGAGACTTGCGATCGCGATTGGGCCAGATTCCAAGCTTACGCTCGACGGATCCACCGTATCTATGGATATTTCGGTTATATGTCTTCGGCCACTTTCTCACAGCTATCACAGCGCAACGGGCATATGCCTCTTCTCCCGAACGTAGAGGCCCTAGTGGGATATTGCTCTGCATACGGTATCCTGACCATCGTCGGCAACCGGTTACAAGAGCTGCATTACAACGCTGATTCTGAACATGAGGAAGACATGGATTCTGCAGACTGAGTCACAGTCAGCGAGCGTTTTCGCGTCCTGGCCGAAACATCTCCAGCTGTCAATGTCACCCGCATGGAGTACGTCCCGTTGTTTTGTCTTCAGGCACCGCTCGAACACTGGCATGCGCTGCGGCGTGTGGACTTGATTCGAGCTCGCAGACGTCTGGATGGTGCGATTCTGAGGACTCTTTCCTGTCTCGAAAACTTGGAAGATTTGACGCTGCATAATTGTTATATTACAACAGCGGAGAATCATCCTCGATGTCGCTTCGCTGCACTCACCAATCTCGTGGTCTCTGACACCCCCGCAAGATTGAGGGATCTGTTTATGGCTATAGAGACACCTGTTTTACAGATTCTCTCCTTGAATTTTTATGCTGAAGACGACTATCCGAACCTGCTTCGAGACTGCTACCGCTGCCTAGAAACAATGGTGGAGACATGCTCATTATCCCTGCAGCGATTGTTCATCGTTGTCGCGCTCCTATATGAACCCAAGGTCATCCCTTTTATCGACTTCATTCCGCTTCTTTTCGGTCTTCACAGCATCGTCAACCTCACCGTCGCTCTGATGGACGGCAAGAGTTCGAATAACTTGAAATCAGAAGACATGCAGCGTATGGCCAGGGTGTGGCCCCACATCGACTCTCTGTGCCTGCGTTATGAATTGGACGTCGAGGTGCCCAATGTTCTCCCCGTCGATGCTCTTGTTCCCTTCGCTCGATACTTCCCCGACCTGCGGGTCCTTGATCTCTCCATCGTTGCCTCTAACGTGCCCATGGATCTGGAGGACTATCCAATCTTCAGCCACAAGCTGCGCATCCTTAACATAAGATTATCTTGCCCACAGGGCCCTGCATGCATTGTAGCACGCTTCTGAGATCGCCTGTTCCCTTACCTGGACATCAGTCATTGCCGCCTGATGTTCGATGATCATGCATGGTCGTCGTGGCAGGATCTTGTCGGACGTTTGGCGGCGATTCAGGCAGCCAAAAGCCTAGAAAGTGATAACGACTCTGCGTCAGCGTAGATGGGCTGATTCGTTCAAGCGTGTACCTTCTTGTGTTGTATTCTGGTCGTTCCTTCGTTCAAAATATGATTCCACTTGGTACTTGGACCGTAGACAAGATTACGTTCCTAAGAGGCGTTCCGACTATGCACGCGTGCCCGCTCTGCTGGGCCCTCGACGCTTCCTCCCGCGCAGGTCCCTTCTCGGGGGTCAGCCCGTGGACGGTGGCCAGACTCGGCGAGTCGAACACGGCAGCATGCTGAACCGCACAAAGCGAACATGTGCACGACCAAGCGAACGGTGGTATGCATCAACTGCGGAGCAACCGGCGCCCAAACAAAGCGGCAGCCGCGCAAATACTCCGTCCAAGATCGAGAGCAGGCACAAGTCCGAGAATATACTCCTCCGGGGTGTGATGGATTAGTGGGGACAACACATGAGGCACGAATTTAAAGAGCAGCACTCACGCATTTCGTGTCCATCCACATTGTATAGAATGGAGGAAAGGTTGACTCGTTTTTGCACGATTTATGGAATGGCAACAGAGACATACAGCTGTCGTACGGCGTAGGACAGCTGATCGGCAAGACAGGACTCTGACATCCACACAGTATCCGGTATTGCCCGTGGTAAAGATGTAATTGTTGTCGTCGAAATCACATTAACAGACTATGTCTCCTATAAGCGCAGGTCTCATGAGCTCGCAAGGCAGGTGAACGGCAGCTTGTTCAGCTGGCGATACACTGCAGCCTGTAATTCTGCATTCGCTTTCGCCTTGGTAGTCGCCTTTAACACCGACACACTGATGAAACATCCGCCCGCTGCAATGTCGTCTTTCTCGGTAGGGAGCACCGTGCTCTCACACGTCCGAATATCCTCCTGTCCGATGTTGGCGAGGTTCCGCGAGAACACCCACTTGTAGTCCGACGGGTTCATGCAGCCGTCGATCGCGGGGTAGTTAACGTTCACAGTTACGCCCTCAGGAAGGAGCGGCACACCCGGTGTGACATTCGTGCGAGGATCGTCTGCATGTAATAGGTCGTGAGCGCGGAATATATCCACGAGGACTCAGAAGACGGCGCGGTCGGATCGCTTTGGAGTGTCGTATAGGAGACGTGGGCACCGGTATCGCCGGAGGACGCGGTGGACGGAACGCCAAGCTTCGCAGGCCGCACCGCTGTGGAAGGTGATGGATGCGTCAGATGTACCTGTAAAACGTCCGATACCGAGGCAAACACATACACAGTGCTCGACCCGTGAGCGCCGAGGCCGAGGGTGTCTGATTAACGCAGCGGTCAGTGGCTTCGTGACGTGATGGACGGCCTGTGTACGCACTGCCGATGTTGGGGCCGCTATCGACAAAGTCGGGTTCCTTAGTGAAGAACTTGGGTGACAGTATCTTAATCCCGTAGTTGGCGGCATCGACGCTATATTCTTAGTGAGATACCGACAAATATTGAAACAACCTCAACGTACGGATACGCGTTAACGTAATTTACCCGGGCTGCATTCACACAACGTGAATCGAGGCAGAAGGATTATAGTTGCTGGGAGCAGGTCCCTCTGGCGGGGACCCGACGGGACAGGTGTCATATTCGCAAGGCTCCTTGAGCACTGTGGGTGTAGTAGTTCTGGACCCCGTTCCAGACTTGTCCTCGGAAGGACATGAGAGCACCACCTACGCGAGCGGTCAGTCTAGATCAAACTAAACAGCATTCTGAGAACATATGTTGAATCCGGCCTTGGTCAACTCACGGTACTGTGCACTTATTTGTGCAACAACCAAGCCATCGTCATTGGTAAGGAGAATGTCCTTAGCAGAGAGGGTAAAGATAGAGGCGAAGGCAAGTGCCAGCCACAGCCAAGCAGAGGAAAGCATACTGGCTCTGAATTGCCCGGGGGATTCCTTGGAGTCGTCTGGAGGGACTGCAGTCTCATGCATAGTCGTCGCCGTCTTTAAATCATACAACGTCATGTCATTAAGCGAGCTGCGTGCGCATTCGTGGCCCCATCAATCTCGAGCAGTCGTTGGTCAAAGCTTGTTACCACTGGTATATTATTCAATAGGACACTATGAGTGTCCGTCGGGCTGCTTTCATCCCCGAACGTTCCTCCATAAGAATATTTTGACAGCCCAGCGCAAGGTACCGGCGAGAATAGCACGCGAAGAAGAACACAGTTGCAAGAAGCACGAGACCGTGATCGAATATCCAGATAACTGTCCGCAGCGGCGGTACTACTCGCTCAGGAGCTCGGAAAGCGAATGGCAACCCAGTCAGCCGCAGATACACGTCCGCCTGCAGCTCCGCATCGACGTCCGCCTTTGTAGTGGCGTTGAGCACTGAGATTAGAGGTGCTCCCTTAACATCCCGCAGTGGCATGTGCGTCGCTCTCTGTCGGAGGCCGCTTGTTCGGATGTACCGCTAGCCAGTGCTGGCAAGGTTCCTCGAAAACATACATTTGAAGTTCTCCGCTTTATGCAAGCTAGAGATGATAGGTTATGAGTTGCAAGAAGCAGCAGAGCGTGGGCGAGCGGAGAGGTAATGTCGCGCTTCCATTCGTCCTTACAACGGTCTCAACGGTCGCGAACTAGGTACAAGTGACCTTGCACGGGTTGTCTGAGCAGTGTATAGCAGAAATAGACGTTGGGCGTGGACTCCGACAGATGGTCGGATTCAAGGTAGCGAACAAGAAGTTATTTGCCAGAAGTTTGGCGTTTGTGACGCTCGCCGCGTTCCTGCATAGGATGGTCGGTGGCAGCACACAAGAGGTGGTGGTACATGAGAGGTGGCGGCATACAAGAGTGTATACATAACGGGCCAGACAGGTTGTTAGTCTGCGATTGGGTACTTACAAGTCTGCAATTGGGTTCCGAAGTGCGCTACTGAACACAGTGCAAGCGGGCTCGTCTTCCAGGTCTGGAGACAATGGTTCGCGTTTTAACGTCAAACGTCTCTGCACTACGCGAACATCCATACAGGTTATTGGGTGAACAAGAGCATCCTCTCGAATTCAGAAATACTCACCGCAGTTCTTGGTGCAAGTCGCGTCCCGTCACGGGCAGCTACGCGTCGGCTCGCGTTGGTCACAATTTGGTCACATCGTGAGAATCGCCTTCTACTTGGGGGTACCTTGCTCAAGACCTACTTGACTGTACATAGACAATCACCTCTGCTACCCCGGCGCAAACCACCAGTAGTCTTCAGTTTCCCGTGTCATTTCTCACTTAGAATCTGCATTACACGGAGCGCGTATCTCCTGACATGCTCTCTGGTTTGCTTCCGAGCGCCCTTCAGTATCTCATCGCGTCGCTTGTCTGGTCGAAGGAGCCCCTGTCCGAGCCTTTCCACCCGCAGAGTCTCGCATTCGAACTGCGGCATGAGCACGGGCTGTCTTATCATGATCGCGTGGTCTTCCGAGATACAGTGTCATCCGCCTTGACCCAACAGGACTTCACCCTAACGTCCAGTCGTGTCAAAGTCCACCGACCTGCCTCTGTGGCAGACTTTATGAGCGCAAGGTTCAGACAGTCGAGTACGATTCCGTGGGACGAGACGGAAGTCGAGGGGCCTGATGTGACGAACCGGCAGACTCTACAGACCTTGGCTAAGATGGCCGCAAATGCATACCAAGAGCCCACCGACAAAGAATGGTACGACCTCGGCGCTGAATGGAACAACGTACGTCTGCTATATCAATAAGCCCTGCGCAGAGAGAGACCTTGTTGTGCTGCAGAGCTATCCCTTCGGATGGGAACCAGACGCTGATGGCTTCCGCGGCCACATCTTTGCGACACCCGATAATTCGACGGTGGTCATTTCTGTGAAAGGCACCTCCGCTGGGTGGTATACAGGCGGCGGAGGCCCGACGACTCGGAAGGACAAGCTCAACGATAATCTTCTGTTCTCCTGCTGCTGCGCGCGAGTCGGCCCGACTTGGTCGACCGTGTGCGGGTGCTATGAAGGCAATTATAAGTGTGACCAAGGCTGCTTGGAGAAGAGCCTGGCAGAGGATAGTTTGTTTTACTCTGTGGGAGTTGTAAGTTGTGCCGCCGTCCATCCATACAAGACGCATGTTGATCAATCTACCAGAATTTGTACAACAACGTAACGTATATGTATCCTAACTCTAATATTTGGCTGGTTGGTACGCATGGTGACTTTGTCTCCTATATGTGATCCGACTAATGTTTTCAGGCCACTCTCTGGGAGGCTCGCTCGGGTCGCTTGTTGGTGTCACATTCGGTGTCCCCGCAGTTGCGTTTGAGGCTCCAGGTGACAAGCTCGCCGCCAAACGGCTTCACTTGCCTTCTCCTGTGAGTCCTTTCTATATGTCGTTCTGTACAAAGACGACTGACAGACGGATTCGCAGCCTTCGACGCAACACGTCACGCACGTCTATCACACGGCCGATCCTATTCCTCAAGGTACTTGTACAGGTGTAAGATCCGTTTGCGCCATTGCGGGCTTTGCGCTCGAGACCGGGTTCGGCTTTTCTTCGTTGTTTGGAGATGACCTTTTTGACGAGCTATTTGTACAGATGCCACATAGGCAAGGTCATCCGCTATGACACCGTCTCAAAGCTGGGCTGGTCAGTCGACGCGCGAACACATGGCATCCATGTCATAGTCGACAGACTGCTAGCCGAGGATTGGGACAACGAGGACAGTGGTATCAACATGACGATCCCGGGGTTCTACGAAGAAGAAGATTGTGTGGTGAGCATCGTTTGCCGTCGTGTAAATGCGTGAACTGTTCGTTACTCACTTCAACGTACTACAGGATTGCCACAATTGGGAGTTTGGCGACTTCCGTAACGCGTCGGTGGCCATGTGCGCGTCGATTCCTTGAGAGGTGTTACATCCATGTCTGGGCTTGTACTATATAATTCTCGGTCTATACTCGTGTACTACACTATGATTATCTGCGTACGATAGCGTTCCATGAAAGCTAATCCGGCTTCCCCGGTTTGCGGGGTAAGTTGAAATTGATATTGAATTTGACTGCGCATCGGAGGTATATCGGGCTGCCGAGGTGGCACCACTTTACACAGGTCTTCCTCGTCGCCAGCGTTCTGCTCTCCCTAACTCGCTACTTCGAGGTCGTTGTCGAGCAGCACCTCAGCAGCGTCGAAGATATGCCTCGCGTGCCGTCAGTTTCTCCCGCAACGGGAACCGCTGTCCCGCCCTACTTCATCCACACCATTGAGAGCAGCTTCGTCGATAACGCTGGTCGCACGCTCCTGCTACGCGGTGTCAATCTCTCAGGCGCGGACAAGGCGCCAGCAGGCAAGCCTTCCTACATCCTCGACGACTTCTGGGAATCTGGCGAGAGCGGCGAGGGCAGCTTCATTGGGCGCCCGCTCAACCTCGAGGATGGCTCAGCGGATGTGCACCTCGCTCGATTGAGGGGGTGGGGCTACAACATGCTCCGATACGTCGTAACATGGGAGGCCCTTGAACATGCCGGACCGTGAGCATGTCAGTGTAATGTCGTATGGCTGTGTTCTGACCACTGACCAGTGGGCAGCTCGACGATGAGTTTATGGACTATACTGTACAGGTCCTCCGCAAGTGCAAGGAGTACGGCTTCAAAGTATACATGGACCCTCATCAAGATATCGTGCGTATTGTGTGCCCTTCGTAGTCTGCAGTTGCTCACCGCCCGCGCAGTGGTCTCGCTTCTCAGGAGGGTCGGGAGCACCGTACTGGACGCTTCCGGCCTCTGGGCTGAATGCGCGTCATTTCACGCCCACTCAGGCAGCAATCGTCCATTGTGAATATCCCACTGCCTCCGAACCCGATCCCGTCAACTTCCCCGCGATGATCTGGGGCACGAATTACGGGCGTCTCGCGTCGCAGACACTCTTCACGCTGTTCTTCGCCGGACGCGTCTTTGCGCCAAAGTGCGTCATCGACGGACAGAACATCCAGGATTACTTGCAGAGCCACTACATCGCGGCTTTCAGCGCGCTCGCAGACCGCATCCGCGACGCCGGGGACCTGCTCGACGAGTGCGTGATCGGGTGGGACAGCATGAACGAGCCGTACGAGGGCTTCTGCGGGTACGACGACCTGAATACCGTGCCGACGAAGCAGACGTCGACGCTGAAAAAGGGCACGTTCCCAACGCCGGCGCAGTCATTCCGCCTAGGCATGGGCCGGGCCCAGACAGTCGACAATTGGAAGTTCGGCTCGATGGGCCCCAGCCGGGATGGCTCCGTGACGATCGATCCGCGTGGGCTGAAGGTGTGGGCAGATCCGGAAAGCGAGCCTGACGGCGTACACCCGCGCTGGGGCTGGCGGCGTGACCCGGGCTGGCAGCTGGGGACATGCATATGGGCCCAGCACGGCGTGTGGGACGTGGAGACGGGCGACGTGCTCGTCCCCGACTATTTCAAAACGCCACCCTTTGTCACCAACCATTCCGCGCACTTCATCGAGACGTACTGGCTGCCGCACTGGCAAGCGTTTGCCACACGGCTACGACAGTCGCACCCAGAGTCCATCATGTTCGTCGCCCCGCCCGTGTTCGCTCAACCACCTGCTATCGGCGAGGAGCTCCTGCGGGGCCGCTGCTGCTACTCGGCACACTACTACGACGGGCTGACGCTCATTACACGGCATTGGAACTGGTTCAACGCCGACGCGCTAGGCCTTTTGCGAGGCAAGTACTCCTCCACGCTCCCTGCCGTTAAGATCGGAGAAAGTGCCATCCGGAAATCGCTCCAAGAGCAGCTCGGGATACTCAAGGACGATGCGCCTATCCTGGGCCCGTACCCAACCATCATTGGCGAGATTGGAATCCCGTACGATATGGACGGGAAGAGATCTTACGGATATACGGACGGGGGTAAATACAAGGGCGACTACTCGAGTCAGCAGAAAGCGCTGGACGCTAGCCTTAACGCTGCTGACGGCCCCAACGCGCTGAACTACACTATCTGGAACTATTGCCCGGACAACTCGCATCAATGGGGCGACGGGTGGAACATGGAAGACTTGAGCCTCTGGAGTCCCGAAGACCTGCGGCCGAGAAGCGACTATAAGATGGAGCTGGGCGGCGCTTCGTCGACGGGTCTACTAAAGAAAGATGTTATAGTCACGACGCGCTCAGCGACGACATCAGCCTTGTCACTTTCTACTCTGGCTGATGCGCCAGAGGGGTCGAGCGACGGGACGCTTACGCCTAGCCGGGAGATCGCGTCATTCTCGAGGTGGGAAAACGCATACGACTTCCTGACAGACGGATCGAGAGCCGCGAAGGCGTTCTGCCGTCCGTACCCAGTGGCAGTCGTCGGCGCACCCAAAGACATCCAGTTTAACCTCGCGAAGGCGGAATTCAAGTGCACCGTACTCGTACGCGCGGAGGACGCCCTGCGACCACAGGGGATCTCCGCGTCTGCGGATGACGGCCTCGCGACAGAGATCTATATCCCGCTCGTCCACTACGCGAGCGACTCGCTCGTCGCTCGGTTCTCGGACCGAGAGCAGGAATGCGATGGCGCCGCGACGATGACTCCGGAAGGATCTCTGTCGAAGGACTCGAGTCCATCCGTCTCACGCAACGCGTCCTCAGCGCAGCTTGCCATTCCGTCTGCACCTTCTGGATCGGCCAGCCTCTCCAGGCTCTTCGACTCGGCGTCGGAGCAGCTGTCGGTCAAGGTGTCTGCCGGGCGCTGGGAAGTCAGCGGTCAGATCCTGAAATGGTGGTACCCGATCCCTGCACCCGGGGAGCCTGAGTGCGAATACACTATCGTCGTCACGCGGCAGGGTGGGGCGATCACAACCATGGAGGAGGCTGCCATCGCTCGCCGCGGTCTTTGGGAGCGATGGTGTAGTATGTTGCGTGAGTGTTGTTGTGTACTCATGTGAGGATGCCAAATGCTTTTTGGATTCTCCTTTGTGAGCTGGGACATCGTACAGTATGTTATCTAGCACCATGGCACCCATGTAAGCCAGTTACTTACCTGATTGGCACAACTTGATCAGCAACCACTGCCTTCCTAATTGGGAAGACTGCTTAGAGTAGAGAACAAAATCTGTTGAGCTACAAAGTGTGGCATATGGACTGCTACTTGAAACATGAGTCCACTCACTGCACCAATGTGCCAAATACTCGGTGCAACATTCACAAGCTCATACGCACATGCAGCAGGAGCTACTGCAGATTGTTAGGTGAGTGTCCAAGTCCCCTTTTCATGCCATCATCTGACCTTGACTACAGACTACGGGCCTCACTCAGGAATGAGCTGTCGCCAGCTGCACAGGATGGCAACCTGTCCAACAACAATTTTGCTGCAAGCAAGCACCATGTCACGACTTGGTACGGCGTCTAGCCATTTTTTAATTTTTTCCTTTTCGCAGACTCGAACCCGCGACCTCTGTACTACTTGCCTGATATGGACGCATCATATCTACTGTACAATTAGATTAGATAGGACAGCAGTGCATGGCACAGCTCGGGCTCCGCTGACACAGCCGCTCTGACTCACCGGCCCCCGGGGCCGCGTCGGCATGCTGCACATGGACCAGCTGTGCACAGCCTCCCCTAAACTCCCCTGTATATAAGCCTGCCTCTGCTGCCCTAGAGACCTCAGTTTCGACCTCTTGTCCCTAGGTCAGTAAGCTCATGTACTTACTTAACTTTCCAATGCTAACTTACTTGTCCCTAGCCTTAGGTTTGAGTGCTGCTCACCATCACTTCGGTGAGATTTAGTCGGACACCCCCAGCCTTCAGATCTTCCCCTGTCGCTTGACCTCAAGTCGCGACACACCATGGGTGAGCACTGCTAGGCTCTGCAGTCATAGTCCTGCTGTACTGTATTGCTGTCACGACTTGGTACGGCGCCTAGCCGTTTTTTAATTTTTTCCTTTTCGCGGGCTCGAACCCGCGACCTCTGTAATACCTGCCTGATATGGACACGTCACTATCTACTGTACGATTAGATTAGATGGGGCGGCAGCGCACGGCACAGCTCGGGCTCCGCTGACACAGCCGCTCTGACTCACCGGCCCCCGGGGCCGCGTCAGCATGCTGCGCACGGACCAGCTGCGCACGGACCAACGCGCACAGCCTGCCCTTATCTCCCCATGTATATAAGCCGGCCTCTGCTGCCCTAGGGACCTCAGTTTCGACCTCTTGTCCCTAGGTCAGTAAGCCCTCAGTTGTATCCTTTCTTACCTCACTAACTAATACATTTTACTTGTCCCTAGCCTTAGGTTTGAGCTTAGCTCACCATCGCTTCGGTGAGATCTAGTCGAACGCCCCCCGCTTTCAGGTATTCCCCTGTCGCTTGACCTCAAGTTGCGACATTAGGTCAAAACTCCATAGCGGCCGGCGTTCATCGGAACCCAAACACTCACACTCACTTCCTATAGGTCAGGTGGTGCGCACCCCTACAATACTTCACGGTACATACGATACATAGATAGCATTACCATACATCGCCACCCCTCGAGGAACGAACTCTTCAACACCTGCACTTCAGTGGGCGGTGTTTGTCCTCACGGACGCGTGGACTAGGTTCTTGCTGCATAATAGTCAAAAGCAGTACTGGGCCCCACGTGAACTGCGAACCTCAGGGTCTTCTCGGGCGCCGTAGCGTAAGCTAGTGTAGTACGGTCATTTTAGTACGCGCACCTCCCCGTCCTCCCCCCATCCAACGTGGCTGCCTGCCAAGGCCAGATCCACGCATTCGACTCCCAGGATCTCATCGACGTCTACATCCCAGACGGCCCTGAGACTGTCCTTTATCGTTGCGAGCAGCAGCCGTGCCCCAACCGGACACCCCGATCGATCGAGGAGGATTACCCTCGCTACAAAGCGATCCGACAAGCGCAACACCCGCTCGGACCCCGAAGCACCCTCGCATCTCGATCTGCCTCGCGGCACTCTCGCCCTGTCTCCCCTACCTCCCGCCTTCCCCAAACTGTCGCCGAGTCCAGTCAAGCTCGAGGAGATCTCCCTCCAGACCCTGCGCCAGAGCCTGAGCCTGAGGAGGGTGCAGGTGAAGAAGGAATCTCGGAGTCCGAGTCCGAGGATTCTACTGGGTCCGCCTCGCTGACAGCGCTCACCCCCGCGTCAGCAGTCCCTGACGTACGTGACCCCCCCGCCGAACTTTCTCCGGCGCCTTCACCGCCGACTCCGCCGAGAGGCCGCTCGAGCACTCGCTCCTCTCAAAGTTCGACCAGCGGAGGGCCACCACAGCCGCCTCCGCCCCCGCAGCGTCCTCCGTCCCCCCCGACACCGATAATGTCCTCTCCTGCAGCCGCCCCCGATAAGGAGACTCTGAAACTCCTCCTCCCGCTCCGCTACGATGGCAAGACCGTCATCGAATGCAACCGGTTCCTCTCACAGTTGCGCATCTACTGGCTGGTCAACACGTCGTTGACCACCATCGAGCTTAAGGTGCAGGTCGCACTCAGCCTGCTCGATGGAGATGCCCGCGCCTGGGCCACTCCCTACTTTGCCCAGCTCGCATCGGTGCAGGTGGGTGTGCAAGGGGCCACAACCCCGTTCGCAAACGAAGCAGCCTTTGCCGCCGCCTTTAGGGCCCGGTCCGCGCTTCGTGCCGCACGCGTCGGGCCGCAAGTATCATCATGTAATAAATATAACGTATTGTCGACTGCAATGGTGTACGAGCTGGACCAGGGGTCCCAGCATTTTCACATTCCAGTTCGACTCCAAGGGAAAAAACAGCACAAGGACATAATCGCTATGGTGGACAGCGGAGCCACCACGAAGTTTATCAACAAGCGATTTATTGTAGAAAATAAGGTACAGACGCGGAAGTTGAAGGAACCAATTCCGCTGTACAATATTGACGGTACCCTGAACAAGGACGGAAGCATCTCGGAAGTAGCAGTACTACAGATGCACATAGGAGAACACGTCGAGAAGACGGTGTTTACGGTCACGGACATCGGTCCAGAGGATGTGATCGTCGGGTTGGATTGGCTACGCGAGCACAACTCCGAAATAGATTGGGAGAAGGGCTCCCTCAAATTGTCGCGATGCCCTGAAACGTGCAGTGCCAGGAGGACTGGCCGAATGGAGCAAGCGGCGACTGCGCGTGATACGGGGGTCAGGCCCACGGCGCGCAGGCGTTCGCCGAAGTCCAAACGGTTGGTTATAGGCACCTGCCGGAGTAAGGTACTCCCGGACTTTGAACCCGAGGAAGATCCAGTGGAGGTAGAGTGGGATGAGGCCGACTTGATCGAAGCCTGGGAGCAAGGCATCACGCTTCCCGGCGCTCCTCAGCTGTTCGTCGCAGCAGGACATACGTACTCCCAGCTGTTTGCTGAGGAGGAGATCAAAAAGAAGGTCGTTAAGACTGCCGAAGAGTCGGTACCTAAACAGTACCATGAGTTCCTGAATGTCTTCTCCAAGGAAGCATCAGAACGGTTACCCGAAAGAAAGCCGTATGATCACGCAATCGAACTCGTACCCGGCTATTCGACATTCCATTCGAAGGTGTACCCCCTGTCGAACAACGAGTAGGAGGAGCTTGACAAGTTCCTCAAGGAGCAACTAGCGAAGGGCTACATACGGGAGTCGAAGTCGCCCATCTCGTCCCCTTTCTTCTTCATCAAAAAGAAAGAAGGGACACTTCGACCTGTGCAGGACTACCGTCGGTTAAACGCGATCACCGTCAAAAATCGCTATCCGCTGCCGCTGATCGCCGAGATGGTAGATAACCTGCGTGGCGCCACACTCTTCACCAAGTTCGATGTTAGATGGGGCTATAACAATGTCCGGATCAAAGCTGGTGACGAATGGAAAGCCGCCTTCGTAACTAACCGGGGGCTGTACGAACCCCTGGTAATGTTCTTCGGCCTCACCAATTCCCCTGCGACCTTCCAGGCCATGATGAATGAGATCTTCCATGATCTTATCATCAGTGGAAAGATCCTTGTGTACCTGGACGATATACTCATCTTCTCCACCAACAAGGAGGAGCATGAGAAGGTCACACGTGAGGTTCTGCGACGCCTTCAGGATAATGATCTATTCCTGAAGCCTGAGAAATGCGAATGGGACGTCCCTAAGGTCGACTACGTCGGTTATGTGTTCGGTGGCGATGAGGTAGCGATGGATCCCACGAAGCTAAAAGGAATTAATGAGTGGCCGGTACCCCGGAACAAGAAAGATGTCCAGAAGTTCCGGGGGTTCTCCAACTTCTACCGCCGCTTCATTAAGGACTTCGCTAAGATCTCGCGACCACTCGACCGGCTCACAGGGAACGACCCATGGCATTGGGGCGAAGAGGAGCAGCACGCCTTTGACGAGCTCAAGCGGCTCTTCGCGACGACTCCCGTCCTAGCGCTGTACGATCCCAATCGAGAGACGCATATTGAGGTTGATGTCTCAGGCTACGCCACTGGCGGCGTGCTGATGCAGAAGCAGGACGACGGCAAATGGCACCCCATCGCCTACTGATCTCACGCTATGGACCCTGCCCAGCGTAATTACGAGATCTACGATAAGGAGATGCTCGCGATCATTGAGGCACTAGATGATTGGCGCCACTATCTCGAGGGGTTACCCAATCAGTTCGAGATCGTAACCGATCATAAGAACCTCGAATACTGGCGCACGTCCCAGCATCTCACGCGTTGTCAAGCGCGATGGTCGCTGTTCCTGGCCCGCTTCGACTTCCGCATCACACACAAGGCCGGAACGTCGAACGGAAAGGCTGATGCCCTATCGCGCCGATTAGACAATCAGATTGGCGATGAGGATGATGACACCAATCAGGTAGTTCTCAAACCAGAGCGCTTCCGCATCGCCTCCGCCAGGCGCGGTCATGCCTCGGTGACGGCCGATCAGTCGCTTCTGAAGCGCATCAGGGAATGTTCGGAGAAGGATTGAGAGGTGGCCGAGGCCCTAGAAAAGGTACAGGACCTCGGGCCACCCCGGCTGCAAAGGGGTTTCGAGGAGTGGAATGCCGAACAAGGGCTTTTGCTGTTTCGCGGATGCGTATACGTCCCAAAGAATGCGGAGCTCCGGCGGGATATAGTCAAGATCCACCACGACTCGCCGATCGCCGGACATGGCGGTCGTGCCAAAACCCTTGAGCTTGTGTCGCGGAACTACTGGTGGCCTGGGATGTCCAAGTTTGTCAATGAATACGTAAGCACCTGTGACGTGTGCAACCGTACCAAGACATTCCCAGCCAAACCCCAGGGTCCGCTGAAGCCAAATGAGATCCCCGAACGCCCGTGGCAGATCATCACGACCGATATGATCGTCGGCTTGCCAAAGTCTGATGGATTCGACTCGATCCTGGTTACCGCCGACCGCTTTACCAAGCAGGTCCACTTCTCCGCCTGTCATGAGACCCTGACGGCAGAAGGTGCGGCAGACCTGTACATCCGCGATGTGTTCAAGCATCATGGGGCCCCGGCCAAGGTCATATCAGACCGAGGTCCCCAGTTCGCTTCAAAGTATCTCCATGCGGTGTACAAAGGACTAGGGATCGAGCCGGCACTGTCTACAGTGTTTCACCCTCAGACAGATGGCCAGACTGAGCGCTGGAATCAGGAGATCGAGCAGTACCTGCGTGCCTTCACAAGCCACAGGCAGGATGATTGGGCGAAGCAGTTGCCGCTCGTGGAGTTCGCACTGAACAACCGAGTTCACTCCGCGACCGGGCACTCCCCTTTCTTCCTGCACCAGGGGTACCATCCTGAGATCCAAGTGCGGATCAATCCGATGTCTGCGATGCCTGCGGCCGCCGATCGACTTAAGATCCTGAAGGAGATTCGCGATGACACGCGCTCTGCGCTCGAGCTGTCAGCCGAGCGTATGAAAGTGTACTACGATAAGCACGTGCAGGAGGCACCGGTCTTTGCGCCGGGGGACAAGGTCTGGCTTGATGCCCGGAACCTTAAGCTGAAACAGCCAAGCAAGAAGCTCAGTCCCAAGCGCCTTGGACCATATGTCGTGCGGCAAAAGCTCGGAGACTTGGATTATGAATTAATCCTGCCGAAGTCAGTGCCGGTGCACCCGGTATTCCATGTCTCCTTGCTGAGCAAGTACACGCGTAGCGATATCCCGGGCCGGGAGCCGGAGGAGCCGCCTGCAATCGAGGTTGAGGGCGACGAGGAGTACGAGGTTGAACGGATCAAGGATTCGCGGATCTTCCGGCGTCAGCTACAATACCTCGTCAAGTGGAAAGGTTATGACGACTCGCATACGTCATGGGAACCGGCGCGCAACGTTGCCAATGCGCCGGCCCTCATAGCCAACTTCCACCGGAAGAACCCAAACGCCCCTCGTCGACTCAACGCTGCTACCTTTGGTGGTCTCAACTTTCAGCCAATGCCTTTGCCGCTGACTGAAGCACGATGCCGCTCCGGATGGGAGATGGGCAAGGGCGCCTCGCATGAGGTCATGTGCCGTTGAGGGGGGGGTAATGTCACGAGTTGGTACGGCGCCTAGCCGTTTTTTAATTTTTCCTTTTCGCGGGCTCGAACCCACGACCTCTGTAATACCTGCCTGATATGGACGCGTCACTATCTACTGTACGATTAGATTAGATGGGGCGGCAGCGCACGGCACAGCTCGGGCTCCGCTGACACAGCCGCTCTGACTCACTGGCCCCCGGGGCCGCGTCAGCATGCTGCGCACGGACCAGCTGCGCACGGACCAACGCGCACAGCCTGCCCTTATCTCCCCATGTATATAAGCCGGCCTCTGCTGCCCTAGGGACCTCAGTTTCGACCTCTTGTCCCTAGGTCAGTAAGCCCTCAGTTGTATCCTTTCTTACCTCACTAACTAATACATTTTACTTGTCCCTAGCCTTAGGTTTGAGCTTAGCTCACCATCGCTTCGGTGAGATCTAGTCGAACGCCCCCCGCTTTCAGGTATTCCCCTGTCGCTTGACCTCAAGTCGCGACAATTGCGAAAACTTCACCAATTTCACTGAGTGGTGCAACCTGGCCCCTGGTACCCCATCATTCCTGCCCTGTCTCAAGCCACCGGTCGCCCAGCATGAAGCACAGGATCAGATGGGGGTGCCAATAGCCAGCTTTCTATTTTTTTTGTTTGCCTCATTGTTGGACCACCACCGTGGCGTCTGCCGACCGCCCCCAGCGCTGTTGGCGAGGAGCACTTAGTTGTCTCAAAACTCGTAGGACAAGGACACCGTGCAACCTGTATTTCGCTGTTCAGGTTCGACTGTGCATGTGGAGTCCATTATTAAGAGCCGCTGCCAGCTTGGTTACACTCTACATGTACCTACACTGTATGGAGTTTAAACCCGAGTAGCCTGAATAAAAAATATGTACTGTATCACAGTAAACATAGATGCATACGAATTGATTTATATTTCCGGTTCGGTTCAACATGTTTGACAATTATATTATATTACCAAGCAGCGAGCTAGATTAGGGTGCGTAATGTAATGACGGCAATCGGGATCCATCTTTGTCTATGTGTGCCTACATGTCTACATGACTCCCAGGCTACAGACTCCTCCTGTAGGACCGCCGCACTACACAGGACTCCTGTAGATGGGGGGCTGGCAATATGCCTATGGGACCTACATGGGCTATGCAAGACCCGTGTAGGCATCATCGAATTTGCAGATGTTGACAGTTTTTTGCCCCTGTTTGTGGCCGAAAAAAGCTAACTAGGACAAGGATATGGGCTTTTTCGGGCTCTGAAAAATGCTACCAGAGGGCCTTACCTTTAGGGAAGTTGCACGGGGCCTGACTTTTTGCTGCTTTTGAGCACCCAAATGTGGCTGAAGGTCGCTGAAAGGTTGCTGAAAGTGTCACAAATGACTAAGCGTGACGTAGCCGTGATTTGATCACGTTCTCGGCTCACGAAGTGCTGACCAGCCAGGTTGGCGAATCATGCAAGTGTGACGTGGCCGTAAGCCAGAATCTGCGAGCGCTTGCGACAAGCAGTTGCTTGAATGTCGCTGTTCGAGGAAGGGAGCTCAGATTCTGCTCGCTGCTTTTGGCCGCTTAAACATCGCTTGTTTTCCAGCGAGATTTAAGCGGCAATGTTGAACGGTCCTAATGTTTATTACAGAAGGTTTGTGCCAGTTCTCACGCCGGCGCGGAATGTACCCATTTCCGGGGGAGTGTAATGATAGTATGTCATCTTTTGCTCAATATCAATGGTGCAGGCCAATTTGCCATTGCAATCAGTGGCGAGGTGTGGCACAGCGGTGCTATGAATAAGTTCGATGGAGACTCATCCCAACGTCGGACCTCCGTCCCGTCTCCTCTTCCCCTTTGCGGCTCAGTTCAACGTCATCGAGTAATCCCACAGCCAGATGCTCGGAAACTCCATCTCGGATCGAGCCCAGCTAGCATGCCGAGGAACGAGTATAAAGTCACGATGACCCTGCCCGTGGGCAAACATACATATCCCCTTCCTTGCCCGTATGCTCGACAAGATCCGCGATAAGCTTCATTCCAACACGAGCACGGAGAGCGACTCGAACATGGCAGGCGTCGGCACCTCTCTCAAGGGCAAGCTTATACTCATCACCGGCTGCACGTAAGGACGCCCGCAGACTCATTTCGCGCTCACTGTTGACCTCTCCCAGCGGTGGAATCGGCCAGGCAACCGCCAAGGCCTTTGCGCGCGTCGGCTGCTCCATCGCGGTGCACTACAACGCGCCCTCCTCCGTGGCTAAGGCCGAGACCCTCATAAACTACCTGCACGCGCTCGCCCCAGCAGGTGTACAGCCCCGCTTCGCCGCTTTCCAGGCGGACCTGTCGCGCTACGAGGATGCGCGCCGTCTACATGCAGAGGTCGTGCAGACACTCGGAAATCCTGACATACTCTACGCCAACCACGGCATTGCGGGCCCCAAGATTGGCCCCACGGGGGACATCAAGGACATTAGCGTCGAGGTCTTTGAAGAAGTCTGGCGCACGAACACAGGCACGAGTTACGCGGTAAGTCTGTTAGCGAGCGTAGATCTGACATGTATGAATTGCTCGCCTGTGCTCCAGCTGGCCCAGTTGTGTGTGCCATACATGGAGTCCCAGCAGTGGGGGCGCATCATCTTCGCGTCTAGTGTCGCAGCAGGCAACGGCGGTGTGATCGGCCCGCACTACGCATCTTCCAAGTCCGCGCTGCATGGTCTCGTTCACTGGCTCTCATTGCGCTACGCAAAGGATGGTATAGTGAGTGTTCCTTGACGGATAGATAATATTTCAACAACTCAATGTACCGCAGACCACCAACGCAATTGCACCGGCACTCATCGAAGGTAGACGTCACCCAGCGACACCGCCTCCACCCAACCCGGCACTCACCTCATCTTCGAATTCGACAGATACCGCGATGATGGCTAACCCCTCGCCCGATGCTAAGGTGCATATTCCTAGTCCTCGTGGAAGGATTCGTAAACTAATAGAAATTTCACAGAGCAAGATCCCTGTAGGCCGCTTGGGTCGCCCAGAGGAAATGGCGGACATTGTACTGCTGTTGGCGTCGAACGGCTACATGACGAACAAGGTGCGCCACCCACCACAAGGAAGATAATATTGCTAAGGATTTTCGGTAGGTGATCGTTGCCGACGGCGGTTGGACTGTTGGCGGATTCTGAGGCAAGCAAAGCTAGTGGAGACAAAGGCTGCCGTTGAAGAAAAAAGAAGCATGCACATGTGTCATTAGTGATACATCACGAACATGATTGTAGCCTTGGAACTGAATGCTGTATGAACACTGTACAATGAGTGAATGAATGATGAGAAACTTGACCCAGGAGCTGACAGGGAGAGCATAAAAGAGCACATGCGAAGTCATAAAATACGGCATAGCCAATGAGGACATCATGAGGCATGAAAACGATGACTGGGCCAGCCAGTAGGTTCATCGTACAGGAGACGAATTTGAAGGGGACGAGTTGCTCTTGCGGCCTAACCCGTTCGCTTCCGTGAGCTCGCCAAGTTTCTGGTTGCGCTTGTTCTCGAGCTCGAGCTGCCGCTGGAGGCTCCTGCGTGATTGTTATACACATGAGCAATCTCAAGAGGCGATGTTTCGCACGTACTTCAACTGCGCCTCCAGCTCGAAGACACGCTCCTTCGCACCCTGACGCTCGCGCTTCACCGCCTCCTCCGCCTTGCGCAGGCGCGACTCATACTCTCGAACGCGAGCCTCCCACTTATTGTCCGCGACGGTCGTCTTCTGGTTCATTGTAGCGACCTTCTCCTCTGACGCGAGCAGCTGGTTCTGTAGGTTCGTCAAGCGACGTTCCGCATTGGTCGCGCGAGCGGTGAGCGCGCGGACCTCCATCGAGTCCGCGCTGCCCGGCTTGCGGATTGAGACTAGCTGCGCCTGCAACTCAGTAGTTGTTGCCTTTACACGACAAACCATGTAAGGATGGATTCCTCCACAGACAACAATAGATGCATACCTTCAGGGCCTCGACTTCGCCCTCTCTCGCGCTCAGCTTCTTGCGCCAAATGGCCTTCTGCTCAGCAGCGCCCTTCAGGCTTGTCTCAAAGCGGTCGATCTGGCGCCACCTTGTGTCAAGCTGTTTCCTCATGTCGTTCAGCCTGTCGGCATAGCGCGCCTCAGCGGACTTCACGCGCTTCTCAAACATCCCCTGGATCTCGCTGAGTGATTTGAGTCGCGTGATGAGGTTGTCATGGAACACGCTGAAGTTGGTGAAAGGCTTGGTCTCCGCCTGACCATTCTTCTTCTACGAGGCATTCGTCACTAACCCACGCTGCGAAACTATTACGAACACGTACCGGGGTATTTTCTACGCCAAGGATCCTGTCCATGTATTGGTATATTGTGAGCAGTAGGGTATTCCGCTCTGTCAGCTGGTCGCGATACTGCGACTCTGCTGAGAGCAATGAACGCTGGTCCTTCGCGAGTCGCTGCTCCAGCTCCGCCACCTTCGCCCGGAAGCTCGTGACATCCGCCTCTGCCGCCTTCAGCTGCGTCTGCGCGTCGTCCAACTTCTCGGTGACGTTCAACCGCGCCTGCGTCTGTGCCGCGAGCTGCGCTGCTAGGTCGCGGTTCGAGGCATGCAAACTGTCGATCGCACCATCGCGCTCGCGATTCTTGCCCTCGCGATCATCCAGCTCCTTGCGAGCACGCGCGAGCTCGTCCTCCAGCCGCTCTAAGTCACGCTTCATGCGATCAACTTCTAGCTGTAGCGAGAAGCGGGCTGTCGTATGTGACTCGCCGCGCTTCTTCGACTCAGCTTCGAGGGCTTCGAGGGCGCTCTGCACCGCATTGAGGTCCGATTCGCGCTGGGTAAGCCGCGACTGTGTGCGTGCGAGGTCATTCAGGGCAGATTGCAGCGCGGACTCCTTTGCTTCAAGTGATCGATGCTCGCGCCTGAGTGCAGCATCGTGTTCTTGCTCGGCCTTGTCAAGCTCGGTCTGGAAGCGTTCGCTGCTAGCACGTTCTCGCTGAATCTCCTCAACGAGCGTTTCAACGTGCTGTGCGAGCTCCTCAGAGCGTGAGCGATAGGTAGAGACCTCCTGACTGCGCGTGTCGTAGAGGTCTGTCATTTCTTGCAGCTGTGACTTGAGCGCGGACACTTTCTGCAAGGTGCACAAATTTTAGCGACATGCGACGGCTCCGAACATCAACACCCACCTCCTTAAGTGCAGCTGTCAATGCTTCGAGGCGTTCTCGCTCGGCAGCTTCATCCTCCCGAAGTCGTTCGCTTGCCTCGCGCAGGCGTTCGTTGTCCTCTTCAAGAGCGTACACCTGCTCGCCCAGCTTCTCTATCTCCCGGTTGGCGGCCTCGATCTCGGCGTCCTTCTCTTCAGACTCGCGCTCGAGATGCGCCAACGCCGTCTCGAACTTGTCGTGCAGATCATTCGTGTCCGTTTCCAGTTCGGTGATATGCATTCGAAGTTCCTTGGCCTCGACGTCTCGTTGTTCGAGGACCTTTGTTGACATAGCATTAGAGCAAGCGCAGCATAAGGTGGGATCATACGCACGTCCTTCAGCTCTTCCACTTGTCCTCGTGTCTCATCCACCTCGCCCCTCCACTCGTTGTCAAGTTCTTCCACGATGCGCGTATGCTCCGCGACGAGCTCCTCGATCTCGCGGTTCTTCATCTCAACATCGTCCTCTCTTTGTTGTAACTCAATCTGCGCAGCGGCGAGCTTGTCCCTCACTGCGTTCAGGTCATCTTCCACTGCCTCGCGCTCCTCCCTCTCCTCCAGCACCATTGCCCGACTCTGGCTCCGCTCAATAGACTCCGCGTGCCGCCTCCGCTGGAGGTCCTCAATCTCGAGCTTCAACGTCTCCACCGCGTCCACGAGCTCCTCCTTCTCGTCGTTCCCCCGCGTCGCCAACTCTTCCAGCTCGTCCATCTTCACCCGCAAGTCCTCGTTCTCGTCCTCGAGCTCCTCCACTCGCCGCCGCCACCGCTCTCCCCCGCCCCCGCCTGACGACATGTCGGCGCGCTGTTCCGCCAGCTCGCGCAATCTCTCCAGCTCCTCCGCGTTCTCCTCCAGCAACCCGCGCACGTTCTCCAGCTCCTCCTCGAGCTCGGCGTTACGCGCCTCGATATCCCGCATCAGACCGTCGTCCGGCCCAACTGCCCGCCTCCGCCGCAGCTCCCTAATCTCGCGGTCTCGTTCCTCGAGCTTCTCCTCGAGCTCCCGCGAGCGTGCTTGCGAGGTAGCCGCGGTGCGCTGCAGGCGCTCCAGCTCGCGCTGCGATTCGAGCACCAGCTTCTTCATTTTCTTTATCTCCAGTCGATTCTGCTGTACTTCGATCTTGAGGCCAATGTTATGCTTGAGCGCCGCATCAATCTGGTCGGGCGCAAGCTGTGCGAGACGCTCCTCGAGGAAATGCACCTTGAGCTTGATGTTGAAGTTCTCCTTCTTCAGGTTGTCGATATGCTACAGGAGGTGATGACGACGCCGTAAGCCCTTGCAACATAGGGCGGCGAGCAGCCCCTATAGCGGTCCAACATTCAGCCAATAGCCTCCTGCAGCTGGATGCCCTCGGGCACGCTGCCAGAGCTCTGCCATAACATTACTGACAAGCTGCTGCACCGCTACAAGAGCTGCCACTCCCTGAGAAGATCGAGATACGGACACACCTTTTCCTGATCCCGCAAGGTCAAGTTAACGCCTCCCTTGGTTCCCGTGCTCCGCGTGCGTTTAGAACGGGAAGGTGTAGCAGACGGATCGTTGAACTTCTCGCCGCCAGGTGTGTCCAGTACATCTCCGTCGCCGTCCTCGCCTTCCTCCTCGTGGCCAGAGAGCCCAAAGCGCTTGGCTACCGGTGTTGCCTCTTCCGCCCGGCGGCGTGCAAATGTCAGCCCATTTGGTGGTGACGGCGTTGAGAGCGGTGCAGACGAAAGGGCCGTCGTTCCAGACGATGTCGAGGGTATTCTGTGACTCCGTGCGGGGGTAGAGAATCCAGAAACCAGGGAATTGAGCGAGAGATCAGGCTGTGTTCCGGCGGATTGGGCGGATGTGTCCGCTCGTAGATTCAGCGCCGCAGACATGCTGCAAGACGCTCCCGACACTGTGGTCGACGACGAGATTAAAGGTACACGCGGCGAGCGTCGTAGATGTTATGAGTGATGCCTGGGTCTTGAAGCTTGAAGCTTGAAGACCTGAACGGGAATTGGTTCAACGCGTCAACCACGTGACACGTGTTTTCAGTATTCTCATAATATGCGGTATGTTCCACAGTCCCCTGGTTTACATCGGGTTGTACACCCAGGATCGTACATGTATGTCACGATATATCACAGGCCCGTTATACTCCCTAGAAAATTGAAAGCAGTGTAAGCAAGTGTCCATTTCACGATGAATAGAAGCTTTTGCAAATAGTATCAAATGTGGTATGTGCCATTCTATATATAATAAATACCGACCTCAGACGCTCTTGAGCTTGAGCACTAGTTTCGAGCGCACAATGCGGCGCGCCTCTCGAACTCGCTCGCCGACGTATACAGCGAAGGGCTGAAGGTCAAGTATACACTATGGCCGCTACTGACTTGCCTATTGTTCCATTCGTGCTCGCCTCGTTCCTCGGTGTGCACGGCCTGCGCAAACGCTCCCTGTCGCCCTCCGGCGCGCTCGCCGCCTTCCTGGTCGGCCTCCTCATGATGGCCGTCCCCCTGCACACCTTCGGCGTCGCCCTCATCGTCTTCTACCTCGCCGGCTCGCGCGCGACCAAGGTCGGCAAGCAGCGCAAGGCCGCGCTCGAGGACGGCCACCAGGAGGCAGGCTACCGCACCGCGGCCCAGGTCCTCTGCAACTCGGCGTCCGCCTTCGCCGCGAGCGTGCTCTGGGCCGCACTCTACGCACCGACCTCGCTCCCCGCACGCGTCCTCCGCGCGACACCGCTGAGTCTGGCGCTCCCCGCGCAGGCACCGTACGACTTCGCCCAGTGGTGCCCCCTGGCGCCGCCCCCGTCCGCGCCCTGGAGCCGCGCGCTCCTGTATGTGACCCTCGGGTGCGTGTCACCGTGCACGCGCCATCCGCGCAGCTGCTGACCACCGCCCGCGCCGCGCAGCCACTTTGCGTGCTGCCTCGGCGACACGCTCGCCTCCGAGCTCGGCATCCTCTCCCGTACGCCGCCCATCCTCATCACCACGCTCAAGCCCGTCCCCCCGGGCACGAACGGCGGCATGTCGCTCGTCGGAACGCTCGCGTCGCTCGGTGGTGGGCTTGCCATGGGCGCGACGATCGCGGGGGCGCTCCTCGCGGAGAGCAGCGCGTGCCGCGCGCAAGCCCCGCGCGTCGTGATTCCGCTCCTCGTATGGGGCACGGCCGCGGGTGGCCTAGGATCGCTGGTGCGTATCTTGTTCCTGTTCACAACTAGGGTGCTGAGACTAGCGTGGCACGCAGCTCGATTCGTTTATGGGTGCGACGATCCAACGGACCCGCTTCTCGAATGCGACGAAGCGCATCTTGACAGACGAGTCCGCGGAACCGGCTACAGACGCAGACATCAAGGTCGTGAGCGGGTTCAACCTCCTCACCAACAATCAGGTGCGCCGCATATCGCTGCCGTCTTTGTGTTGTCTGACTCATTGAGCTCGTTGCAGGTGAATCTGCTCTCGTCGATAATCGTTGCTATCATTCTAGGCGTCATTGCGTGAAGCTTGTCCAATCGATGTACCCATGCTCACGCTAACCGTAAGACCGAGGCAAGCCCAGAAGACGTCTCACGTATGACGAGAATGAACTTTTGTATGCTCCTGACGGCGTTATCTCCGCTGCTCGTCCTCCCAGTAGCATTATTTACGTCAACGTGCTGCCCATTGCACAAGTCGCGCATCGTCCGGGGTCTGGCTTCGGATCTATGTGAGAACGAATGGCACAATCGTTGCTTTAGTTCCGTGGCGGCCATGTATGTAAGGTCATCATGGTGGTATCGCTGAACCCTAACCCGATGCAGTCAGCTTCCGGACCGCGCTGATCGAGTCTTCTCCCTCGCTTTTGTGTCTTATTTGGCATTGGTTCACTGCCTCGCCTCGTGGACTGTAGTCACTGACAATTAATGGTGCAAGTTGATGGGCCTATCATTCCTCTCGGCTCCACAATCTTACCCTTCAGTTCGATGAATGCTCTGAAAATTTGTAGTGCCAGACGCGCGCGATAGCAAACCATCGCAGCACACCGAAATGGGTGGCCTGAGATCCGTGGGACCGTACAGTATGTCTTCCGTGCATCAGTCCGGGACCTTGGCCATCGACTCCAAATTGCGATACCTGCCTTCGACACTTGTCAACAGTAACAACAATGATGGGGCAGGACCAACGACTCCCCGTGCATCGTGCCCGATCCATCCCGTTGTGTCGTCAGACGCGTATCAGGGTCTTGTTCCCCGCGAACCCCACATGCCAGGGGTGAACGCCAAACCCCATAACCATCAATTAGGGGTGTGTTGTTCGCCCGTGCATCCTGGCATCGACGCGATATGATTGACGTAGAGAGTCATGCTTCAAGGTTGGCATTGTGAGGCTGCACGTTCTCGCAGATCTAGAGGTGATTGACATGGTGGGAGAGGACAATAGTATGCGGGGTACCTGTGCACGCTGCACCTCGTTCAAGGCAGCGTTCTGGGACTCACCTGCGGGCCTACACCGGATCCCAGAGGGTCACAAGGTCCCACAACTCTGCACTCAGGTGTCATTCGGAAACTGGCGCTGTGACAGCTTCGACGTGCACGGCGTGCGGAGCGGCAAAGTGCATAGATAATATCATGTCCCCCTTAGTGGCGCATGTGCATCGATGAGCATCTAGATAGGCAACGCTGCAAGATTGCCTGTGTACGATGCTGACCGTGGCCATGTGTGGCTTCCTGCCTCGAGCGGGCCGCATGCTGGCACTGCCTCTCGCCCATTCGGGATATGCTGCGCGCGGAGCAAGGATGCGCCCCACGGGCGAATTGTCTGAGGACGTAACGTGGCTCTGCAGAGCCGAGGGGGCTGCCTGCCCGGACACATAATGGGGCGAAACAGCGCACGAGGGCAGCAGACGACTAAAATACGAGGGAGCTGCCTGCGCGTCTGAGGGATTCTACGTCGGAGATCTCTGTTGATAGGCGGCCAGGCCGAATGTGCCGTGAGCAGAGACCCCCGAGAGGGCACGAATGCGCTGTGGATGGTGGGCGGGCGTGCAGCAGGCGACACGGGCAGCGGCGGCACTGCGAATGCAGAGGCCATCCGCGACGATGAGGAGTGGGCAGAGCCACGCGAGGCTGCGGGGGAAGAGATCGGCGAGTGATCTGAGTGATCGGGGTCCAGGGCCGCCACGAGCGAGATGAGCGAACATGCGGCGACGGCCTGCAGCTCGTCCAGCGCTGTCCAGCTTCCAGCTTGTCTCTGCCTTTTCATCTGCGACGGCTTCTGCGCCGCTTGCTTGTCTGCTGCGCCGTCTTGTCTTGCTCCTGGCCATGTTCCAATAAGCCCGCGATAGCTCATTTTTTGCGCCGGGCAATCTCTGTCAGTCGCCAGCTGCGTCGAGCGGTGCTTTTCCTTTGCTGGCAGTCCCGCTCACAGCACTTTTGTATACAGTGTCAGCACGCGTGCGACGGCAGTATAATGAACACGTACATGGCTTCTCCTGCCCCGGTTAACGACAGCTATTTTCTTGGGAACCACCGCCACACCTCTCTAGCCCTACCCCACCCAGAGCAGGACACTTACTCATCGCCATATACATGCTCACCATCTGCCGCTTGCACAGAGTTTTGTACACCGCATCTGCATACTGCGCCGTCCCGTTGCGATTGGCATAGAAAGAACGCGCACCAGGACAAGATACATCACAAAGCCTATCCCTCGCCACCCTTGACGACCGCTGCTTTACGATCTACCGTCTCGCTTCCGGACGTCACCCTCGACGTTTCCCTCGAATATTTGATGTGTGAGCGCTCCGCTGAACTGACGCGCCTGAGCAGTATGTCTCCGGATATACGCGAACCATTGTCGCCTCCTCCCACGGACCGCGTTCATACCCTGCAGCTTCCTCCCGATCCCACAGAATGGACTTCAACAAACCTTCCTTTTGGAAGCGGTAGATTTCCGCAGGACTCACATCAAAGAGCAAAGCATTATGACGAGCTGCATCGTGAGCATGTGGCGCACTGTAGCTTCGACCAAAGCTGTGACCATCCGCTGCATGGGCCCGAGCCTGGACCGTCATCGTCCCGCGGTTGGAGCTTTGAGGGCAACCTTTCCGAGCTTAGCTCAGTTCCAGAGGACTGCGAGATGCAGATCGGCCGCTCGCCTGTGCGCGCCGATTCTGGCTTTGAAGAGAGCTTGCCACAGCGCAAGTCTAGCACAAGCGGGCTTCCCGAGCTCTCAGAGGAGGCGGACACACAGTACTCCAAGCTTGAGCCGAGCGCATACTGGGCACCCACCTCGCCACTTGGCATGCACGGCCACTTGTCCCTGGACGACCATTCCTTCAATCCAGCTGTGGCCCGCGGAGACTACCGCCACGAATCGACGTACTTCGTTTCCTCGTCGCACCACGACATGAACAGCACGCCGAGCTGGGCAAGCGTTGACTGGTCGACGAGCAGCGAACACGAAAGTGACTTCTCGCCACCCGCATCGCCACGCCCGCCGTCACTTGCGCTTTCACTAGACTTGCCTGATCTGGATTCGCCTCCCTCCCCATCAGACCGCATCGACTTCGACGCACCTACAAGCACTTCGCCACTTCGCGAATCCAGCTGGTCCAACGGAGGATATGACAGCCACGCAGACCAGTCACTTTTCGACCTCCATCACCCACCCCCAATGGACGGCGGTTCACCGTCATCTCCGCGCCCGCCTGTCTTGCTGCTCCCTCTCTCTGACTTCGAGCCTGATCCCTCTAATGTGAGCACGTCCGTGCTGCACGATGAACAACAATGGCAGCCTATGTCGTCCTGGCCACCACCAGAAACGCCGCTTTATACCTCCCCCCAAGGCCAGTTCAGTGATGAGCACTGTCCTACGCCAATCCCGCGCTCGTCGCACGGCCTTTTTACGTCGCTGTCCGATTTCGATATGGACGACCAGTTGGAACTTCCACCAGCGCCATCTTCGCCACATCTCTCCCTGCCAGGTCTCGCCGATGACGATCTTCCTTCGTCCGATGATGCGTATCCCCATATATCACTGGACACAATTGCGCCGTCGGAGCTTTCCCCACTGTGCCCTTCAGACGAAGGGCTAGGTCTCTTCCTCCAGCCGATTTCCATCGACCCACCGCTTGCGCGCTCTCCGTCTCCAGACGACGACGATCTTCAGTTTTTGGACGTGCAGCTTGATCCGGTATCGTCATCTCTAGACTCCGATGAGTTTCTGGAGCTACGCAGGATCCGCCGCCGAGCGCTCAACGCTGAACGCGCAGCTCGTGAAGCGGAGGCTGAGTACACCGAGCGCATCACCGCCGTGGCCAGCTCTCTCCTCCCTCCGAATCACAGCAGCCCAAACGCAGAGCAGTCAGAATGCGATCCTGACCTAACAACCGCGCCGTTGAGTGCAGACGAGAAGCGCGCACGGCAGCGCGAGCTGCACATCGCGATGGACATGCGCGCGGACGCACGCCGCAGGCGAAAGCGCGAGAAGCAGCGCAGCAAGGAAGTGGGCGCTTTGATGGACTACAAGATGCATCGCGTCGAATCGCCCGAGCACGGCCTTGCGACGCTCATCGCGAGCATGGTGTTGCGACGAAGCGATGTATTCCGGCCGCTGGCGAGCCGGAGAGCGGATTTCCCTCGGCGAGTGTATGCGCCGTCGCCGCTGAGCCAGTGTATGTCTCTAGAACACGTCGTTGCTGATGAGATGCACATGGACATGGATGTCGACGTGAACGCAAATGAGAACTTTGACGCGGATGCGGACGAGGATGCAGTCATGGTGGATGCGTAGCTGACCTGCGCACCGCGGAGTCGGTTGAAAGGCAAAATGGTGAGCGCCGTTTGCCGTGGAGACTCGCTGCGCGCGACGTGTTATTAGATGCGATCGTTAATTGCGTCCGCAGGTTGGAAAGACCGCGAAGTGTACAGTATTCCATTTCTTCCGATCGACACCCTGCATTTGTAGCATTTAGTGTCCTCATAGTTGTCGTATATTGCGCATGTCTCCCCCGCTTTATTTGAACGAATACCATGGTCCATGATTCCCCGTTCGTGCATACCACTTTTTACGCCTGATGGAATGGCCTTCTTGGCTAGTATGTAGTCTTTGTGGTGTCAGCCTCAGGGCACACACCTGTGGACGCTGTACTTCATTAAATGACGTCTTGAACTCGTTGCTTTTCAGTCTAATGGTATGGCGAGCAAAGCGATGGAATGAGGAGAAGGGGGAAGCGACTGCCGACAATGGACACTCGCCTTTATATACCGGCGCGACAGACAGTTGCGTCCATGACATCATTATACGATCACACGTCCGATCGCAAGTCTTCGTTGCCAAAGTAAGGCAAGGGGCTTCCGTATCGGGAAACTGGCGGATGAAAAGGATCGTTGCTTGCATTTACGCTTTCCCGGGCATGATCCTGGTTTTGCAGTCGCATCACATCGTATTACCCTCCTATATCTCTGATAATATGCAGTAGATTGAACAAGATAATATCACGGTAAATCATACAGCATTAACTTTGAAGGTATCATTTGTAAGTCATTGTACTCCAGCCCCATTCCTTTATCCAAAACCAAAACATGGTCCTCAAAGTTCAGCCTGAAGACGCATCTCCTCCGGCATCACTTTTCCTATGCCCGAATGATATACCATGCTTGTGCAGCTCGTTCGACGCCCGCTGCACCAACGTCTCCCTGCCCTCCTGCGCATGCGGCTGCAGATCTCCCTGGCGGACGCCGCGCTTCGCCAAGGCATACGCCCGGCATGCCTCGCTGCTGCGCTTCAGCTCCGGATCCCGGTAGTCCAGCGCGACGATCCTGAACCCGGGGAAGTTGAACTCGAGCAGGCCCCTGAGCGCGGGCAGCAAGGCACTGTCGGGAGCATACGTCCCGGACTTGTTGTCCACGACAAGTTCCCACTGCACGTCCGCGTCCCCGCGAGCGTCGTCAAAGCTCTCCCACCCGCCGGCCGGCCGCGGGTGGAACTCGCCCGAGTAGCGCACCGCCTCGGCGCAGTTCGAGTGCAGCGCGTGCTTCGACGCCATGTTCACCAGGAACCGCGCACCCGTCTCCGAGAACCGCAGCGACTCGTCATCGACCGCGATGATGTACGTGTACAGCGCGGGCTTGATGCGATGCACGAACAGCCCGCCCTGTGCATCCTTCGGATCGGCATGCCCGTGCAGAAGGTGGAAGAAGTCGTCGGGCGTGTCGAGCACACCGAACCCGTTCGCGGCGGTGCGCGCGTACAGCATGCGATGTCCTGTGTGGATAACGGAGCGCACAGCCATCGAGGTGGGCCCCTGGAAGATTGAGCGTGCCTTGGCGTAGTCTTGGTTCCATGTCTGCACCTGGTCGCCGAAAAAAAGGCGCACGCCCTTAATGTACACCTTCCACGTCGAGTACAGACGGGAGTCGGTGTTGGCGATGCGGCCAACAGTTGGAGAGCAGTGATGCGAGAAACGGATAGGGCCGTCAAACGTGTAGGGGTGGTGGCTGGCTTCGGGATCTTCTGAGGGGACAATGTCGATCTGCACGTCCGCATGAGGCAGCGCATCCAGCCAAGCGACAGGGGCCTCTCACCGATAGCCTGAAAGTTCCTCGATTCCTCTTCAACGCCTTGTCCTCTATCCTAAGCTGCTGCTCTCCCGAGTATACGGGGATACTGAATTGGCCAATATATCCGTCTGTGAGACTGTTCGAATCCTTGTCGAGCACCTCCACGGCAAGAGTCGCCTCTTGAGGAACGTTCTTCACTCTCCATACCTCGTCCCACGTTGGCGTGAGGGTATTATCCTGTACAGTCGACCTGGAACGCTGAGGCGGTACACTGTCATGTTTGTGGATGTACAATGCGGCTACTCACACATATTTGAGCCTATCGTCCAGATTGGCCACGAAATAGGGATCCGCGGTCCCCACCACATCCATCTTTGGGATGCCCGATGCTGACAGGAAGTGCACTGTGATGTCGAAAAAAGTCATTGCGAGAGGTCTGCCGTTGGTCACAGCGGCCTTGGCAGCGTTCAAAGGACCGGATAAACCTTTATGGGGCGCTCTGGTGACTGCGGCTTGAAGTCCCTCTGTTATTCTCGAGATCTGCAACGGATTCTTGCGACCTGGCATACGACGGACAGCCAGCTTACAGGAATGGGGGGAAGGTACAATTGCATTGCGCGCAGTCTTGGTTCACAGACAGGTAAACGCTGAATTGAGTCCCTTCCCTTTCGGGTGGTCTGTACGTCACTGGAGTATAGATCAATTCTTATCAGATAAGTAGCCTGCTATCATATATTGTTATGTAAATCCCACGAAGCAAGTGTCCTGAACGCGATGCTGGAGAGTCGAATACAAGTGTTGCATGCTCTCAGACGTAGAATAGATAGAGAGGCCGTTATAGTCTGACGAATTTGATGTATGCGTGACGCTACACTCCGGATCGAATATTACAAAACGAAACACAACGCGCTAGAACGCACCAAGTACGTATGACACACGACAGGGCTGGTGTCAAGTAGTACGAGTAAACAAGTACAAGGGACATTTTGTTGATGATGCCACCCAAGATGTATAAATGACATGGATTTAGATAAGCCCAATGTGCCAAATCCGAGAAGAGCAATACGCCTTCTATAAGTAGAACCCCAACTTTCCTTGAGCGACTTATTGTGTTTATTGTTCCTTAAGTCAGGAAGTAAGGTGCAAAAATAAGGCTTTTTTGAGCTTATTTGCCTTAAATAACTTGATTCCAGGAACCAAGGCAAACTTAAGGTTGTGCAGGAAGTGTGGGGTTTTACTGATGAAACGGATGTTCGTCTCATCATCTACCCCGTCTTCGCAAGCCGCAGAGTCGGAGAGGAACAAACATACGTATTGTGCCATGCCTCACTGAGCAGAGAGAAACAAGGTTCGATGGCACATATTTTTACAACGTATGCTATTACATGAAGAGAACGCGAAGAGCATCTGTGCGCATAGTCATGCGAAAGTGAGGTCCATCGTCTTCAGTTAACAGACTAGGGAACACACCTGCTACATAGGGAAATACGTCAATAAGGCCGTCTGTGTAGGGCTTGAGCGTGAGCAAGCGATTCTTGGATTGCGCAAATCTCAGAGATCAACACGCCCTGGAGGCCCATTAAGCACTAGAATACAGCGATACACAGGTTGACATTTGTCTTGTTACATCATCCCACGACCATCTCTTCCTCATATTGCTACATGAGCGATTGACTTTCCCATTCGCACACTCGCGTCTAAAGCCCAACAGCAGAGTATAAAAGTGTATAGTTTGGCGTCCCAAGCCCAGTAACCTGTGAAGGAGCGTGATTAAACACAACCAGTAAAGGAATGAGGACGTTGACACATACGGGATCCCAACCTGTCGTAGCAGAAAAGCTGTTTGTTCCGCAGCCCGGGTTGTTTCCAGACGTAATGTCGGTCAGAGCAGATGCTCCAGTCGAGTACAGGAACGGATTCAGCCATCCGAGTGTTGATTTGCCTGCAGAAATCAACTGATTGTTGAGCATACCGACGACGCTGGCGAATATAGGGCTGGAACAGCTTGTCCCATCGACCAAGTAGAACTCTTGGTACTGTGCGATCATAATGTCAACGCCCTGGGCCGACACATCAGGGAAGCCGCGCCCGGACGCATTGTACAACCCTGCATTAGTGGAGCCAAGGTACGAGAGATAGTTTGACACAGCAGACTGCTGAAATGACGGTGTCGCCCAGTAGTTGGAGAAGCCACCAGATGAAAAGCTGGCTGCCACTTCAGGTTGCAAGTCCGTCGTAGCCCCAACGGAGGTGACACTGCGTATGGTCAAGTATTAGCGGATCATACGCGGTCACACAGGACGTTGACTCACTAAGGGCACCCAGATGGGAAGGAGGGAACAAATGTGGTGCAGCTTTGATTCTGTGTACCAGAGACGCCGCCATCTCCTGAAGAGTAAAGGACTGAGACTCCCCGTGCACCTAGCTGTGCATACGCATTGCAGAGTGCACTGAAGAAGACATCATTCTCCAATTTCTCACAATCGTCGAGGGGATACTCACTACGCAACATTCGTTGAGAGATATTCCTCGTTGGAACCGTAGCTCGTAGTGATAACGGATGGTGGTGTCTCCATATCCAGGAAGTAGTTGGCAACGTCTAGGAAGCCAAACACGCCATCTGTATTGTTCTGGCCCACCGACAAGAAGGTGACCGGTACGTAGGTCGCAAGACCGGTTGTGTATTGCGTGTCGAGGTTCTGCATCATCTGTCAATGAGACAGTGATACAAGCTGGGGGTATACAATCAGACTTACAGCCTCGGTCCCAGAATCGTCTTCAGTTTGGTCGTTCTGACCTCCGTCAAGAGTCTCAACAGTGAACATCAGATCGTCCGGATATCCGTAGCGGAGCCACTGCAGGAAGTACTGAAATGTCGGGATTAGAAACCGAATCAAACCAAGCGGAGATGAGTACATACGTCTAGGTCAGCTTCATTTGCGTAGTAGTTATTATACCCAGTGACAGCGATATAATTGTTGGACAAGGCGGGGACGGTGTCAGGCATGTTGTAGAGAGTCTCAATGCAGTCAGCATCGACATAGTCATCAGGGCAGTTGCCCACAGGATCATTAGCGGATGTCGCTTTCTTTGTAGTGCCAGTGTACTTGGTCACCTGTAGAGGAAGCGCCGCCGAAGGTGGGGTAAAGCTAGCACGGTAGGGTCTCCGTTAGAATTGCCAGATTCATGACAGGATATTCACGTACGTAACGGTAGGATGGATGAGATCCAGGTGACTCACGAGGTCGGACGGGATCGAATATGATAGAGTTCGGACACTCTGGTGACCACTTTCCTGATGCGTAAACACCGAGAAATCTGCGTCAAGCATACTGTTGGCCTGGCTGACAGGAAGGGTAATCGCCAACCAATCGCCGGCAGGGGAAATCGTGGTGGCAGTTACGTTGTTTTCGCTCAGCCATGCATTAACCGCGGCAATCGTCATCGATGTCGGAGAGACGTATTCCTCAACCTGTAATCCGTGCCTCGTCAACAGCCGGCAGTGTTCTTTCTGAAGACGACAGACAAACCTCATACTTGGATAGATGCTGGCCGTACTTTGCACTTGACGGAGTACTGACGTCGTACAACGCCTCAATCAAGCCGTCCATGTTGTTCTGCTTCAAGGCAAGACGTAGGCTGAGCATTGTATCTGGCGATGCAGGGCCGCCATGAACAAATCCTCTAGGTGGTGCATCTCGATGCTCAAGGACCTGGAGACCGTGTAAGACCGGGTTACTCCAAGCAGTGCTCACAAGCGAGGCGGCGAGGAGGCAAAAGGGGCGGAGCATGTCAATGTACGTCTGGCGAGCGAGACTTGAGATGCGGCAGGGCGCTGAAGGAACACGTCTGTGGAACGACTTTATATGTCCCCTGTAGACACACTTTTCCCGTTCTCCGGTCCAGAGCATATGGCATACACTGATGACCTTAGACGCACCCGATGAATACAGGATAGGTTGTAGCTAATCTTCAACGGGGGTAATTGTACCGTCGGGGATAGTGAAGGAAAAGAACGAGTGCGCAATGTGCAATACAACAAGCCGAGTAGTTGCATGTGTTTCCCATTCAAATTGTGGGCAACGGACAAAGGATGATTCCGGTTGTACCTGTGTGCTTCACACTATTTTCCCAATCAGCCGAGCGTTTACGTCGCCGTGATCCTGTACTCACCAGAAACCAGTTCGGGAAGGAACCCGCAAATCCATTGAGGTGAATGTGTACATTGCTAATGATTTCCGACTCGGATGTCTACCGATTGGGCGATACTTACTCAAGACCGTTCAAGGATCAGAAACAGTTATGCTTCCTTTAGACACCTAGTGCCCTAATAGGTAATCTTGCTCGCACTACCATATGGCGACGAGCGGCACAAAACGTAGACGCCCCAAGGATGTGTGGTATCAGAGTTCTGGTGCAGCATGTCTTACTAAATGCTGCAATTTAGACGCACTGGCCGGGTCAGTCCATCAACGGCGCTACGATTCGCGAGGGCAGACTCGGGCTTGGCAGCCATCAAAGACACACACAAAATCTGCAGAAGCTCAATCACGGAACAGGCCGCATCGTATGCACATGCGACTTACCTTAACATCGACCGCAACTTGCTGAAACAGACAACAGCAATCAGTCTCCGCTCGAAGGTGTTGGGAAGCACTCATCAACCACTCCGAAGCCCTCCGAGCTGACTAGGCCACTTCTTTGTCATTCACTTGGCAGTAGACAACAACGCCACCTTCTCTGAAACGAAGCATCAATTGCCCTGTCACGCCATCACACTTGAGGCCGAATTATTGCGAGTAGCATGCGCGGAATAGCTGATGTATGAGTCGGTTAACCTCAATCTCGTGACGGCTTTGTGCTAAAGATGCTCGAGAAGGGCTATCGCTGTTTCCGTGTGATCAGACATCCTGCGCCCATTCAACAAAGGCATATGCTCTGTTTGGTTGCTCCAGTATCACAGACAAGCGGCGCGTATACAGCATGGGTGGCAGCTGACCGATATTATTTTCCAAGAGAACTCACTGTAAACGTAGCGAGAATCCTTCATCGAGAAGACGATCGATCGTGACGCTTAGGACCTTGGTGGTTGAGTCGTAGGTCGGAATCGTCGCCACCTCCTGGCCGTTGAGCTGCACAGACTCCGTGGCCTCGTCGGCGTTGAGAAGCAGCACTCTCGACAAGTTCACGCCCACTGGATAGTCGAAGGAGCCCGTCACCGTCAGCACCCCAGCTCGGTAGGTCATCTCCACCTGTGTCGTCGATGCTGGCGTAATCGAGACGCCATCGTCCATGTACAGTGAGCCTGTCGCCTCGCCCGTCGCGTTTGGCGCGATGACCAGCTCCAAAGGTTGTTGCCGAAGCGCGGTGGTAGTCATGGCGCCTTGCGAGCGGAGAGGCAGGATTGCGCCGCCTCGTATGTGAACCGGGATCGACGTCAAGTTCACGTCGGTCATCTCGACAAACTCACCACTGCCCTGGACAGGCGCGAGAGTGGCGAAGTCATAGAAGATGTCGTTCGGGAAGTAGACGCTGACGGACGTTGCGTTTTCCTCTGTGACAGGCGAGACCAAGATCGACGGGCCGAAGAAAAATTGCAAGTCGATCGCAAACGTCGATTGGTCCTGCGGATACTTGTACCAAAGCGGATTCAGGACAGGAGTGCCGTCCACGCTTGCCTGATGGAATGCGGTATAAATGTAATCCATCAAGCGATATCTAGAATGTCGGTCAGTCAGGACTTGTAAGTGTAAATGCCAAACCACACTTCCGCACCTCATGTCCAAAGCATTCTTCGCCGCCTGAGCAACGGTAGGCCACCGGTAGAATTCTTGGCTGATTGATGTATCATCGTTGTGCTGCAGATCCATTGAGCAAACCGCTAACAAGTGTGCTAGCGGACGTACATCGCGCATGAATGGATAGAAAGCTCCGAGCATAGCCCATCTTGCACATAGCGTCTCCGTAGTGTCCCCGGCTACATCAGTGGCATTCAACTGTGTGCTCACCAGAATACAATCGTGCGACTCACCGTACCCGCAGATATCTGCGCCCACCATCGGCACGTGGAACACGCTCGCCATGCTCAAGATTCCCGATATCGAGTTTCGGTAGTGTTCCCAGTCAGCCATGTTGTCGCCGAGCCACTTCTGCACGTGTGCGCCTGCACCGGCGACGTCGAGCGAGTGACCACGAGCGTCCGGAGGCCTGGTCGGCGAGCTAGCATGGCGTAATGCGTCACAGTGGACATCATCGTCCCGAACAGGTTGTCTGCACGGCTTATGGTCAGTCGGCTGAACATGCTAGGGCTATTGCGAGCTCCGAGACGCACGGGTGTCATAGTCGAGCAGGCCGTTCGCGTGTACTGCATTCGTCTAGGAGTGAGTTAGCGGCCAGCCATACTTTCTCAAAGGTAGGCAGACTCACATATGAAGTCCTATTTGACAACGCTCCGGCAGCATTGTCAATGGCGTAAGGAGGGTTTAGAACGTCCTCGCCGCTATCGCTTTGTCTCTTCTGCAGCGACAAAACGACATTAGAATCGGTTGAGTTCACGAAAATGGGCGCGTTCGGGTCAGGTGGGATCGTCGTCCGCGGCGGTGGAAGATCTTGTTCGGCAGCTTGCTGGAATGGATCCGTACATGGGTAGGTGCAGAACTAGATGTGTGCGACGCCTCAGCAACACCGTCAATTACTCAACAAGAGCGACGTACACTGGATGGCTCGTTCATGTCTATCCATGCACCGTCAATGTCGAGTCCGTTAATTGGGTTGTAGAATAGCCGGAATTCGTTTGTCCAGAAGCTGTTACGGGGTCAGATTGCATGTTTCGCATTTTCTGGCCCGAATACGCACTCCTGTACGCCGGGGTTGAACCAGTCTGGGAATACTGTGACGCCTGGCCAGACCGCGCCCAGGAAGAAACTCCCGTTTGCAGCCTTCAGCCAGACGTCGGCTGCTGTCCCGCGGTCGTACGTGCCGTAGCCCTCCCCGGGCGCGTAGGCAACAGCGGGATCCGTCATCAAAACTACGCACCACTCGTATTCAACATAATGCTGATTTTGGCACGTCCGATGGACTGGACTTACTGTAGTGTTGGTCGTGCGAGTGCAAGTAGTCAATTATCTGACGCATACGGGTCAAGGGGAAATAGTCTGGGTCGAGTGTAAATATACGCCGGTTGTACATGTAATCTGTTCGGCACCGATATACGTATGTCAATTACTGCGCATTCGGTGAGATAGCATAGCATACCGATGTCTGTCCACATGGTCTCCAACGGTATGCCGGCCAAGGAATAATTTTGGATCACATCCGCAATGTCGACAAAGTCTGCACGTTGGTGCTTAGCGACATGCATAGAACTATGGGGAACCACGGCACGTACCAGTGTATCCGAAGCGGCATTGGTGCAGCCCGAACGCCCAGTATGGTACCTCCGCCGGCGTGCCAACCACCTCGGCGTACTGCCGTGCGACCTCCGTCGGGTCCGTCTCGCTGCCTGCCAGGAAATACAAATCGAGCACGCCCCCGATGACGTTGTACTCCAGCGTAGTGCCCTCCTCCGTAGTCGTGTTGATCTTGATGTCCATCCCGTTCGAGCTCAGCAGGAACACGCCGTGCGTGCCCGTCACGCGATGCTCGAAGTAGATCGGGTGGTTCCCGTACAGATTCGTCCCGTTCGGCACCCCGTACGCGTCGCGCGACCACAGAGTGCGGACCAGGTCGTCTGTGGGCAGGCGGAAGTCCTCCGTGTGCTCGCCGAGGCCGTAGATGTTCGCGTTCGGCGGGAGACTCGTCTTTACCCGCAGATACTGTGGCTCGTAGACGAGCGGGTAGGATGCGGTGGAGAAGAGCACCTCAGAGGTGGACGCGCGGTAGATGGTGAATGTAAAGGGCGAGCTAGTATAGTTAAAACGGATGGCCGCGGTCTCGGGAGAGGTGGACGGATCGGCCTGTGGGCGGGGCAAGACAGACTCTGGGACTTCATACCTCGAGTGGGCTGGGTCGGAGATCTTCACGTGGATGCGACTCTCTTAGGAGGAGAGATATGCTCAGTGCCGAGCTTGCTGATAATGATACCAGATGCATACCGGTCTCATAAGTCACTTCCAAGAACAATTGTTCGATATCTGGTCCGTACGCGTTGCACGCTGCGCCCGCCAGTGTCAGGTTCGCTACCAGAGTGGGGCCGCTAGTCACGACATTCGATGCAGTATACCCAGGACATGTATTGACATCATATGGTTGCCCTCGGGCATTCCAGACGGAGACCAGCGTCGTGACAACAGCCGCTATGTGCGCATACGGTCGCATGGTGGCTCTGCAGGACCCACAAAAGCCGTAGACGGAACGAAGAGCTCACATCGAGGCCACTTTATAATTGCGACGATATCCGGAGCGAAGTAGCCGTCCTGTAGAAGCGAACATTGTCTGGAGAGGTCATATGGCCTTCTCTCTGGGCGCTACCGCAACATTACCGTGCACATATTCCGCTTTCGCTCGAGGACGCATGGAAGACTGTCACCTGGTGTCGTCAAGTGGCACTTTGCACCGAACAGCCACAGTGCTTAAGAGTGTAGTACAGCTCCTTTTACAGACCTGCACAAGCGAGGTGGATGCAAAACTCGCAGTCAACAGTCCTATCTGACTGGACCCGGCAAAGTATCGTCAGGGGCCGTTGTTTCCAGAGGCCGCTGCCCGCCAGAAGTTCGATCGAACACATATCGAGTTCAATTAATGATGCGTAATCAGCTACAAGTCACAATGAAAGCCGGGCTCATCTTTGCAAGGTGGGACCCACCCGAATGCCGCCACAACTTGGGCCACAGTTCGGCGACATCCGATCGGAATTTGATCCCGGCTCAATTTCGGACTCCGGGCTGCCACAACACGTCTCTTTGCCTAGGGCTGGCGCCCCATCAGGCAATTACTGTAAGATAGCTGCGAGTAGGATGAGCCCATCTGCCTTTGCCTTCTGAAGACGGCGGAAAAGAGCATGGATGAAAGCCGTACATATCTTGTGATACTGCAGGGTCCAATTTCAGATCAGCCTCAGCGATGGTGAGATCACGAGGCGCGTTTACATCACAGACTCAGATCTCGTCGCCAAGGTTGCTGTCGACCTGAGCTTGATAATTTATACCGCTGTGTTCAAGAGTGCCTCTGTGCTAGTCTCGCATGCGACCGGTCGTACGACCTCAAGGCGTGGTCTGGGTGTCTTCGCGCTGCCGATTGCTACAAAAACTGATGGCGCTTTTGAACAGTAAGCGTGTAGACATCCTGGGAAGGACGAGTCTACCATGGCTACTGAATGGACTGTTTGACAGCGCGAAATTCGCGCTTCAAAATAACTTTGCCGCCTTACTCGCCCCGCGGTGATGCTTGGCCGACTTGAGAGGCAGGTCCCATGCGTGTCCATTGGCCAAGAAGCGCTGCACCGTGTGGGGGGAAGACGGCCCCTGGACACAGAAGCCGAATTCAAACTCATGGACCGAAAACGTTCCCGGTAGTGCAGTCCGAGTGCCGTTCGTTCCCAGCGTATATAGCTGGGAACAGAAGGAAGAGCACCTGCTCGCCTCCTCGTGTTCACTCCTCTTTTTGCGTCTTCACAAGGCCTCCTTCCTCTCGTTTCTCCTGATGGCGGCCCGCGTCCTCGTCCTCTCGTTTCTTGCCCTCTTGTGGACCCCGCTTGCTCTAGCAGGCACCCAGAACCTCACCATCGACGACGCCGATCCCCGTTTCTCGTACTCTCCCTCGGGCAAATGGACCGCACGGCCAGGTCCGTGCTCAGGCTGCCAGGCCGAGCCCAACTCCAGTCTCGCCTACGATGGCACCTGGCACGACACGACCTTCGTCAACGGCCAGGACCTTACTCCGTTCAACGCCACGGTGTCTTTCAGCGGTGCGCCCCTCGTGTAGAACAGTGCCCCGTCTCGCGACTCATGCACTCGCCGTGCCGGATGTCTGGCAGGCTCTGCGGTCTACGTGTACTGCATCATCTCGCATGCCCAGTCCGACCCCGACGGCAACACCGACATGCAGTTCATGATCGACGGCGAGATCGTCGGCTCCGCCAACATACCCCCCACGGGCGAGGCGACCTACAGCTACAACTACCTGGTCTACAGCGGGCAATTCGCCGAAGGGCAGCACACACTGACCGTCGTCAACGGCCAGGAGGGCGGGCCGACGTCGCTGGCCCTGCTGGACTACATCAAGTACACGTGAGTGAAGCGCGCCGTTCTTCTTGCCCGTGCTTTGTGAACGGGACGTGTCTGTCTCTGGAACCGCAGAACCGAGGTCGAGCTTTTGCCCTCATCGACTCCGACTGCGTCAGGCAATGCTACGGGCCCCGCTTCAAGTGCCCAAGATACCCAGACTTCCGCCAGTCTGCCGGCAACGACGAGCCTCTCTTCTCACTCGGCGAGTCCAGCCGCGAGCGTCAGGAGCTACTTCAATTCCGGGATGGGCACGATTCTGGTCATGATAGTCATGGCCGGGACGACGTTATTATAATAGTGGCTATCGTACAATATGTACTCTTGGGGGTGCGTCGACTTATGTGTATTTTCTGGGGCTCTTTTTCCATTTAATGGGTGTTGTATTGGGATGAATGGTTGTGGGCTTGGCCCTCCATGAAAGTCTATATATACATGCAGGGTATGCTGAAAATATATGGAGGTAAAATAGTACTTAAAGTTACGTGGTCAAGCTGTCGTACCGGACGCCAAGAAGCTGCCGAGCTGCTTCGCCAGCATCAGCCTGAGCGAGTTCTGCCCCATCTTGTTCTCAAGTTGCAGCAGCCCGGTCTGCTCAGAACCATCGCCGGCCGCTTCTGACGCGAGTTGGTGGGGATCGACGTCCATGCGTTCATCTCCGCCCCAAGGCTCATCCAGTGCGCTCCCGTCGTCCGAACCCTCGACTTCGTCCTCGTCCTCGTCCTCGTCCTCGTCCTCGTCCCCGTCGTCGACCGCCTCCCGCTTGTCGGGCGTCTGGAACGGCGAGATGCCGCCCAGCCGGCTGTACTCCCGCGCGAGGGCCTCGTCTTCCCGCCCCTCTTTCACGAGGCGCGCGTACTGCCCCGCGCGCGACCGCCTCGGCGGCGAGTACTCGTCGTCCGAGCCCTCCTGCGCATGGTCAATGATGGGCTCGATCTGCAGGACTGAAGATGTGCCCACGTGAGAGGAGCGAGAGGGCGCGCCCCCGACGCTTGAGCGCGAACGGCGCGCGTCCGAGGAGCGCCCTCTCGCGGGACGGGGAGCAGCCTGCTCGTCCCCGTCCTGCAGAGCCTCGAGGTGCTGCAGGGCCGCACGCTCCGCAGCCTCGCGCATCTTGGCGAGAGTCACGTCGGTCTCCTTGAGCGACCCTGTCTGGCTCCAAACGCGACGCACGATCTCCGGGTTGAACCCATGGTTCTCAGACATGGTCTGGATCGCCGAGTCGATGCCAATCTGCACGATGACGGACTCGTCTGCCTCGCTGAGGTGCAGATCGGGGTCCAAAGACGTGGCGCGGGAACGGGGACGGTTCATGAGGCTGGACCGCCGGTGACGGAGAGAAGTGCCGAGCAAGGAATCATCGAGGGAGCCTGCAATCGCGCGCGCAGTAGGCAGCACAGGTTCTGACATTCGTACCCTGGGGGCCTTCTCTTGGGGATATATCTGCGGCGCAATGTCCGTTCTTTGCCCATTCAGAGTGTTGCGCCGAGGATTAGGATACGGAGTCGGCGGTGGCATCTCCCGAGATTTGCCTTTGACGTCAGACAGGTCACCCTGGAAGTGAACACTGCGGGAGCCGCCCGCTTCCTCCTCGTAAGCATCATGGGGCACCTTTTGGGCCGAATTGGAAGGACGTATATGAGCCGTGCTTGCGATGGCACGATCAGGAGCGACCTTGCTTTGTGCATGTGCTGCTTGGCTGATGGTATCCTGGCGTCGCATAAATTCGCCGAAGCCAGATGCGAAAGGCCTGGTCGGAGGATGATTCACCGGAGGTAGCGCAACCTTCGAAGGTTGCGCTGTGGAAGAGCGGTCCACGCGCGATGTCATGAAGTCGGAGAGTTTCGGGACGCTGTCAATCTGTTGTGTCGGCTGGCTAAAGGGATGGTGCTGCGATTGCCCCTGCGACTGTGTCATGGCCTGGGTACCAGGGTCCTGTGTTGGCTGACTGAATGGGTGATGTACCCTCTGAGTAATCTGGCGATTGACTTGGGATGTACGAGACGTCGAGGCATACGTATCTGCACTCTTCGCACCAGCAAAAGGTTGAGAATTGGATGGCCCTCGCCTTGTTTCTGCGGTCGCGTGCCTGCTCGTCGCTCGCTGTGCCGTCTCCTCCTTGTCTTTACCTTTACGACGCGCGGGCGGCCAATCTCCCACATCCGTGGTACCTTCATCACTCTCGTTATCACCCTCGTCGTCGTCAGTGTCTTCTACCCCACTAACACGAGGACCGAATCCATCCCTGCTCACACGACGTCTGCCTTTGGCATCAGTGAACGCGTTGTTAAATGCGCCCTCGTCGAGACGCGGAGGCTCCCTGGGTCGCTTCCGTGGCTGAGGTGTGCTTTCCCGGCTGGCCGCGACCGGCGTAGGAGGTTCAGAAGCGAATGTGATGTCGTCTGCTGATTTTAGCATAAAAGGGCGATGTGATGACTTCTTCGGCTTCGCGGAGGATTTCAAGAACTCTCGAGACGGACCGGCCTCGACATTCGTGTGGTGATCGGCTACCTTGTGAGATGGCATATCGGGAGTCTCTAGGCGGTCATCGGTTGGCGATTTGCTGTTGGGCTGTCCCTGATCTGCGGGTACGCTAACCTGACTTTGGGCGCTTCCTGCTCTGTAGACAGCAGTGCGTTGGTTAGATACAGCGACGTCCGTTATAATAGACGAAGGCGACCGTGCCACACTTGTAGGAGGGGTAGGACCCTGTGTGATTTTCGTGGGACCATGCGCCGACTTCTGCTGCTCGGACTGAATTGCCTTCAACGACGAAACTATTTGGAGGCTCCCAGAGTGATCTCCTGGCTGCCCACGCGGGGTCGACGTCACCGGGAACGCACCGGGGAAAGACCCTGAATTGTCTGGCGGAGGCGCAAAAGCGGATATGTCAGGATAGAGTTTGCCTTCCTGCGCGATGTCGGGCTTGGCTCTGGACACCGGGGTCGGAGTGTCGTCCCGTGAAGACACAGACCTGAAGATATATCAGTCCACGTCCTTATGATTCGTCCAGGCAAATTTTCAGTTCTTACCTTGTATCCTCCTCATGCGGCGTAGCAGGATCAGCAACCTGAAATCCTGTTCGTTGATCCTGATCAGGATCCACACCGTCAGTGGATATCAACTCGTCCTCCTCTTCCTCCTCTTGCGCAACATCTCCTGCTTCTTGCCCATCGTCGCAGGTGTTCCCGTCCTCAACGTCTTCTTCTTCCTCCTCTTCTTCCACTACGACGTTTTCCCGTGGAGGATCAAAGATCTCTCCCGAATAGTCGTCCGAAGGGGGGAGTTCTTGATCGTGATTGTCTGCTGCTTGCTCCTCGCCGATCTCAGAAGTCAACTGGGCCTCTACGCCTGCGGCCTCCTCCTCGCTCGAGTGCCTCGTGTCACCAGACGGTCCTATTATAGGCTTAGACTCCTCAGCTTCGCGAATCGGCGGGAAGTCGGCCTCTGCCGCCAATATGGAGTCTGCAGAATCGCCCTTACGCCTCCTTTTCCTGCGCGTAGATTGTGGGTCGTCCTCCGCGGTGTGCTTCGCCTTGCGTTTGCCCTTCCCGTGAATCATCTGCTCTTCCCTATGTTTGCCGCTGGCAACGGCATCCTCCTTCACCTCTTCGTCTTCTTCCACCACTACTGGAACTCTGCTACTCGGACTAGCGCGACCGTTTGCAGTACCGTTGCGCACACGCTTCTTTCTGCTGCGCGGGCCAGGCGTCTCCAGAATCTCTTCGGTTGGGTGTGCCCTTTGCCATTCTTCGATATACGAATCGAACTCCGCTCGCTGAGTCTTGTATCGCTCGCGCCACGAGTGGGAGGTGTGGCGTTGGGACCACGGCCACTTGCCCTCCTCCTACGCTTCATTTAGAGGACGTGGTATATGAACGATCTCAACACTCACATCTTCCATCAATTTTAGATACAAGGAGTTTCCAAGCCGGCCGTTCGTAGTAATACTGTGCTTAGCGAGGTAGGCTACGAGATGCTTATCGTCGTCCGCTGTGAATGCTGTGCGGGTGCTCCCGCTTGGCGTCGGTTTTGGATTTGACGGAGCCGGTATATAGGAGGGGTCTTCCTCTAATTTACGCTGTTTCTTGAGTAGCCGCGAAACTTTATGATCATAATATTCGCGATTCTTCACATAGTGGTTTCGCCACGCTTGCCAGGTATGCCGGCTCGACCACGCCCATTTCTGCTTCGCCTATATATCCAAATTGATAGGGTGTAAAATTGTAAGAAGTTTATGATGAGCCCGGTGCATGACATCAACGTACATTCTCGCCTAATGCCTTCCATATCTGGTTTCCGCTCCTGTCTCGCCCATCGGGGGTGTACTTGGCAAGATACTGGATGATGTAGTCTGCGTCAGTTTCGGTAAATTCAACGCGCCTGTGGAATGTATGGAGGACGTTAACTGAGCGTGTCCTCAACACTGACTACGGGAACATACGTTCTGCTCTGAGAAGGGACAGGCATTTCCAGATCCAAAAGCGCGGCAAAGATTTGACTGTGCGAAGTCTGTGAATTCTTGAAGCAAAAAGGTGCTGCTGCAGCCCCCGCAGCAGAGGACGTTGCAGGCTGATCGATTTGAGAATGCGAATGCAGTTCAGACACAGCGTAAGGCAAGCGCGGAAACGCGACCCTTGTTGTCACGGAGCGCGTTACAACATGTAATCACGGGACTGTTTTGTCACACTCACGGATTGGTCACGGCATCACGAAGTTCCAGCCGTATAATATTGTGCCACATTATTATTGAGTTCAACAGGTATGGAGTCAACTGTAATCTTTCCTCGATTTTCAATGCTTACATTGGTAAGATCAAGCGTGTGCCATTCGCTTTTTATTCAGTCTGAAAATGATCTTTTGTACAGGGAGGTATTCTGCCAACTGGATCCCCGTTGGTCCTTCGTTAATTCACTGTGCTCCATTACCACCGGCGGGTTGGCGGTCTTGTGTTCATGCAGGTCTTGCGGCGCGCAAGCAATCCTAAGACCGGAGTGCCGATTCGGATTCGCTCCGGTCAGATCGAGGCAACAAGTAGAGGAGATAGGACCCAGACGCGTCGTGAATGTTTTATTCGCGCGAGCTAACCCAGAGGATCAATCTCTATTGTACAAATGGCAACATCCTCGACAACAACGAACGCAAACACGGCGCGAAAGCAGGTAGACAAGAAAGTAGTCTAAAATTAGAGACGTAGGGTATCATGGAAGGGGGTATATTGAAGAGTTGCGCGCGTTTGAAGAGAAGAAGGGAGGGGGGGCAAGATCAAGTCAAAACGTTGAAGTGTGTCGGGCGATATGCTCTTTGGCGCGGGTGAACCGGAAGTCGTCCTTCTCTCCCGCAAGCAGCTGATCCATCATGATTGTGTTGGGGAGGATCCTCCCGGCGTCGGTGCGCTCTAGCTCGGCGTATTTGGAATCCTTCCCTCTGTGGAACGTCGAGAACGTCAGATCGACGTCCGATCGCGACAACGACTTCGAGGGGGGAGTGTCCACGTCTGTGACAGTCCGTCAGCAACCATGATAACAACGAGACAGGGCCAGACTCACGTAGGTATCCACGCCTTGCCAGTACGTCCCAGTCGATTTCCTTAAAGTACGGATGCTCCTTTATCTGCTGTGTGGTTGGTCTCTCCGTGGCACGCAGCCTCAACATCTGTTAGATTGCGTTAGCGCCTGAACATCAGAGCCACTATGCAGAATACATACTCGGTCCAAGAGGTCATAGGCATCCGCATCTTTGACGAGCCTTCTCCATTCTTGTCTATCTCTCGCCATCAGCAAGACGTTTTCCTGCATATCCTTGGCGTTGAAGTATGGCTGGGGCATGTCAGTCATGACCTCCAGCAACACGAGCCCAAGGCTGTACACATCGGCGCTCGATTTGTAGCCTTCGATGCGCACGTATGGGCTGAGGGCTTCCGGCGCGAAGTATCCTGGCGTGCCGACGACGTCGAAGGCGGTGCACTTCCGCAAGGAATGCCCCTTCTTGGGCACGTAGCACAGGCCGAAGTCTGAGAGGTATATGTGGCCGGTGCGGTCGACCAAGAAGTTTTCAGGTTTGAGATCGCGATGCATAACGTTCATCTTGTGTAGCTCGTCGAGAGCGAATACCTGAAGGGCTATGAGTGCACAGAACGATGACATATACGGCATGCCGACACTAACCATTTCTGCGCTGCGCAGCTTAGCTTCGTCAAGATTCAGAATCTTGTCCTTCAAGTGCGAGCGCAGGTCGCTGGGGCGCCACTCCTGAATATAGATAAGCACCACGCGATAACCATAAGTCAAGCCGGGCGTACCATGGCGAAGTACACGTTCTCTTCATCCTCCCAAGACTCAAGTAAGGACGTGAGGAACTTGTGTCCAAGTGTCGCAGCCTTTGCCATGATGGCTTTCTCGGTGAGTAGCATCTGGCGACCTGTGGAGAGTCGATATTGCTGCCATTTGTGGATGACCTTGATGGCGACGTAGTAGCCGTCGTCAGTTTCGGCGGCGACCACGCGTCCGCCGCCACCTTGGGCGATGCGAGAAAGGACTCTATACGTCGCTGTGCCACTAAAGAGGACGACCTCGGGTTCGATCTCGGCGTCGACTAGACTCGCGGGATCGGCAGGAGTCTCAGACTCGGGGAGTGTGGGATGGTCAAGATTGTCTGGGAGATGTTCGTCATTTGTGGCTGAGCCAACTTCCTCGACTTTATCCTCGCCGAAGCTAAGTTTCACCTCGATGGATTCGTTATGGAAGTCGACTCCCAGAGGCGGCGAAATGTCGTCGAGGAAACGCTTGAAGAGCTCCGCCTTACCAGTGCCCTCATCCGAGGCGACTGCGGTAGAGCTCGTTCCGGACGACCCACCAGGACTCTGATTGCTCCAGCTTGCAGAAACGATTGACGCGCACCACGAGGACGAAGCCGCCGTCGGGGCGTGCGGTGCGTGTTCGGATGTTCTGGAAGGTGCCACAGACGCGACGACGTGCTCAGAGCGCGTAGAACGCGCGGTATGCGCGCTGCAACCTACGAACACGATCGACGGAGTATCTTGTGCGGCGTTGCTGGATGGAGAGGAAGAAGTGACGTAGGAGTAGAGCGAGGTCGACCAGAGACTGGCGATGCTGGGCGGAGACCGCCGCGCCACTGAGAGACGAAGGCCAAGGGCGCAGGCGATCGCAGGGCCAAACAAAGGGAGTATCACTGGACCAACGCCACATTGCCCATGAGACGCGACGAGGGAGATGGTGTTGACCTGAAGCGGGGTCCCGGTGTTGACCGGCGGGAAGGGCTTATAGACACGCGCCACATTGGCGACGATGGCGCGAGCAGTTGCTTTAAGCGCATTGTAGAATGTGTTGGAAGGGTGGAGTGCCGCCTCACCATGGAGGACGGCACTCTGGACTGGGGCTTTGGAAGAGCTGCGGAGGAAATCCATGGAGAGGGGAAAAAGTAGCGGTAAAGGTCAAAGCGTTAAGATCTAGCAGGTCTTTTATATTGGCGGAGGAAGAACAAGCCCAGAGGCCAATGCACAAAAAAGGCAAGGGGCGCAGGGACCGCTTTGGCAGGCCTTCGTGATCAAAGGCAGGTTCTCGAGCCCACATATGTCCGGCTAAACATTCCGTGCCGACCAGCTGACGCACCGGTGCCCGTGCGATGAACTTGAACCTCAGGTCCCGAGCTTCCGCCACATTGCAATTTGATTGCCCCCTCCCGCACTCGCAGCGCTGGAATGCCAGGGCATCCTTGCTGTGGCGGTTCTATATCCGACTACGTATTCTGTTGTCCTCGCGGTAACTCCAACGACCTACACAATTGCGAGGGTGGGCGGGCGTGGTCACAACAACGGTGGAGGACGAAGAGCTGCAGCAAGCGCGCGGAAGCATTTTGATGTTGGCGATCTCAGATCTGCACGACGCCACATGCCAAGTCCTTACTTTAACACTTATCTACAAACAAATATATAGTCATATAATCTCACCTTATGACCGGTGCTCCTGCTGCGATGCGACTGACCGGCCTAGGTAAGTGCACCACGCCACATGTCCACGTATAATGTCCATCCAGCAGTCTGCCTCCACCACAGTCTGAATTTGCCGAAAATACAGAAATGGCAACGCACCACGCGTAAGAGAAGACGAGAATGCTGTTATCAGCGCAATCATTGCACAGCGCTCCGCCACTATCTGACACGCAGCTCGGAGAGCGCCCAAGATCAAGATACTTTCCTCTACTTATTGCGGATCTCAGTCGAACTCACACGACCATATATTCTGGTCTCATAAATATAACTCTGAACTGCCGAAATCGTGGCCAGATACACTGCACAGGTCCCCATACACATATTCGAGTTCAGTACACGCATGATGCCTAATCCAGCCGTCCGTCAGTCTTTCCGCCACATCTACGACACACACTGCACGTTATCAGCGTGATCGATACACAGCCTTAGACTTGCTGCACTCCGCCACTATCATACAAAGCGCCCGGTACGGCATACACCGGTTTGCATTGGCATGCCTGGACCCTCCTCTCAGTTGTTAATCTCCTTGAGCATCTCGAGCACCATGCTCTTGTCAACGTCGGATGGGCCAGCTCCTCGCGGTTCTCTCCATCTCGGACTGTCCTCCTTGCCTTACTCCTCACCGCAAGCAGGCACTCCGTCCCGAGCTGTATCCGCAGAGGCGGATCTGGCATGTCAGCAATCTTCAACAGCGCCTTCGCCGCTTTGGCAGTGTTCCCGATAAACGCCTGTCATGCGCCTAGATCTCGATTCGACTATGGGAGACTTAGGTCTATCGTACTTGGGGTGCACAGGAAGCTGCTCGATGGAGTCCTTCCATTCTGTGCGCAGACCACCGGGCTCGACGACGACAACTCGAACATTCCACTGTGAGAACATTTCCGTGACGAAGACCTCTGTGGATGCCTAGAGCTACTATGCTACGATTTGTACATCCGCGAGCAAGAGGTCAGCAGCGTCCACAGATCATGTAGTGCCTTACACAGCGGATTTCCCAGCACAATAGTAGGCGAGCTTCAAATTGCTGCTGTAGCCGCAGAAATGCTCAGAATGAGCGCGCTTTCCCCGGAGGATTGATGTCTCTCAAGATCGCTGAGGTCTTCGACCACAGCGCTTTCGCATGACAGACCTGTTTCGTGATCTGCACTGTCACCAGAAAGTCACCTCCATGTCTTTCCGTGCTTCGTCTCGGGTGTCACTGCGTTTTCTCCTTCCAACGCATACCCTGCATTGTTGACGACGGCGTCAAGCCACCCAAAATGCACTTCCGTACCAGGAGCGACGAGGGATACTAATTCGCAAGCGGTGGAAGTATTCCCGGCCTGCAATGTTCCGTGGAAGCCAGAATCTTTCGAGCAGCGCTCCACCGAGCCCTTGGGATGTGCCAGTAACTGCATTGTAACGCATGTTGCACATCGCGGGAGGGGATTTGGTCAACTCACTGACCCAAACTCGGGGCGCAGCAGGTTGAGCGGCGGTCTTCGCGGCGACCGTGGATCGCCCGCCCCGATGGATTCAGGGCTGTATAAGGGCGCAAGCTTTGCGAACTCATCGCGGTGTCCTAAAAGCCCTATCCACGCCATAATGAATAACGACACAAGCTTGAGTGCGCGAGACCAGGGTGACCAAAGTAGTATACTCACAGCATAGGATTCTATCCTGAGCGGGAACATAGTCACAAACCTGATGACAATAGATCATGTCGATCAGTCTCGATTCCCCTGTGTCCTGCTATACCGTCTTGTGTCGTGCTGCAGAACGGTCGACAACATGTCTTTTTGAGAGTAAGGTGTGCATTGGGCTGCGCGAACGCGAGCATGTCTATCGTTTATCCAAGCAGGGCACTTACTTGGATCATTTCGAATAAGAATGGCCAACTGTACACGCTTCGCAGAGGTCACTTGGTTAAGTAACGATAATCATAGCCATAGCAGACTCCAAAGAAAGTCGGACCACATACACACCCATAACCAAGCAATCCACGTGTGTCAATCCCGGTAGTTAGTCTGCAGTTCCACGGGGCCCGTCCGCTCACGCTTACGATCCAATAGTTGGACCTTGACTCTGCGCCATCTCCTCGTCTTCCACCTCCCGCGCATCGCGCAGCCAGCCATCGAAATCCACATCCTGCCCAAGGATCTCATCTACGCGCCCCACGCGGCCCTCGACGTCGAACTGAGAGCTGTACCCCATGGCGAAGAACCCGCTGCTCCCGCGGTCCAGCGGACGACTGCCGCTACCCTGCATCTGCCCATAGCCGCCAACAGCAACGGACCCGCCGCCACTCCCGTGCGAGCCGGGCCGCTGAGAGGACACGAACCCCGGGGCGAATGCGGCCGGGTTCTGCGAGAACATGGGCGAGACGGGGGAGCGAGGCCGGAAGCGGAGAGACTGCGGCGAGTCGGATGAGCCGGATGCGGGTGAGGAGAAGTACGTCTTTGCGCGCTCTGGCTCTGACCCTGGCACGCGATCTTCGTCGAGATCCGGCAGGACTTGTCGCTGTGGGATCGTCTCCGGCCTTTTACCCTTATCCTGTGGGTGATTTGAGGCCTTCGCCTTGCGCGAGACAGGCCGTGGACGCGGCTTTGTACGCCTGGACGAGGCGAGTAGATCTTTCAACTCGGGCAAAGGGCCCGGCTTGTTTGGAGTTGTGGGGACCGGCGGTACGTTCGCGTTGGCCAGTCCTACGGTGTTTGAGACTCGAAATGGGAATGACGGGCCGAGGGAGGCGTTGGCAGGCGATGAAGGTGCTGGGGGCGGAGTCGAAGGCGGCGGCGGCGCACTGGAGCTGAGATCTGCGCCTACACGTGCTCGTTTGGGGGGGTGCATGTCAGGGGTGATGTCCATAGCATCGTCTTGAGGTGTCTTTGACCGGGCGCGCTTCGATATCTTGCGTTCCGAAGATAGCAGTATGTCCGAAGGCGCTGGCGGACGCACAAACTGCTGCGTCGGCGGCGGCGAAGAGAGCGGTGACGAACACATTTGCGGCTTTATAGGCGGAGGCTTGTAGCGCTCCTGTACTGGTGGAGTAGACGTCTTCAACTGAGACGGAAATGACGGAGGCAGAAATGACTGCGATATATGGTCAATGTACGTAGTATTATTGACGCCGATTCTCTTACCATCTCAGAGATGGCTGCTATGCCTCCTTCGTGAACTTGGTCGTTAGGACTGGTTGTAGGTACCGGATCCTTGTCGACTGAGATCGATGCGATAGGCGCATTAGGAGGAGTGGGGTTGCGTTGCACCGCACTCTTACGCTGGCGCAGTTGAGGACCACCACTCTTTTCAGGCTTACCGGACTTTGCGACAGTGCGCTTTACAACCGAAAATCCGAGGGACCCTTGTGACACGTTGTCTTCTAGTGGTTTCGTCTTGCTTTTCTCCTTTGCTGTGCCATCAGCAGATTGAGATCCTGCCTGAACCACATTTGTATTGGCGGAGACGTGTGTCAACATAGGCAGATTTGTCTGCGGCGGTGATGTCGTATTGCCAGTCATGGATTTACCGTTCACCGTCTCCGTGATATTCTGCGACTGCACATCTTGAACTGCGCCTCCGTCGATAGGAGTGACGAGCCCTTGCCATGCCGCCACCTTTGCCTGGACAGTCTGAAGCTTCTTGGTGTGTTCTTGAACTTGCTGAGGCCTGCTTGGTTCTAGCGAATCACTCCAGTATTTCGACACGAGTCCGGTTGGTCGGAACTTATGCCCCCACTTCTTCTCATACTCCCACCACTCTTCTTCCGTCTCAGGCAGTGTGAGGGGGACATCACGTACAACCAATTTGGTCATGTCTCCCACTACAACGCCAGGCTCGGCGCCCTTGTAGCCGCGGCTTGTGCAACCCAGCTTAACCACGCGAGCGACATGTCCCCACTTGGGGTGTGTTGGGTCAGCCACGGCGTCATTAATCGCGTCAGTTATCGCGTCGCCGATGCGCTGTATGAGTATGTCGGCTCTTGGGGACGACGGACGCGAAGCTGGGTGCAGAACATCCGGCAGGCCATCTAGATCAGAGCACGCTTGCGTGAGGCGTTCAGTGTAGCCTATCGGCGTTTCAGAGACATATGAGCTCGACGATGAGCTAGAAGATAGAGATAGTCGTCGATTGGTCATAACCAAGAGGTTGCAAGAAGTAAACCAAAGTTCAGTAAGTACAACCCGCCACAACGAGCATATATCGACTAAAGAGGCTGAGGTCGTTCGGCTGGAACAAACAGGTACAAAGGATACATGCAAGCGCCCGGGGTGTTTTTACGGGAGTAGGGCGCGGTGAATCTGGTTACCTTAAATTAACAGCGTCGAAAACATGGGTGTTAATCTGGGTTAATCTGGGAATATTCCTCGCCGACAAGTCTTTTGATTTGACTGTTAAATTCCTGCAGGACATTCTGGCTGGTAGTGCGGATTCCCAGAAGGAACTGCAGCAACGCGTGATGTCAGCGAACATCGCGAGCTCAGTCGAAGTTCGCGCGGAAGACCTGGGATGCGTGGTAATTGACGGTCAATTTCGTAATTCACCGCTTTAGGCTGTTAATTAACGTTAATTAGCACATAGACGCTGCTGGGTTAATTAGCCGTTAATTACACCTGTTAATCTGGCCCCTTAATAGGCCGACTGCTAATTTACGGTAAATTAGGAAGCGATTCCAGATTCACCGCGCCCTAGACGGGAGAGTTGAAAGGATTCTAAGTCATCCAAATATCCTTCAAATTTTGGTGATTAAGCTCCTAGAACACGTTCAAGCATGCAGAAGATTAATCTATACCAAAATGGCACCAAAGTGGGACTTTGGTATGAGACAAGCATAACTGCACGAAGATCATTTAGCCGCCCAGTCGCTGGTGTACCCGGTGCCATACAACTTCGCCAATTGTTCCAAAGCGCAAGCAGAGGTTACTCAATGGCACAGCTTAACAAGTATTGCCACACTACTGTTTTGCGCTCGCGCTGTAGTGTAAAGCGCTTCGCGAGCCACTCCCCGTGCAGCGAGTGCGTATTTATCAAAACTGGTTCAAACCTATTCAAACCAAACTGGATCGCGTCGCGTGACCCCCACGCGTTGATGAGATGTGGCTCCGCGTTGTTGTTCGTGTCCACTACCCCCTCGCACTGCCCGCTCGTCGCAGGCCGCAATGAGCAGGCGACAGTCGCGTGTATCTGTTGATTCTCGTCAAAACGACACATTACTGGAGTTTGAAAACTGTGCGCCTTCCCCACGAGTCTGTTGATCGCTCTAATAGTCCTGGAATGCAGTCAAGAAGAAGTTCCTCCTAGCCAACAAGCATATTACGAAGTCAGTGGCCATGCGGTAGAATTGATATCAACGCTGAAGTAGTAAACTGTGGTGAACAGGCTCAACTCGACACTCAGCGTCCGGATAGAAGAACTTAATGAACAGATCTCGACCCTCTATGTTGAGAATCTCCGCCTCCGTGCTTCGGAGATCGCGCTGGCGTCGCAGCTTAAGCGGGAGCGGGAGAGGTCGAGGAAGATCATAACCGACGCCGAGGCTGCTGTGAGTGTCATTCATATTTTGTTATGTTGCCCAGGCATTTCCTACAATTCAAGAACTGGGCCGATATCTTGTCTCCTGGCAAAGTCCTTGCAGCTCTATTGCTTTGAGCAGACAAGGCTTCTGGGTGACACTGTGGCATGTCCCCCTCGGAACTTAATCCAGCCTTGAGTATGCAAATGGTGGGCTCTCTCCGCGCCCGGACCATTTAGCTCACAAACAATATTGAGGCATGTGCTGCCGCCGTTTCGGTCACTCTCGCCCGAAGGCTATCATGACCCTCCCAGGATATTGACTTCTATTCGTCCTGCATTCAACTCTCTCTGACGCTGACGGCCGACACCGCCCTGACAGACACACAGCCTCATCAAACATCTGGGCCATATCCGCAAGTCGTTCAATGCTCCCCACGGGCGCGAATCCGGCTCAGACGAACAGCTTCCCCCACTCCCCCGCGCGAAACGACCTGTCCTCGACCCCAATGCAACACCATTACCTAACCGCATCGCGCGCGCACCGACGGTCCCGGGCATCTTCGAAGATGACGAGGTGAACGTGTCGTCGCCAGAGGACCCTGATGCCGATGTCGATGACGGGGAGAAGAGTCCCACGCGCGTGCGACATCGCACGACCAAATCACGCTCCGTGGACTCCCGTATTCCCACACGCGTCTCCCCGACGCCTGCTGAGCAGACGGTCGAAATCGATTTTGAGGACCAGCTCGACCGGATAGGCAAACGCAAACCGACTCGGCGACGGAGCGGTCTGCTGACGAGTATGTCTATTACCACCGTTATCCCCAGCGGGATCAGTACGGAGGTCATTCATCCCAGACCCCCAAGCCCTGCTTTTGGGTCACCCTTACGCAGAGAGGCGGGTTTAGCAGAAGAGGAGGAAGAGGCGATCGTCGAAAATGGAGAAGAGCAGGAGGTGGAGGTGATTTTGCAGAGTGCAGCAAGGAGGGAAAGGAAGGAGAGAAGGAGGGAACGCGAGAGCGCTTCCAGCGATCGCACACGCGAGCGGAAGAGGCCGAGAGACCTTGACGAGCCTCCACCCCTAGTCGGAGGGAGCAAATTCAAGCTCAAGGATGTAACGAATTCGCAAGTAAGTCATCCAACATCATCCCTCGCAGACGCTGGTAAGTGGTCGACCTGATTGCCGGGTGCGAGTCTCTTACGTTACCGCAATCTATGCAGATCTCGAGCGACAACATACCCCAGATGATGACGTTCCACTTGCGCTTGGCTCCAGCCGCGCGAGTTCGTCCCTGATCGCGGCGCGCAACTTCTTATCAACACCGGTGCCAAAGTCTTCATCCAGCCTGCAGCAGACGCACTTGCTCACGCCACGGTCCTCGAGCCCTCTGCCGCAACCGCCGGCGCCCGTGCCCGAGGCAGAGCCGACTGGGGGCCGTGAGAGGAGAACACGCAAGAGCGTGAATTATGCGGAGCCGAAGCTCAACACGTGCGGTTCATTTGTCTGCTGTAAGAGGTGTCCGACTGATCGTGCGTATGCTCTAGCAAAATGCGTAAACCGGACCCTCCACCATCTGTGACTGCGACGAAGCGGTCATCGATCACATCGAGTGACAGCGACCCATCGCGTCGTGCCTCGCCAGAAACCGAAGCTTCACATCCGCCGTCCGGACACGACGCAGGTACTACCTCACAGTCTGCGACTGGCATGAAGCGGAAGAAGTCGCGTGTACATGTCCTCCCAGACGATGAGGAAGAGAGCGAGGGTACGCAGGCCGACGCTGAGTACGGCGGAAGAACAGGGACGGGCTGGATCAGTGCAGAGGGTCGGAGGCGAAGTGTGCATTCTGGCTCCAGTCTCCGGCGCCTCGAGGGCGACGACTTCAGACGACATAGCATGGCAGTATAACTCGTGCGCGAACCTATGGCGGCGATATGATATGGACCTTCTTTTCTCTAGGCGAGACCTGATAGGGCGGTTATAATGCCTCTTTTTATTCATTACTTCCGATTGTCGTGCATCACAACCCAAGCAGCAAGTAGAATAGTGTATTATATATTGATCCTTTTGTCGTTATCAATGTCGTCATGTCTACCCAATGAATGGATGTCGGGGAACAGCCGTTGTTGCGTTTTTGCCCGTCCCTCGTATGCATAAGTAAATGAGATACCTTGTTCAGCCAGCAAAGGAGACCCGTTTACGAGGCTTGACTTCTGTGGGGATATCTTTCTTGGGAAGAGAGCTGTCCGAGGATGTAGTCTTCCCCTGCTTCGCATGCTTTCGCTGCTTCGCTTTCTCTCTTTTAGCCCGTGCTGCCTCAGCTGCAAGAGACGCCTTTATATCTTTCTATAGCCTTACAATGAGGACAGAAAGCAGCGGTATTTACTAAGAAAGGCTTACCAGCTTTTGTTTCGAGTCTGATACGCTTGCTGTCTTTTTAGGCTTTGCAGCAGCGGCCTGCCATTGCATGTAAGAATTATGACGTTCTCCAGACTTGCGACACTGAATGCGCTGACCTGCGCGATTTGATGGTGTCGCTCAACCTTTTCGTGTGACTTGTCCTCTTGGGCCGTCGCGACTACCTCGGCCAATTTCAGTGCAGCATCCTGTGATGAGAATTATGTTCACGTCCGACGTCGATTTTCTTGGAGCCGTCGATATGATACTGACCTTGTCGTCCACGAAGTGCTTTGGCTTTTTGGCCCCCTTCTGCTTGATATCATTCTTGAGCGCCATATGTTTTTGCGACAAGCAGCGTTTGTTGCTACATCAGCTCCAGGCTAAGGCAGGATAAGGATGATCGAAAGCTGCTGGAAGCGGAATCGGTTCGCGCCTGCGGAATATTCGGTCACGTGGTGCGCGTGTCCACTCGCGACGCGAAATGTCGAACAGTGTCGCGACGACCTTTTCCCCGCCTTGTCACGCTCACTGCTAGGCAAGAATTTCCAGTACAGCAAACATATGAATGGTCCGCTCAACCTCAGGGAGAATTATGGAGCGACAAGAAGAGGAGGAGGAATCGGGGGAGCTATTCAACGCCCCTAGCACCAGCAACCACAGCAGTCGACCTACTCATGACAGACGCGAAGTGAGTCTTACGATTTTGATCGAGGAACGGGATCGATGATATGAGCAGGCAAAGCAAAACGACCAACTTTTCACGATCGGAGGAAGACCCGCTTATTTTCATATGTACTGCTCTGGGTACGGCTCACTCACTCCAGACCAAGTAGAAATATTAACCGCTAAAGTGACGGTAGGTCGTGTTCTCAGTGATATTGCAACTCCAACATTTGCTGAGAACGACGCAGGCCTATGGCGGGGCTGTCATCGACTCTGAACAAGATGCAGATACAATCGTAACGCAATATGCGGCCGTTGAACTACTACGTCGGAAATACTGGGACTCGCAAACAGTGTTTGTCGAGGATGCACAGTTTGTGCAAATGTGCATCAATTCTGGTCGATACGAAGAGCTCCTGCACAAACCCATGCGAAAGGGGATGGGGGGACAGTCCGGTGGCGTCAGGTGAATACCATATATGAGGCTCATTACAATCCCTGTTGAGTAACTTATGGAACGTCCTGCAGTCGGGTGGCATTTACAGCGGAAGACGACATGCATTTGTGCGAATACATTGCTTCTGTCATCCCAGATCAGGAAGCGGATGGGGGTCGATTTGGTCGAGAAATCTACCAACGCCTAGTGAGGTCGGCGGAGTTCGTACGTGGCCTCCGACGATAACGAATATGCGACATCCTGATCAATATGTCGACTAGTTTGCACAAAGGAAATGGGCCTTGCGGCATCCATGGTCGTCGTGGCAGCAACGCTACAAGAGCCGACGCCAGTATTTGGATCCCGTCATCGACCGATTAGTCGAGGAGAACCCTCCCCGTGCCGACGGGAAAGGTCTCTACGAGCGCAGCAGGGCGTTCAACCCAAAGCGGAAGTTACATATGGTGGGATCTGATGAGGACGAGGAAGAGGGTTCCGAAGATATAGAGTTGCAAGAGTTTGGGCCGTCTGTGCAGGGACGGCCAGAGGGCCACAGCGTGAGGGCTTTGTCTTTGCCACCCAAGAGAGCCAGACATACGGACGTAGGTCCTGCTCGACCGCGCGTATCCGCCGTGGAACAAGGTCGTACTATGCAGCGTTCCAAATCATTCACTCAGCACGACATCGTCAGACGGAATCCACTAGATTCAGATAGCGAGCCATTTGAATTGCCTAGTGACCCTACGGGGCCTGCTCACGATGTGCTAAATGTATTCGAGGAGTAAGCCCCTTCAATATCCGTCGTCTGATGGTGCATCCTAATTAGCCACTTTCTTCCAGTGCCTCCGGCGATATCCTGATCTTGAACGATGAGCCACCAAGCCCACAACTTGCTGGCCCATCTGGTACGCTACGGTCTCCATCTCCAACCCTGGTATCCCGGGAGCAGCGGCAGATGACAAGATCTCAAGGTGACAAAGGAAAGCGGAGACAGGATGGCCCATCTGTTTCGCACGCACCTTTCTCGCATCTTGACAGGCTCACGCAAGGACGAATTCCCGCGAGCTCTCAAGTGACGCTAGTTGGAACTGGTCCGACCCAGACTCGACGCGAAGCGACCCACTCTCGTGACAATGTTGGCGGCAGGCCAACTAACCTCTCGCACATATCGAATCAGAATGGGTCGGCCACAGAGCACGCCTCGGCATCGCGTATACGAGTCACCGGCGTAAATCCCCATTCATCCACTGGCAACCAGCAAGAGCACATTCATCCTGGACTGGCCGTGTTACCTGAGCCGCCTGCGAGAAAGAAGGCACACAGGAGCAAAAGGATCATGGTTGTCGACATGCCTCCGATTCCAGAATTGTTTCCTAGGGCTCAACCCGAACCTCGAGATGTGCACACGTCTATATCGCACCCAGGAGAGCAATTTGTGCCTCGAGCCCCCCGTCCTGCGTCTCCATCAGTCGACTTAGACGAGCAAGACAGGGGGGACGTTGTGCCAGCGGGGGAGGACATTCTGCCCCAAGTCGATGAAGACATGCAGGCCGGAGCCGAAGATGACGACATAGACGTCCCCGAGGGCACTGCGCTGCCAATAGGCGAGACTTATGAAGACGAGGAAGTGGAAGATCTGTTGAAGATCAGCAAGGGCTCTACCTACCCAAGTGCTGCATCATCCACATTGAACGAAAGACACCCCTTTGAGATTGATACCGACGAAGAGCTGGATAGCGACGATCAGCGTACGCGCAGTATGTTGCTGTCTGCGTCACTCAATGTCTCTCAAACTGTGGAAAGCATCCCCCGCATCAGTGCGAGATCCATACTTTCGTCGAGAGCACCTGTATCCGTTCATAGCGACGAGTCGGACGAAGAACCTCCTGTGCTGTCCTTCGTGTCCTCTGCGCGGAGAGCTTCGGCGCATAAGACACCGGCGTCGCAACCTCGCTTGTCGGCTGCCCCCGTCATCCGTCCTCCGCGCACATCTGGTGCATCAGCAGGATCTGTGCGCACGCCCGCGAACCTTAGCCGACGCACCGTGCAACGGACACCATCATCTGACACGGACTCGGTTCCGATGGCCGGCACGCGCGCCCGCGAAGTGAAGACGCTTAGGGAAGAAGAGCTCAAACGGACGCCTTACACGCCGCCCATGGGAACGAGGGCGGCTACATTGAGGCTACGAAATCGAGAGGTGCTCCGCACTGGGCCCAGTATACCGCGACAGCGATAAGTGCGGGCATTACGCTCTGTTTTCCCGTTAGTATATTATAATTAAACAGTGAATGAGTAAGTCATGGCCATATACTTGGACTGTTCCTTAACGAGAATGGGGTAAGCCAGAGTCTTATGGTCCCATTGATGGACCTTTTACAAATCTCACCCGTGTTCCCTAATTCTATTCACCATGAATCTCGATGATTACTCTTTGATGACCGTTGTCCATATGTAGCATATCTAGAGGCAAGCACTGGTGAGCCCTTCTGGCCGTCTTTACCGTAATTAGAAGCTCGTTGTCCGACTTCATGCCGATTGTCTGTATTGAACGCATTTGAAGCACGTATTCTGACAAAGCCTTACCACTGAAAGGAGACTATGAGCAAAGTACGGAACGGAAACCGGCATTTTGAGACTTGCATTGCTCCGTTGAGCTCAGAGCGTTTACGGATTCGGCAGGGAGCGCGGCCGACGAGGATGCCGCTCGGTCGGTGTAATTGTGGCGTGAAATGAACTGACACATTTATATATATAATATATATAAGATCTCTACCCCGGGCATGATAGCCTTCGGTGTTTCTCTCCCGGTCCCTCGGTCTTGCTCATCGTCGCTGATTGAGCCACGAACTTGACGAAGAGATTGCAGGTTATCATGTCTGCGACCGCCGCTGAACGTGAACCGCTCCTCCAGGCTCCGGCGGCTCAACCTGGCGCTGCTGCAGGAGCAGTGGTTCCTCCTCCTGGCACAAAACGCCACATACAAGTCGGGCCTTTGGAAATTTCGCGGTCGACACGTTATGGAATATTAGCGGGAATATGGGCGGGAACTTTTCTATCCGTGTGTACACTTTGAGCATAAGGGTATTCGACTGTGCTAAACTTTTTGGTCTATCTACATCCGACTGTTCCATGTAGTCGCTGAACAGTACGTCACTATATTTGACATCTGCTTGCATGTCCTTATTACCGCACCTACTTCAGCTACGCTCGTTGCTACTTGTGAGCTCACGCGACTCCATTCATGCCAGTCATGGTACTCATAACTTCAGTGTTACCGTCCATTTCTTCCGAGTTCAACAAGTCGCACCAGGCGCACTGGCTCGGAACCGCATATCTCCTCGCAACATGCACGTTCACGCCTCTGTACGGACGTTTATGCAATGTTATGGGCCGCAGAGGCGCCAACCAGATCGCTGTCTTCTTTGCAGCACTAGGCACCGTAGCGTGCGGTCTATCAGGGAATATGGAGACATTGATCGCCGCGCGATTCGTGAGTCAAATATTGCAACGATTAGCTTTGATGTGGCTGGTGTTAACTGCTCATAGCTGGGTGGTTTGGGCGGAGGTGGCATTTTCACGACCGCTACGTGGGTGAATTGGAAATCTAATCGAGTATATGTCTGACTTTGTGCCAGGATTATCACGAGTGATATGTACAGCTTGAGAGTATGCATGCATGTCAACATATGTGCATATAGCTGCTGATTATCTCGCATATATTCAGTCACGAGGACTTACTCAGGGGATTTCGTCCGTATTCAACAGTGTACGTACATTGGCCTATCTACGTGCTTCACAAGATACAGTCTAATTCAACCCTCCAGCTAGGAATGGGCCTTGGCGGACCTCTCGGAGGATTTATCAGCGATCGGTAGCTCTCAGGTAGTCCATACGTGCTATAACGGTCTTACAAATGATATTCCTGCAGATACGGCTGGCGTTGGGCTTTCCTTATACAGCTGCCCATATTCGCCGTCTCGTTCTTCCTGACATCTGTTAATCTGCGATACGTGACTCCAGTACGTGCGTCTGTTGTCTAGGTAATCAGGGAATGGCTGACAATCCCGGACGGTAGGGCAAAGGCAAGAGCACAAAGGATGTACTGAAGCGCATTGATTACGGCGGGAGCTTGACTCTTCTCGGCGCGGTCCGTCCAGCTACTTATGCGTACCAGTCTTCTGCTATAGCTCATAGCAGGTTCTCTCGGTTCTCATTTTCCTGAGCACACACTACAGCGAGGAGCAGCCGGTAAGTCTATCGCTCAAGTGTATCGTACCGCATCCTGACTAGGTGTCGTAATAATATGCAGTGGTCCTCCCCCTCCGTCTACGTCCCCGTCATTACCGCCGCAGCCTTCGCGATCGGTTTCGTCCGTTTTGAGCTGTGCATCGCGCCCGAGCCCGTGCTCGCGCCGTTCCTTCTGCGGGAACGCATTCCCGTACTCGTGGGCATCAGCAATTTCCTCGTCGCGCTATGCAACTTCACAGTGATGTATAACTTCCCGACGTGGTTCCAGACTGTGCTCCTCACGAGCGCAAGCGAAGCCGGTTTGTTCTTTTCGGACCGTAGTGGTAGAGTTATGCTGATGCGTAGGAGACGGAAAGGCGCCCACTTGATCCCTAATGGTATCTCTGTTTCGCTCGGCTCGCTATTCGCCGGGTACGTTATACGTTGTAAAGTGCGGCATGCACCGTTCCTGATCGTCGGCGCTGCACAGTTGGGCTATGCACCGAACAGGCAAATATCGACGCCTGAACCTAGTCTTCGGTCTGTTCCCCTTTGTAGCGGCTATTCTCCTCAGCATGATGCGCGAGGACTCGCCCCCTGCACAACTCTGGCTCAGCATCGTGCGTACGAGCAAAGAGATGTTTATATCATCTCAATGACGCTTGTCACAGATTCCTCTAGGCTTTGGAAATGCAGTCGTGTTGCAGACTATGTTAAGTAAGTCCCACATGCGGTGTCTGTCGTCTTGTAAACCTGCTCAAGGCAGCGTTCTAGTTGCCCTACTTGCGCATCTGCCGGGTAAGGATGCATGTCAATATATGAGTGAAGTATACCTCATGTATTTGCGTCTATAGAGTCATCAATGGCTGTGGGAACTGGCTTTGGCCAGCTATTCCGGGGCATCGGTCAGTTACAGCCCAGGATAAATCACTCAGATGAGACTCATGAATTTTCATCACATTCCAGGGCAAGTGGGCGGTGTAGCTATATCAGCCGCTCTCTTTCAGTCCGTTCTCAACTCGGAGCTTCACAAACGCATTCAGAGACCCAATGCTGACCAGGTGGGTCAACATCAGCGACGCTTGACCGTGATGCTCAAATGCTGCTGCCAATGAATAGTTGATTACGAAGATCCGCCACTCGGCTACGCTGGTCGCCAAACTCCCACCAGACCTGCAGCGTGCAGCCAGAGACTCATATGCCGTCAGCTTGCGCGCAGTATTCCTCATGGCAGCTGGCTCGACGTTCCTCGCATACTGTGCTCGCCTTGCGGTTCGTGATGCTACGCCCTCTTGTGAACCTGCGCTCACTGTGCAATGTATCGCGGCCAGATACCCGACAAAACCCTCGATTCGACCCGTCCTAGGGGCCGCTCTGTCAGCGCCGCGGCGGCAGCTGAGCCTCGCACAGCAAGCCCTGTCACAAACGAGAGTCCCCTTGACAGCGATGATGAGCATAGTGCTGAGGCGGATGATGACATGCCCGCTCTGAGGACAGCTGACTGGCGCCCCAGACGACTATCAACGTATGAATCTTCGGAGAGTTATATGGACCTCGAGAGCGATGTCATTGGGGGATCGGCCCGTAAAGGACGTAACGAATGAGGACTTTCGCCGACTTCTAACATCTGGCACTTCCGGCGAGTGATTTCCCAAAACAGCTGTTCGTCCAATTACACACGATGTAGCCATAGACATCGCCCAGTCTGCGCAGCACAAATACAAATTGGTGCTCCTTTACTGCTGTAGTTAATCTTCTCGTACTTGCACGCATCAAAGGTACGCCTGGCGAACGCAGTCATCAACACTGACGAAGCAATCAGTTCATACATGAGCGTTGCTTACGGCGGCATTTGGTGGACTTGCGACACCCCCTAATCTACAAACATGAGTTAGTCCTGCGAATAGTTCCTCGTCACGACGTGATTACTTACACGTTCAGCGGCCAGGACGTGAAGAAAAACGTGTATCTCCCTGTCTCTGCGCACACTTTCGATAGCGCCTCCAGGTCGAAGAATTCACCTATTGTAAATATCAGCTTCAGGCGTACAGTATGAGAAGGTGAGATGAGCCGACCGATTGGCATGCCGAACAAGCTAGTTGATCATCAGCGAGCCGCCAGAGGCATGCAGAGTGGAAGAACATACCCAAGAATAGTCTAGCAAGAACCAGGTTAGTCCTTTGTATGTGAAACTGAGATTCTACGTACCTCATGAAGAAAATGGCCCGGCCCATCTGCAGGCCAACGCTATGGGCAGAAACGTGAATATGAATCTCACTGCATTACACAAACAAACGCATACCTCAATTGCAGGTTGGTCAGAGGCGATTGCTGCGAAGTGATTGTTCCTGGACGCGGATTCCAGTCATCAAGATCAGCTTCCTATGCTGCAGGTCACCTACCAAAGGAATCGCTTCATGTCTTCTGTCTGGTCAATACCAGCCCTACCCATGCGTCAGCATATCCAGAGGACGGCACATCTGCAGCATCACTCACAATGTCTCTGCCTTGCTGCCGAGATCATCCCGTTGTTCTTGGGAAGCGGCGAACCACTTCTGCAAATAGCCAACGCGGAGGAGGAGGATATCTCCTTGCTGGAAGCTGACACCCTGCTTCTTCGCACAATCCTGCAGCACATCTACAGAGATGCCATACGTCTTCCATGGATCGTATGGAAGCGGGTCTCCCGAAGCCGTGTAGTACTGCACGATATCCAGGAGGACACCACGACCAACGATACCATGCTGGGCCCAGTCTGACACATGAATGTCGATTCGCACTGCCCCATATCTCGTGCATCGTACTCACTGTGAATGCCATACTTGATGGCCTCCGGGTCTATGTCGTCGGGTCCCTTCAGAAACAGCTCGCCGCGTGGAATGGCCTCGGTACGAGTGCTACAAATATTCGCGACATTAAATGAGTACCCCCCCAAGCAAACACACACACAGCGACTTACTTCCCGTAGAACACGCCATGCTCGAGGAGACCAAAGTGTCGCAGTCCATCCCATTGTGAACCTGATTGGGTGTTCTACAAAAGGGTAATATATAGGTATGTATATGCGGACTCCCAGGAAGTTGAAGTCATACGATGTGCAGAGCGTCGTCGTTGACGGCGGGTCCCTTTGCCCAGATCTTGTGCTGCGGTGTTTGACGACCGAAATGAGGCTACGGAGGACCCGACCTCGGCTCAGACAAACTCGACAGTCAATGACCAAAACATACCTTACTGGGGAAATTGACGGGCCTGCAATTAATTGACATAAGCGCTGTCCTTCAAAGAGCAGACAGCATTTCCTGGACTCACCAATTGAGGCAGACAGTCTTGCCCAATCTGCAGGATTACGTGCTCGTGAGCTCGCCCCAACAGGACCCGCGTCGCTACCGTGCACTTACTTGATCTCTTTGGCAGCTTCTTTGACTACTTCTTCGGTCAACAGGTTAATTGTGCCTAGCTGATCATCCTTGCCCCAAACATCCCAAGCGCAACCTGTGAAGTTGTGATACTTGGGGAGCTCGTCGAAGGCCGGCAGCTGCTTCAGGTTGGGGGCCATGTTTGAGCGCGACGAGATATCTCTTGTCCCTGACCCACATACCACCATTCTTATGTCTCATCTCACGCGGAGCAGCGTCGGAACGATCCTGCCGGACACGACCACACTCCACTGCTATGGGAGGTTCAGCTGACCTTCTCGATCACAAGATGGAAGGCTAGTAGTATACATTCGCGGGAAGGTGCGGACACCACAAAGTGGAGGATATACATCTACAAGATGACTGAACTCTAGAGACACATGAATAATTAGAAGCACTGGACCCATAACCGTCGAGGCCTGTACCGTATTTCAAACACCATACCCCAAGTCCTTGGCACCCATATGGATCCCTGTCACCCGCGTATGAAGGGGTGCGTGAGTGCCTCTTTAGGTGTAATCCTTTTCGCGGGATCAAGGGCGAGGCACTTGTCAAGGAGATCGATAAACGACGCTAGAAGCTTGCCTTCGTCATCCTTGAGTTTGATGGAAGTAGAAGGCATCAACCGCTGGCGGAGGTCTTTAAGAGGCGCAGTCATGTGGACTTGACGGACCACATCCTGCAGCCGACGCAAAAAGAATAAGCGCATGGGAAGCAAACAACAGAAAATAGCTCACAGCTCCTGTCACGCGGTCCATCTCGACACTCTGGAATGCACCCAAGTCGTCGAAGTACAGACTACCGAACTTCGCCCTTTTGATCAACTTCGAGTTGAAACGGCCCTTGAGTTCCATCATGAGGAGGAGCATCTGGTTGTTTGACCGACCCGGGAAGAGAATCTTGCCAGTGTACAGTTCGTATAGCGTACACCCAATTGACCAGATATCCAACGCAGGGTCGTATGGGACGCCTAGGACTGCGATGACGTCAAAACCGGCCCAACTCAAGCGAAGCCCGAGACGACTCACTGATCTCCGGAGCCCGATAGAATCGACTAACGAGATAGGGCGTGATCTCATTTTCCGACGCGTCTGACGCTGAGCCTAGATCACACAGCTTGAGCAGTGTCTTCTGTTCATTCACCTGTGGATCTCTGTGAGCGAGATCGATTAAGCTCAGACGAATGACGTACAAGGATGTTATCGGGCTTGATGTCTGCATGCATAATGTTGCATTTCCGCAATAGACCCATAGCAAGGAACAACTGATGCGCGTATGCGCGAACGGCCTTGATGTTCAGGCCGACGTCCTTACCGAAACGTTTCACCACGTCTCGGAGATTCATGCTGCACCACCGGTCAGATTGAGGTAGAAGACACGAACTCTTTGCACTTGTGCTCACCTAAGCGACTCAAAGACTAAACAGAGGTGACCGCGATGCTCGAATGTTCGTTCAAGACGTACGATATGCTTCTTGTCTTCAGGATCTGCCTGCTTCAACTTGTAGAGAATCTGTGCTTCCTTCGTACCCGCCTTGTACCTGCGGGACATGTTAGGACGTCCCCACTCTGGGATGATGTCGAACACACATTGATTCCTGGCATCGCACAATCTTGATAGCAACCTCCTTGCCAGCCTCCCCAACTTCGCCTTGCAGTACACGAGCTCTAACGACGTTGGCAAACATACCCTTGCCGAGGGAAGAGAATACCTGATATCGTCCACCATCGAGTTGCTCTCCTAATATGATTTGATAGTATCCTTCTGAGTCAGCGGCAGAGTCCAGCGTTGTTGTGATCAGTGCAGGTGCAGTAGGTTTCTACAACATGTTCTGAGAATAGAGCGATGGACCACAGAAATGTCACATACGATGACTCGCTTGATCTTCTTGACCTTCTTCTTATCTGTCGTTGCAATTGCGAACATGTCATCGACATCTTCCTCTTCCTCCTCTTCCTCTTCGACTACTTGCACGGCTTCAGCGGGTTCTTCTTTCACGCCAAGCACACGCCTTTGTTCGTCCTCGCGGCGATCAAGACTGGGATCATAATCAGCAGCGAGCATTTGGTCATGAGTGCCGTCCTGTGACGATTCTTTCCGCGCTTCCTCCTCTTCTTTCGCCAATGAAAATATCGCGGGAGTTGGTGACGCCGTCAGCGACTCACGCTTGCCTGGGTATATCATTTAGGATATACGAGGGCCAACTGTAAGAACCGCTTACCATCGCCATCGAGAACGAGGCTGCGGTCGTGATCAAATATAGCAGGCGTTCCGATAGTGCTGTGAGACTGAGATATGGTGTTAGAAACAGTAGGGGAGTCGGGAGGCGGCTCGACCGCACTGCTAGGTCCTGGACTGGGCGAAACACCTTGACTGGGAACTGAGCTAGCGACGCCGGCGTACTTCGCTAGGATTGCTTGTCGTCTTGCTCTGCGTGCCGCGAGCGTCTGCTCTACCGGCGGCGGCGAAGAGGGCAATTCGAGTTCCATATCATGCACTGCTACGGGCTTGGGCGGAGGAGAGCGCCCTCTGGCCGATGCTGAATGCATTGGACGGCCATCCCCAGAAACTTTCGGAAGTGGGGAAAGGCTATGTCTGGGCGAAATCCTGTGCCGACACAACTCGTCAGCACGAAGGATACAAGGTGTAACCGCACATGGCTCACGACACTCACTCGCCCTCTTCTTTCTCGTCATCATCTCTCCGGGTTGAGCTATGACCGTTGACGTGGGCGCGCCCGTTTGCGGACCCGTTCGGACGGGTGTCGCGCGGTGCAGGGGAAGTCCGCCGCCTCACGTCTGACCGCCGCCCATCGTCTCTCCGTGAGTGATAGTCGCGATCGCGGGCTCTGTCCCGGTCATCGCGCCGGTCCTTGTAGTCGCTGCTGCGTCTATGCTCATCCCTGCCGCCGGCACGGTAATCGCTGCTATGCCTCGGCCGCCTGTCGCTCTCCCGTCTATCAATACTTCTGTCTCTCTCTCGTCCACCCGTACGACTCCTGTTCCGGGGGGACCACACGTCCTCTCTCTCCCGCAACCTCTTGTGAGGTTCTGTCCCATGGCTTCCGTCCCAGGCGCGCTTTGACCCTGAGTGCATGTTAGTCATCTTTAAGACGATAGATTTTGGTTTACGGGGCACCGCACGATGGAAAATGGGAGATGAGACACTGTAGGCTCGTCGTCGACACCGTCGACGCAATGGAGAGAGTCAAAGTGTAATACGGACTCCGATGGGTGGTTATCGGTGTACCTTGAAAGTCCGATATGGCTATGCATAACGACTCCGCTCGCAGATAATGGAGCTCCGACACAACTCCGCTCGCCGGGTGGCTGGAAAGCAGCTGAAAGCCTTGGTTCCAAACGTTGTGAAACCTCCGCAATGCATGCTACCTGCAACTAGAGTATCCACTGCTCAGGCTTCTCGAGTTGTGCTGCAACAGAAATAGAAACCTCAGCATGTTCCCGCTGCGAATGCGGCCTCGTTTGAATGGCTTCCACACTGGCGGACTTGTGTTATCTGGTCTGTGGTCTGCAACATATGCTCTTACATCAAGGCTGCACCTCGATAGTGACGAGGATACTGAACGTAAGGCACGGCTTAGGACGGTACGGACAACGCAAGCAAGTGCGTTAGCTAAGGAGAAATCTCTGGACCAATTCAGTCTCGCACGGTCAGTGGACATCGGTTCCGTGCTGCGCAAGTATGAGCAGACATACATCCCTGACAAAGAAACGGGCATCTCGAGATACGATATTGTGCAGTTTGCAAGGTGCGCAGCACCCGTAGGAACGAGCTACACACAGCTTTACGGAACGATGACAGCAACAATCCCATTGAGGACGATCACGCAGAGGCCATCCTGCCCGTGCCATCTGGCTTCTGGTCCTTCTTTGCTGTTCTTGATGGACACAGTGGCTGGGAAACCAGTGCATGGCTTCGCGAAAACCTGATACCCGCGACCAGCGGCGCCCTCGCCGACATATACCAAGCTCACCGCCCCCCCGCGCCCTCCGACGCCCGCCCTCTGCCCGCCTCCGCGGAAATCGACCAATCAATCAAGGATACCTTTAAACGCCTAGACGATGACATTGTGCACCGCGCCGTCGAGCAGGTCTTCGCCGCCGGCACGCGCACCGCCGCGGCGAGACTTCTTGCTCCCGCGTACGCCGGCTCTTGTGCGCTCCTCGCTTTTTACGACTCTCACACGCGCGTCTTGCGCGCTGCGCTCGCGGGCGACTCACGCGCCGTGCTCGGACGGCGCACCGTGGACGCGCGCGGTCGCCCCGCGTACGCGGTACACGTCCTCACCGTCGAGCAGGACGGACACAACCCTGCGGAAGAGTACCGCCTGAACGCGCAGCACCCCGGCGAGGCGGTCGTCGTGAACGGGCGCGTGCTCGGTATGGGCCCCTCGCGGGCGTTCGGCGACGCACTGTTCAAGTGGACCAGGGACGTGCAATGGAAGCTGAAGCAGTCGTTCCTCGGCCGCACTCCCCGGGCGAACGTGAAGACGCCACCGTATCTGACCGCCGAACCCGAGGTCACGTCTTTTGAAGTGGAGCCAGGAGATTTCCTGATACTGGCCACAGATGGGCTATGGGAGTGTCTGTCTAGCCGCGAGGCGGTTGGGTTGGTCGGCTTGTGGCTGGAGAGCCAAAAGGGTCCTCTACCTCAAAGTGATACATCATCTGTTATGCCGAAAGACCTGCCTGTCCTAATTGAGGACGACGAAGATGCTCCTGTAGAAGAGTCTACAGTGAGACACCGTCAGTGGGGTGCCGAGAAGCGATTTGCTAACGCGGACGGGAACGCTGCTACACATTTACTGCGGAACGCATTAGGTGGCGCGGATCAGGATCTTACCGCTGCAATCCTCAGCCTGAGATCGCCACGCTCGAGGACTTTCATGTAAGTCTCTTTGTCGTCTTTCGCTGCATGGTGGACTCACCATTACTATGAAAGAGACGACATTACCGCTGTCGTTGTGTTCTTCGGGGACAATCCAGGGCCACCGTCAAAGGACTAGCCCCTTCCCGTCCTGCGTCTTGACTGCACGCCACCGAATACCAGTCGATCAACTCGCGATCGCCGATCATTCGCGCTGAATTAGCGATCACATACAGTTCGGAACCGCGTATTTTCGCAACCTCGTCCTTCGACCTGTGTACAAAGTATTCCAATTATTTGGTCCCGCATACTGTTCACCAACTTTTGATAGTCATGAAAGTGTTTCAGAATGGGCCGCTGAGGACTCCCCGATTATAATTGCCTATCTGCCTCAATTTTGATTGACAAGATCTTCTCGCAAGACAAAATTCCGTTATCCCCCATATCAATTTATGGCAGCTCCGACCTTCGTCTCAGTTGCGGGCACTCGGTGGGCTGACATCAAAATTACGATGTAAAGCTGTGATACTCGTATCGTAGAGGACACATGCCACTCTCTGTTCTGTCGTTCTTCAGTGCGAGTGATGGCTGGTTTTGGAGCCACAATAAGTCACATATCGCTTACCTTGTAGGGTTATGACAGGTTGTTGTCAGAGAGTTGTTCGGTATCCGGACAATATCGCGATCAGCGCGGCATGGATCCAATCTGCGTGTGCGAGTGGCAGCTCACATCCTGTACTCCGCTGTGTTCGCCTGTGCCCAGATGCTTTGAAAACAAGCACTGCAGTTTGGATATCTGCTGCTTTTTGTTCGGTACTACTTTCAGCAAGCCTGTGCACTGCGGAAGCCTCGGCGGTCACGAACTCACGGCGACAGTTGCCAAATCCGTATCCAACAAACCAAGCGCGCCTAACGGTGCCATTGTATCTCATTGCCGTGCGTTGTGTTCGCCTGGGGCGGTGACGACGAGTATCCTGGCGACTTTGCCGAGAATTGCGTTCAATATGCAAATAAGTTGCCCTTGGTGCGGTGCCGTGTGGGACTTGAAGCGAAGATGGGCGGACGCTGTGTGGCCACGTGAGCGTCTGGGCGGCCATATAGTTCCAATTCGGCGGAAGTGGCGAGACTCATCAACTCACTTCCCATTGTACTCGCACTGGCATTGTCTCTCCAGCCCATCCTTCACGTCTCATCATCACCCCTGCCTGACGACCGCAGCGCCGCAGACGGTATAAACGCGCCGCTCTCTGTCTTCACAGCGACACAGTAACAGGACAGCAGTCCTTCCACACGTCCTCGAATCTGAGCACCGGCGGAAACTTGCAGGATTTGCGCACCAGCCCATCGTAGACCCACTCGAACCGTCATAGCATGGCAGCCGCACCCTCGCGCCATTTCCGCACCCTGCAGCCGTCGCCCATAGTGTCTGCCCAGTCGTCCTGGTCGCGCATCCCCAACAAGAACCTCTCGGCCGCCGCCGCCTCAGCGCACAACCGCGCCGCACTCGCTGCCCGCACGACGCCCGCATCGGTGTCCGCATCCTCGCCCGTCGAGCGGCAGTATCTCACGAGCGGCCGTCGCGCACCACCACCGCCGCCGTCGCGCCGGCGCATCGCGTCCGTCACGTCCCCCCTCGCGGGCGACGACCCCTTCGCAGACGGCCCGCTCGAGCTGCAGATGCAGTTCCTCGCGCCCGAGTCTGCATACGTGCCGCGCTCGCTCATCGCCTCGCGCACGCGCGTCATGGCGCACACGATCCCCGCGCACGAGATACCGACGCCCGGCCTCATCCACGAGTCCACACCACGGCCGGGCATGCTGCACATGTCCCGCGCAACAGCACCACCGCCCTGCTTCGATCCCCCGATGGTCGTGCGGAACCCCGCGCCGCTCGCGAGGGGGCGGCTCGTGGCGAGCGTCCTGCTCAACCGTCGATGTGGGCGGCCGTTGTCTAGACGACTCAGTATCCCTGGCGAGGATCGGACGTATGTCCCCAGCGCGCTCTCCCATGTGGTCGAGCTCGAAGCCTGATTGTAGCCGCCGCATCGTCAAGCCTCGCACACAAGGTCGCCATATCATATTTGCATTTGCGTGTACAGTCGAATCCACCGTTCATTCTGTTTTTCCTGGCTATATACCATCACTCATCCTCCCCTTCCCCGCTCTGACACAAGCAGTCTGTCTCTCGTTCCAATCGGGTCTTTGTTGTTCACTCTAGCCGCACATACCCTGTAATTGTCGTAGATTGTTCTCACCGCATCTTTCGCTCGCACGTATACTTATGGCCTGTCTGTACCAAGTCTTGGTTCCTGAACATCGCTTTCTGTTGTCGTCTGTCTAGCAATGGATACCTTTCCTGGCATGAATCTGTAAATTGGCGTAAGAGCTCTGGTCCTACGTTGGGGCGTCGACAATATTCAGTTGCCAATGACGAGACGAAGCGGAAAGAGCCAGGCGGTCAAATCGTATACCTAATGCCTCAACCTATTTCAAATGACTGCAGCAGCTCCGAGTCATACGACATCTGCGTGAAACTAGAAGAAGCAGAAGCGGCCAACTCATGCGTTGTAGCAGTCACACGTCCACAAAGCTCAAGCGATGTCCTGTGCGCCTCGATACTCGCTCAGAGAGCTGAACGGACGTCCCGCTGTGATCCTGTACTTACCGAAGGATGCTCTTGGCGTGCAACTCGAGTACTTGAACTGGACAGATTTGTCCTCGCACTGCACAACGCCCGAAGGACTCACCATGCGGTGCTTGCTGTGTACGACATCCCGCCTTGATGCTCACGATCAGAACCTGAGGGCGATTCTCCCGGGTGTGCCTGAGCCTCATGGGACACCGAGGACATACCTCCAGAAGATGATGTCAAGCCCCGAGAACCCCATATCAGATTGTATGACACAGCCCTGAAGACGCATCTGGTGCTTGGTGTTGCTCCAGACACGAATAGAGTCGGAACTAACCTGCGCAGACCACGGCTCTTGAGTCACACCCCACAGCCCGAGTTCGCTGCGATCTTGTAGCTACACGAATGTGTTAGGAGCTCTGGAGGCTCCGAAAGTGGCGACTCGAGGCTGCGAGAATGTAGTAGCCCGTACAAACATGAAATGAAATCCCAACCGTGTGCTGCGAGGTCTCTCATCGCTCAGTATGATACGCCGTGGTTTGCCTTCTAGAATCGAGACTTGAATACCTAGTTGCGTGGATCTCTGACGCCTAAAACGGATTGTCATGGCGGAAAGGCCCACTGTATAGTGTCTCAATAGAATCAGTTTTATCATTAGGTGTTCGCGGTACTGTTCCGAAGCCATACACGAGGTTTGAGGAATATAATGTGACGTCCCTTCGTGTCAAGCAACCTTCTGACGCTTGGCTATGGTCATGGAGGGCGTCCCATCTAGAAACTTTTAGCCATCCAGAAATGTCCACGTTCAGAGAAAGCACTTGCCGGTGTTTGTCTTGACTTCCAGATATTCTGATAACCTTCTCGCCGGAAGCATTGTCTTTCGACGAAGGGGAAGACGGGCAATCTGCAGACCTCCGACGCTTGTTACCTTGATGAGGTGGTGGTGCTGCGTCTTCAAGGCATAGCGCAATGACCTCTCGCTCTGCGGTCCTTTCTTCAAAGAAGTCGGAATCATCGGAAAAGTAGTCTTCTGATCTCGGCAGGACTTTGTCTTCGTCGAAGGTCTGCATCGGTTCCGCAGGATGGCCATACGCTTCCGCGAGCATACGCAACAGGCGTTCTCGCTGCTAAAAGCCAACATGTGCTTGTTCGCGCACCGCCTGCACCCGTGGCTGTTTTGCCGGCCTTCCGGGAAGCCCATTTCTCTCCTGGCATACACATTAGAGTGGTGGCATGCCTCGTGGACTGGTGCCGAACACACCTTCTTACGGCGCCCAGGCCTGCCAGGTGCCTTCGGATCCGGTGTTCTGCAATGAGCCATCTGCTTGCGCAAATCCAAGCGTGGGTGCATCGCCTGCGTGGCGGATATCCTCTGCGAGAACCTAGCATGTTGTATGAGCACGTCACAAGGAAGGTTCCCAGATAAGCGGGTCCTTACGCCTTGTCCGTCAGGTTGAAAGGCCCATGTGGGAGGCGGCGTCGCTAAGATTGGGGTATAGACCTTAAACCTCCCCTGCGAGAGCATTATAACAGGGCGCTCCGTACGGGAGACCCTACCCGCACATAATTGCTTCGGATCTATCTCCTTAGTGTATGGCTCCCCTATGAGCAAGTCCGTTGAGTCGTTTGATAGTCCTCGAGGATAACATACACACCAATGATGTGGCTAGGGTCATACATTCCCGCACGAGCGAGGCGATCGTTCAGCTCTGCTGGAACATATACGCACTGCTTGTGATAGACCAGCACGGATTCGGATAGGTAGCGTTGGTTCGATATGTCGTTGAATGCAAAGGGATTTTCGGAGTTTGGGATGTTCGCAACCCGGATGAGATACTGTTGCGATGTCCACCTGGACATGTATGATTGCAGAGTAGATACAAACTGGGAGAAGAGCACATCATCTCTGCATACGTCCGATGCCGGCATTCCTGGGTGGATGCCGAGGCTGTACACGACGTCGTGGCTAAGATGGCGGCCGAAGCCGTTAAACGCTCGTTGCTCGTCGCTCAAATGTTTGACAATCGGTAGATGTCCGCTTCCGGAACCGTCCAGGACTTCAGCACGCCACCGATGCACTTCTTCGATGGCGGCTGACGTCTCATCTATCCAGTCTGGTCCTTGCTGTGGACTCCAGATGTCGTGCCAATGCTGCAAACATGTGGTGAGTGAAATCGGACATGGGTCACAAATGTCGATATACTTCACCTCTGCGCCTGGGATAACGTCTTCCTCTTTCCAGTGGCGGTTCAAGGAAATCACGTGTATTGTCACTAGACGAGCAAAGTCAACCAGTACGAACGCAAGATCCTGGCATTCAACCGCTGCTAAAACATTTAAAGTATGCTTCTGTGTCTTTCGAAAGCCCGAGGTAATAAAGCGAGGCGGCAGAAGAAATGAACGTGGCTGGTCTGCATGCATCTTGTCAGCATCGGTATCCTCAATATGGTTGGAGACAAGTTCCTCATAGTCTTCATATTACATTGCGACGAGAGAAGCCCCCTGCCCGAACTTAATACGAAAACTGTGCTAGAAAGCGATAGATCATGAGCAAGAAAACAGTGATATGTGGATTTCAAAGCACTTACATGACCGCAAGCAAGGAAGAATTCACGGCCTCGAGCCTTACATATAATTTCTCCATCTTGGAGTGGTTTGTGGAGATAACTCCAGGGCCGATCTGCGCTCTTGCCCACAACATGAGAGTGCGGAACGTAGTTCTTGCAGATATAATCTTGCTCTTCTTCATAGCCTTTCATATGAGTTGTGCAAGTTGGAGATAACTCCGTTGTGAAGTCAGTTAAGGTATCAGGGAATATGCGCCATTTTCCTACTTAAACATTAGGGTACGAGATGTTGTGTCCACAGATAAATCCTACCATATAGCTTACTTCCTCCATGTCTCCTGGAGTAAGACTTCTGATGCTTGCTGACGACGTGACCTATGCATCTAACTATGTCTGCCTCCAACATGCTGCGATAAAGTGTCTGAGCGAGGGTCGAAGAGACATGGTCGCGCTGCGTCACAGTCGCGCTTTGTCACGTCCCGTGATCTCTACCGTCACAGGCTTCTGGTAGGCATGGAATCTCAGCGCCACGGCTCAGACCATAACATATGGCACGCAACATACTGCAGCCAGGTCAGTGGAAGTACTCTGCCCAAAATGCACAGTTCTTCCGAGGCGGTTATTTGTCCACACACTGTTCCGTCTACTGGCACTGAACGGAGCTCTCCAGTGTCGTATCATATCGGAGGTTCTGACGTCGCCGAAAGCATCTCCTTCAGGCCATGTCCTGTCTCCGGTCGATTCACTTGGACAATCATTTACATTTATGTGTGGAATATTCCCCCAGCCGCATGAAGCATCACTTGTGCCCGAGCTCTGGGGATCGGCAGCGCGTGCACTTCCCGTCGTCTCGCAGGCATCGCATGTTCCCTTTGTGCCAACGCTGCACACGAATCCTTATGCCGCTCATATCATTGACTTTGTGCGACGTGTCCAAGCGCTGCTTATAAACGGTATCTCTCAGAGGACATGCTCATAAGGACTCGTCCGCTTCACACTACCTAAAGATGCTAATCGTCAGCTTGCTGACTCTTTTGTCCTTTACCGCCGCTCTGAGCAAACCCGCCACTCGTAGCCTCGAAGTACATGAGACGCGTGCTGCTGTCCCGTCCGGCTTTGTCAAGAGTGCTTCTGCGTCGCCCAACACTCTACTCAATTTGCGCCTCGGGCTCGCTAACAGCAACACCGACGGTCTGATCACTACCTTGTACGATGTGAGTACTCCGTCGAGCGCGAACTATGGCCAGCACCTTTCCAAAGAAGAGGTATGCATTGATCAGAGCTATGATGTCATTAGTCCTGATCCACCTTGTTGGGCATGATAGGTAGGGGCATTCACTGCTCCCACGAAGGAGACTGTCGACGCGGTCAACGCCTGGATCATCGAAAATGGTCTGAGCGCGACAACTATCTCGCCCGCGGGAGACTGGCTTGCTATCTCTGTTCCTGTCAGCAAGGCGAACGAGATGCTTGATGCCGATTTCTCCGTCTTCACGCACGAGAGCACTGGAGCCCAGAGCATCCGCACGCTGTCATACTCCATCCCGACAGACCTCAAAGGTCACCTCGACCTCGTACACCCAACCACTACGTAGGTAAAGATGTATGTCACGGGCACTGTGGTGCTAACCACATCCTAGGTTCACTCCACCGAGTGCCAAATCACCCATTCACGCGGTGAAGTTCGCCGGGAACGTCACGAAGCGCGACATTGTGGATTGCAGTAGATTTGTTGACCCGCAGTGTCTCGAGCAATTGTACGGTATTCCGACGACGGCAGCCACAGAGTCCTCTAACTACCTCGTCGTGACGGGCTACAACAACGAATACCCTAGCACTACTGATCTCGTGGTCTGTGACAAATCTCCATCCTCGAGGGCTGCGTATTCTGACACGCAGTGCAGGACTTTCTGGGCCCGTTCCAAAGCGCGGAATCGAGTTCCACTTCGTACACTGTCGTTGAGATTGACGGTGGCTCCTACGACCCCAGTAACCCGGGGGTCGAGGCTGTAGGTGCCTTGTTTTCGCGTGCACCCTTTCACATTCATCTCCCCTTTAGGATATCGACATTCAATACACTGTTGGGCTTGCTATTGGTGTCCCGGTTACATTTACGTCTGTGGGTGAGAGCGCGAGCGATGGCGTCTTCGGTTTCTTGGACACCGCCAACTATTGGCTCGGCCAGTCGACCACACCATCTGTGATTTCCACCAGCTATGGCTCCAATGAAGAGTACATCTCTACCAATGTATACAAGTATGTATCAGCTCAGGACGCCTCGATTGCCATCTTCTCTGACTGACATCCTCCAGCTCCCTGTGCAATGCCTATGCTTCTCTCGGTTTACGCGGGACGTCCGTCTTGTTTTCTTCCGGAGATGGCGCTGTGACTGGCACGCAGAGCGAGGACTGCACAGACTTTGTCCCCACCTTCCCCTCCGGCTGCCCCTAGTATGTTGCCCGTGACACCCACACTCTGAATTTGATTACAAGGTACTGTCTAGCGTAACATCTGTTGGCGCCACCCAGGGAAATAGCCCTGAGACCGCAGCCGATTTCTCGTCTGGCGGTTTCTCCAACGTCTTCGCAATCCCTCCATTCCAGGCCTCATCCGTGGCTGGGTACCTCGCCTACCTCGGCGATACCAATGCGGGCTTATACAACGCCTCTGGCCGCGGATACCCAGATGTCTCCGCTCAGGGCGTCGATTTCATCTTCAACTACCAGGGGTCCTGGTACCTGGTCGAAGGCACGAGCTGTTCTAGCCCAACGTTTGCGAGTGTCATCGCGCTGGTGAACGATCGCCTCGTCGCCGCTGGGAGGTCGAAGCTCGGCTGGCTCAACCCGTTCCTGTACTCCATCGGTAAGTTCGCCTTGACTGACATCACCTCGGGCAGCAACCCGGGATGCAACACAAACGGCTTCTCGGCGACGACCGGGTGGGATCCTGTGCGTTATATTTAGCTATTGGCTGGGAGACTAGTTGGCAACTGATTTGATCGTTGTACACAGGTAACTGGCCTTGGGACTCCAGTGTTCGATGAGCTGGTGACCGCGGCCGGCCTCTGAATTGCAGAAACGAAGCAAGTTTGAATAATTACATAGTTTGTTAGTGCTATATAAGGTTTTGTTGCCTTGAAGTTGCGCCGAAGAGCTTTTTACAAAATTGACGGTGGCGTATGATCTTGGACGTCAGGTGGAACAGAGCCTCGTGTTCCTTTATACTTCGTCAATTAATCGCCATTCTGTGTAGCCCTGGTACTTTCGTATCTAAGGGTCGGGCAAGAAGGATCGCCTAGGTAGGAGTATTGTAAGTATGGGTATACATGATCTCAAGAATTTGGTGCTGCTGTCGGAAATGGCCCAGAAAGCACAAACAATTCAAACGGCAAATTCACAGTAAGGGGTCCGAAGAGTCCATGAAGACCGCAAGATCGACGGTGCAGGTATGACGGACCCGACTGCTCTTAGATTTTAGCATGTACTCTACGTCAATCGATAATGTGAGCTACACACCAGATAGTAGGTCAAGTCTCCCAACCTTCTACTTTCACGCCCATGTATTGTGGCAACGATACCCATATTTTGCGCCGTCCATCGCGCTCATTTTCCTCAACTTGAGCCTTGCAATAAGCGCACAGGTCATTCAACAGCGTCAGAAAGGCGCCCTCTGCAACACTAAGAACTGCAGATGTCGTGAACCAACCGAGCGTGTGCCATTGCTCCGGTAGTCTTCGCAAAATTCTTAGGCATATATCCTTCGACGAGCATTCCTTGCCGGTCTTTAGGTTGAACAGCCACGCCGTCCCAATATTATTGGCATGGCGAAGCTGCCTTCTGCCGTTCAAGCATCTACTGAGGTCTTCTGACGATAGCCTATCCACGGTGCCATCATCGCGACGTACGCCATCGAGCAACTCCTTGACTCGCAACACCGTGCACTGATACAACGCGGCTGGAAGCACTGAAACTACACCCATTGAACGGGCCAGGTTGACTGATCCGATCAAAGTTTCTGGATCGTCCTCGAAGTCATTTTCGATGAATTCATCGAATGTGCTCGGAAAATATGCCTTTAGCTTGTCGATAGCATATGCTCGCAGGTACTCGATATTGTACTTGTGCCCAACTCGGCCAAGGGAGAGTACGAGGTTGCGTGACACGTCGTCATTCACCGCAAGAAAGCTAGTGAGAGTGAGCGAACGTCAAGACGGCCCAGTAAGTATGCGTACTGTTTGCTTTCGTAGAATGTTGACATCAGATTAGTCAGGTCGCCTACAGAATCCGAAAGTCGCACGACAGCGCAACCGCCCATCATTTCAGTATCGCGGTTGCGTGTCAGGAGGTCTCGGAGGATATTCGACTGGCGGGACAGCACGGAGGCATGTACACGGAAGGCAGTGGTTCCAGAAACCAGGATAACGTCCCCGTCATCAAACCAGAACGAGCCATGATGTTCTATCTCTTCGACTTTCGGAAAATCATTACGTCTCGGAGCACTGACATCGGAATCTACCCGTGCACGCTTTCGAAGCGTCGTATTCGCTTCTAACGGGGCACTAGTCATGATTAGTGGCGCTGGACAATCATGTTAGCTGTTGCGAGCTGATACTATGTTCTTGACCGCTCACATGAACCTTGACTTGTGGTATGGGACACTATTCTCGCTCGACGTCTGCGGAAGGGCGCGAAGACTTAATCTTGCGCAAGGCCAGAGTTAACCTGAACCTCTAGAGAGCTTGCGGTCCGATATACGGACGTAGTGGATCCAGGGTAGTCTATGTATATGATCCTATATGATCCAACGCGTGGGTCGATTTCTTGAGGCGGCGATCTAATTATGAGTACGAGGAAGTGGCGGAGGCCCAAATGTTCGATCGCATCTGCTGCGGGCTTGAGACACTGCTGTTATTTGCTCTTGAGCATCTCGTGTCTTAGTTCAGTCTCTGTGCTATTTTTCATAAACTCCTTACTGCGAGAAGAGACTGATCCAGAGGCGCTTGTTTAAGTTGCTCCCTTGCTTTCGATGTCACAGTCAGGTGACCGTGATCTCTTATTAGAGTCACTGTCTCAGTGTCTGCCTAATTTCACGAAATAAACATTCAGCTACGCTCATTGCCCATCGTTCGAATCTAAATGCAGATGTGTGCACCTATTATTTCTCATTATCCGCTCGCAGCCACAAATCTTCATCTGTTCACATCCGCGAACACGGCTTCGGGTTCATGACTGAAGGAAGCTATGACAGCGAGCAAGCCAACAGCTGGGACGCCCTCGTGTTCACTGCACAGAAAAAAATAGGCCCCAAGCGCTATTTTCAATGAACGACTCAAGGCTCTCTAACTGCCGTGCCGTGTCCGGACAGATGACTCGCCGCTTGTCAAACAGAACAATAAAATGCAGGCGGTGACCGCCGAGGGCATGGAACACGACGCGATGGGGGGTGTATGTCAAGGCAGAGCTACACGAAAGAACATATCGTGACTACCCAGTCATCGACTTTGTTGTGGATGTATAGGGTTACAAGCCACAAGACCTTCCAATGGACCGAACATATACACTCCCGTTCAACGCCGTCAACGGGTACGCGGTGTCGACAAAGGGAGCGGCGTATGCTCACTTTGTCGAGATCATGACAAGCCTTGCTGGCCAAGTGTACTCCGTGTCACCCACTGATGATCCGGCGACAACAGATCCGAGCTCCGCAGTTCGCGTACCTATAAGCTCATTATTCGCCCATCTGAAAGACAACGCGGTCAATAGCAGTTGTGCAGACGACCCCGGCGCGGGATGCGAGACTGCACGACGGAACCGGGAATGGCTACTTGCGTACGGAGAAGTCAAGAAAACTTGTATTCGCAAGACGGCGTACGAAGCTGACATGCCTATCGATATCACGAGACCACACGAAGTAAGCCGTCGTTCTATACTTGCTGAGGAAGTGCCTTCCTTATATTTGCAGCATATTTACAGGCAACACGATCCTGCTGTGGATGCACCTCAAGAGACCAAGGCTGCTCACAAAGTGGCTAGGTCTAACCGAAAGCGCAAGGGCTCTCCTGCTGTAGAGACAAATCGACTACACAAGAAGATATGTCTGGATGTTGACAGGCTATCCCCAACTCCCGCGGCGCAGACATGAATGAAGAGAGGAGGAGGTTTGACGAGACAAGAGACACGAATTGGAAGCTGCGCCACGGAATTGATGTCGCACAACATTCGGTGCTACGGTACCGGGATCATGGTCGAGAACTTCATGGTCAAGCTCTGGTATGCGGACCGACATGGAGTGGTCGTATTGAGGCCGTTCGACATGTTTGTCGAGTGTGACAAGCTGCTGTTGGTGGTGGCTGCAATAGCCGGTGCTGATATAGCGAAGATGGGTGTTTGCCCATTCTTGCGGTTTCCCTCGAGTAAATTCAATAGCTATGAAGACGTAAAGCTCGTGTTCCAGCCGGGTCCAATGACCAAGGGACTGCCGGAGGTCAAATACATAATCGACACATCGCGAATCGTTGAGACGGACTTTGAAATCGTCAGCCGAGGGACAACGATCATTTTCCTGAAAGCGACTGCAGATACCGGCAGCGAAGGCCTTGTCGCTAAGATGATTTGGCCCCCGGAGAGTCGAGTGGCGGACAGGTCTCGCCTCGCACAGAAGCCACAATACTTGCAGAACATTGTCCACATGAAGTGCTGAATATCGCGGACGATGAAGGAGATACGGCTACCGCGCGCCTCGATGACACTGCACAACTTTGAGTACGAACACCGGGAGTTCCGGATGATTGTGATGAAGAGGTACGAGGAGCTGGAGCAAGTGCGAAGTGCAGATGAATTCAAACGCGTCTTCTGCGATGTGGTGTGAGGTACGTCAGCAGCTGGCACCCGCTCTACATTGCGATACTGACGAACGTATATACAGCTCATCACTGGGTGTGGGAGACGTCGAATATCCTGCATCGCGATATCAGCTCAAACAACATCATGTTCTATCGGGATGATGGACGTGTCGTAGGAGTGCTGTGTGATTGGGACATGGCGGCATGCATAAGCCACGAAGATAAGGCCGTGAAGACTGAGCGGACAACGACTATCGATAAGGAGCCTTGAGCCAAGGCAGAATGTGTTATTGATGAAGCAGGCGTAGTGAACTTCCTAACTGAAGGACGCTGCAAGGCAAGACAGCACACAGGTACAGGGCTATTTATGGTTCTTGATCTTCTGCGCGCTGGTCTAGTACCCTTTCCCTGTTACCGTCATGATTCAAAATCATTCTTTTTCGTGCTGGCTTGGTTTTGTGTTGTCCAAGGCCCCGAGAAGCATGAATTTGGTCATCTGCCAGAGTGGGAAGACTCGACCATGTTCACGATTGGGTTCAACAAGCGCGAGTTCTTGTACGTCGACGGGGTTCGCGCCCAAATCTCATCTCGCGTCCATCCTGTTTATCGACCCCTTTGTAACTCCTGAGTGAACCCGCTTGCCGCAATATCGGGCGCTATGCACACAACCGAGAAGAGCACAGTGTAACGGAGCTTGAAGAACTCAGAGAGTATATTGAAACGACAACAGCGCGCAAGCTACGTCGATTTACGTATCCCAAAATGATTTCAGTGCTTGGCGAGCCACTAGATATTGACTCTTAAGACGGCTACTTTGAATGTTCGGAGTCCGTGTGGATCATGTCCTCGTTCACCACACGCCGTTGATTCATTTGCTTTGTCGACGTTGTACCTGTAGTCCGATTCTTTGCAGTCACACAATGGAGAATACTATTTCTCAGCAGCTTGTTCGCGCTGTCGCATTACTTTCTCTGAACCCACCCATAAGTCCGGTGACGGCGAGATTACTAACCATTCAGAGCACGGATGTCCGAGCCAATAGTGGCGCCAAGATATCGATCATTCAGAAATGATCGAAGATAGCATATGACGTATCGCGTGCCGGCATTCCGCTCGTTCACGCTCCGATTCCTGAGTGTACATCCATACTATATATACTACCACCTGTCCACTGTCCCATCCCAAGCAAGCGCGGCTACTGTCCTAGTTGCATCTACAGATCTTTCCGTCATCTTTCAACCGCGTCAAAGTCCTTTACGTTCGAATATGGCCAACAAAATGTCGTACGGTTAGTGTTCTATGCTATTGTGATAGTTTGACCGTCCAGTGCGAAAAATGCTGAATCAATGTTCACAGTCCGGCTCGGGAACTCTGGGCTCAAGGTGTCGAAAATCATCCTTGGCACCATGCAGTACGGTAGTTCTCAATGGCAGGAATGGGTCATTGGAGAGGAGGAAGCTATCAAGCATATCAAATTTGCGTAAGTCTCTCATCTGTCTGCCCTTATGGCCGCAGAAGTCTGAGCTCGGAAGGAAATACTGACAGATATGAAGCCGGGATCCAGACGTTCGACACTGCCAATGTGAGCACGCAACAATTGGACTGGCTTGTCATTTAACTGCACGTGTGAGCAGGTATATTCCAACGGTCTTTCGGAGATCATCCTGGGTAACGCTATCAAGACCCTGAAGCTACCGCGCGAAGAGATCGTTGTGATGACGAAGGTATGCGCTGATCAATCCGTCTGCGCGCCCACACAGACACCGTTTCGCCAACTAGGTCTACAATGCGGTGGCACGCGACTATGGTCTGAACATCAAGGCGCAGGGCAAAAACCCAGACGATCTGGGCTTGATCAACCAATACGGTCTCAGCCGCAAGGTGCGAGGAGCATGGGATACCATAACAACACTTCACCAAAACTGCATATAGCACATCTTCGACTCGATCAAGGCCAGTTTGGAGCGCTTGCAGCTGGACTACGTGGACGTCCTGCAGTGTATGTCTCGCCTGCCATTCGATCTATAGATAATCTAAGGTCGTCAACTGCGCACAGGTCACAGATTCGACAAAGACACGCCTATTGAAGAGACCGTGCGTGACATTGGCTTGCCTAGACTATTAAAGGTGCTTATAGCTTGCTACAGATGCAGGCACTCCACGATGTCGTGAAAGCCGGCTACGCGCGCTACATCGGCATGAGCTCGTGCTATGCTTACCAGTGTAAGCTTCTTGTTAAAGTGATATGATCTGAGATGTTGATTCATGCGCACCTTACAGTTCATGCTATGCAGAGTTCGTCTACTCGGTTTGCACATGTCGAGCGACTGATCAACTCGCCAACAGACTATGCGATAAAGAATAACCTCACACCGTTTATCTCCATGCAAAACCACTACAGCCTCATCTACCGCGAAGAGGAACGTGAGATGTTCCCGACGCTCAAGGTACGCTGTATCCCGCCCTGCAGAAGGGGTGATCCCACATACTATCGGTAGATCTTTGGTGTCGGCTCTATTCCATGGTCGCCGCTCGGCCGAGGACTCCTGACGCGTCCGTTTGGGGAGAAATCAACACGAGGAAACACGGATTGGTACGTTCACTTGCCGCATATTGCGTGTCTCTCCCTCGTCCATTCGGATAGCTAGTGAGAGAAGACCATTGATCAATCGCTCCCAGGTTCATCAGGAGCTACAAGGGCGAAGGCACACCCGAGATTGTCAACCGGTGAGTCTTTTTAGTTCAAGATGAGAGATTCGAATGCAGACCCCGGCGCAACGACAGCGTCGAGGAGATCGCGAAGAAGAAGGGGATCAGCATGGCCCAAGTCGCCATTGCTTGGACGCTATCAAAGCCAGGTGTCACTGCGCCGATCGTGGGCACGACCAGTCTCGAGAACCTGAAGGATATCATAGGTATGCGCACTGATCATGCCTTTATTTCTGTCTGTACACAACGTGACCATCGAACACAGGTGGGGCAAGCGTGACTTTGACGAATGAAGAGATCAAGTACCTTGAAGAGCCGTACCAGCCGCAGGCAATCGTGGGCCATGTTTGAACCGTGCGAATGACAAGTCGAGTTCATGAGGATATAGCGGGTGCCATTGGATGACCGGGGGTATATATCCAGTGGCAATACGTGAAAGAATCTATCACCTCCCCTTACCTTGAATCATGTATCATGAAATTGATGTCGAGCAATTTGAGAGGTTTGGACCAAAGATTACCCCCGTCATGCGTGAAGGTTCCTCTGCACTTCTGGCGCAATTCACGTGCACTGCTTGGACGTCACTGCTTGAGGTCACCAAAGGAATTGTGATGTACGTACTGCAAGCTCGTCCGCGCTTTGTCCGTGGGCTTAGAGGAGTTGCAGAACCACTGGGTTCGGCATAAAGCACTGACTCATTTTGACTGCGATGGATTGGGAGACGCGCATGGCTTGTGAGCTCTCAAGAAACTTCTGCCTGCCGGTGGAACAGGTAGCACCGCTCTCTGCTGCCACCTGGGTACGAAGGCCCTTGCACGATGACGTTCCAGTCGAGTTAGAAGAAGACGGGTCGAACGCAATGTTTATTGCATACTACGCTGATCACATAAATAGCTGCAAGTCCGTCGCTTTGAGCAGTTCTGGCCAGCTCTCCTGTGTCGAACTGGTCAGATGCGAATGGATGAAGTGCCCAATTCAAAAATGCATGATAATGCCTTCGGAAAGCCATTCCACCCCAAAATAATGGGAGATACAGAGTAGCTTTTGCTTATTCTAGATGCGTCTCGTCGGTATTTAAGCCTCTCAAAAGACCTATGACACGTCAGATGGAATAGCGTCGTGCATAGCATGGTTTGTAAAACTGAGTGACTGACGCGCCTTGTCATAATTGTGTCACATCTCTCGATCGTAGTCGTCACTGACAATGAGTATGTACCACGCACTGCATTACGTTTTGGATGTTTAATTTGTAGTTTCCCCCTTGAGAAAGTGTGTTGCGTATCCTTCAGGGCCAAGGACTGGCAACGTAGCGATGGCCCGGATTCCTCGCTAGCGTATGCAAAAGTGATCCTTTAAATGAGACATTCACTTCAAGGAGGCTGTCGGCTGTCGCCTAAGTTGTGTCCAATGTTGCATAAGCGCTGACTACGATCCCGATCTGCCACCAGATCTAACCTCGTGACTGGTACAAATTTGGAAATACAGGCCGGGAATCACTTTCATCTTCACTTGGACCTGAGGGCAGCCACTTTCCCATAATACTGACCCCTTTAGAAAGCAGCAGAAAATGGAGATCCAGAATACAGGTCCAGATATGCTCATGGATGTCGATCCCGAACAACCTGTGGCCTCAACTTCTTCGGCAGCTGAGGTCACAGTATCCCCCGCTCGCAACGCATCCGCGGCTCGCGGCACATCTCTTCCGCTCGTTCTCGGCACCCCCAAGTATAAGGTCGGATATGTCTACTCGGCAAAAATGATGATGCACAGCTGTTCCCGCGGTCATCATGAAGAACAACCCGAACGAATCTCTCGCATTTTCAATATCCTCATGGAACAAGATTGTCTAAGCAAAATGAAACGACTTCCTATCAGGCCAGTTCTTCCCGAAGAAGCACTACTTGTCCATAGCCGAGCCCTCTGGGAGAAAGTGCTTGCTATTCACTGCAAGTCCTATGTCGCGCAGATTAATTCAACACGACGGTCTGACAGATTGCATCCTAGCCATGACTGCTCAGGATATAGCCGACTCTGCATCCTATTATGATGAACTGTCGCTCTATGTTCATCCAAGTACACCCTACGCCGCTCAATTGAGCGCCGGTGGCGTCATCGAAGCTGCGCTCGCAGTGGCGCGGGGGGAAGTACAGAAGTCTTTTGCCATAGTTCGACCACCCGGACATCATGCCGAACCAGACGAACACATGGGATTCTGTTTCTTCAATAATGTTTCGATTGCGACAAAGGTGGTGCAGCTTCGTTCACCGCTCAAGAAGATTATGATACTCGACTGGTCCGTCCCCAATAGTCTTCCCCCTGGCATTCACTGATTGACGCTATAGGGACGTGCATCACGGTTAGACAGCAAATACTTGCACACAAAAGGCGTGTCCACTAAATTAGTCATAGGAAATGGCACGCAACGTGCTTTTTACGATGATCCGTCGGTCCTCTACGTCTCCCTTCATCGATATGACGGAGGGGACTTTTACCCTAACGGACCATTTGGGAGCATGGTGTCCTGCGGACAAGGCCCAGGACTTGGATAGTAAATTGCTTTGTTTAAGTCCCGCTCCTATTTCTTACTCACATTTGATCAGCTCTGTCAACATTCCATGGCCACAGCACGGCATGGGCGACGCGGACTACATCCTTGCCTTTCAGAAGATTGTTATGCCCATCGCAGTCGAGTTCGCACCGGAGCTTGTCATCAGTGTGTCATCTTCTCTCTGTCAGAGACTAAACTGATTTGCGTCCTCCGAAGTTTCTGCCGGCTTTGATGCCGCGGAGGGCGACACACTCGGTGAATGCCACGTTACTCCGACAGGATACGCGCACATGACGTACATGTTATCCTCGCTCGCTGGTGGAAAGCTTGTGGTTGCACTCGAGGTACATCAATCTCACCTATTTCTATTATGACCCCAGCAATGTCTTCACACATTCCTCTGCGCAGGGAGGCTACAGCCTCGATGCCATCTCTGTCTCAGCATTGGCGGTCGCGAAGATCCTTCTTGGAGAGGCACCTCCGTCATTGGAACCTATGATCGCCTCAGATGCGGCCACGGAGACGATTTGGCACGTTGCCATGGAACAGAGTAAATATTGGAAGAACGTGGACCCCAAATCCTGCGATCCATTGGAAGGTATGCTCGTTATTCATTGCACTCGTACGATACTGACCATTACGCCAACAGAAATGGAACCGGCCGCGTTCACTATACCAGGTATACCAAAAGATACGAGCTTACATAAATCTCTTGTTTCTCATGGATATCTCGCAGAGTTGCTCAAAGCACACAGGCAAGAATATCTGTTCCAAGAACACGGCATGGTCACCGTACCACTCGTCTCACAAGCCCTAACTGACCGATTCAGTACCCAAGTGGCCTGCACGTGGGTGTATCCGTTTGGTCCCCGCTAACAGTTGCTTTGATACGAAATGGCATAGGGCCGACATCTTGACTAATAATACCCTCATCGTCTTTGTCCATGAGTTGTAAGTTCGCCAAGCCGACCCCTCTGTCTACTAACGATTGACGATTTTTCAGCGGCAATCTGCTTGTGGAGTTGGATTCCGTGATGGAGTGCAATGTTCAGCAGGAACATTCGTACCTGGTGCGCCAGGGACACATGCAAAGCGTTATGGGCGATGCTGACAACGTGTAGATCGACTGCTCTAAGCAAATCATCACCTGGGCAAAGACATCTGGCTATGGACTACTCGACGTCAATGTACACCTCAACCCGGATGTCAAATCTAAGGTGAGGGAGTACTGGCACCAATATGAACTCGTACTCAATAACTGTCTAGCTGCGCAACCCCGAGGACCCAAGGGAGGACATCATGACATACTTATGGGATAATTACATACAGTATGCATAGCTGATTCTACTTGGCGTCTCTTTGTAGCCCTGATAACGTTTCATAGGCTTGCCGACGCGCGTCGAGTCGTTCTCATCGGGCACGGTCCCGGGTGCGAGGCGCTCATGACCCTGATGCGTAAGCGAGGTCAGTCAAGTCATATGTGTTGTAGTCCCAGGAGACCCATCTGACTGGCATATTCCCTAGGCGCGTCTGTGATACGCTCCGTGCAGGCAGTAGTACAAGTGGTGGGCAATCACCATGTTCCAGTCACGCCAGCCGATGGCAATGGCCTGCGTCAGTGGTACTATCAGGTGTGTTTGAATCTTCACAATTGTTTTGCCGTTCTAATCCGCTCTGCAGAACTCGCTGGTGGTCGTTCCGTCGGGCCACAATATATTCCACGACCAGAAAATTAAAATGAAACATGGGAGTGTTGTCCGCACAGGTATGTGACCATGCATGAGTGTCTCTTGCCATCTTTTGATGTCAGGGGGATCTCTAGATGAGACAAAGGCCATCAAACTTATAATCAAGGCTATGCCTTACATTAAAGAGTTCATCACTGGTCGACTAGCTTCCGCAAATGGCGTGAATGACACAGCCGAGACAGCATAGTCGTGTTCTCGCTTGTTTTACCATCTCTGACATACAGGTTGTACTGTATCTGCGAACCGGTATGACTCTTGTATCACTGAAACTATTCCTCAAGGTGAATGATAAGTATGGTGCATGTATAGCAGCGAATCTCATTAGGGAGAATTTGCTACCATGTTTGACTGTCCTATACCCGAAGGTACTCTTGAGACATCGTTACCTCGGTGTATTCTGCATTCTGCATAATATTTTTCGCCAAGTATATCGCATGGCGCGACTAGTCACAATGCCCGACCCTGTGGCCCTGTGATTCGCGTTGGGGAGGATCGCGAACACATGACTCGCACGTGAGACGCGTTCGCGTTTCAAGCATGTTTGTGCCTGTGGGCGCGGCTTGCCTTCGCCCGCCACCTTGTACGATACTTCAAGCCCTCGGTGTGGACGTGTTTCTCGACCGCCAGCAGCGCCGGCTGTCTGCACGAAGTGATGCCCATTTCAGTTCTCGGATCTTCAATCAACATGGCCCGTTCCTCTTCTCATTCACGTCACAGCGTCCGGTTTCCCTCCCCCGCCGCCATGAAGGCGTTGCCAACGGTCTCGGTTTCGAGTACGAACGTCGAAAGTGTTAACCATAGCCGTGTGCTGTCCTCGCCGCGCGACTTGTCTGATGCCACGGGGAAGAACTTCATTCCCTTTCCGTCGTCGCCAATTCCGTGTCCCGCAGGCCGCCACATAGACGAGTTCGACGAGCATGACGCCGACGATGAAACCGACATCTTGGAAAGCCTCGAGGTCTACGTGGAACAGCCCCCAGCGCTCTCTGACTCGCAGAATGTTCCTCGCCGCCGTTCCCGGTCCTGCCTCGCCACCTCGTCCTTCCACAGCGACAATGCCGGTGGTGTTCCACAGGCCCCGTCCAGCTCCCGCCGTGCGTCAAAGAGCACCCATAGCCGTCTCTCACCCGCATTGCGCGCGTCTAAGTCGCAGCCGCGGGCGCAAGGAACTTCTGTGCGGAGGCACAGCGTGAGCGCTGGGAATGCTGAGCCGACGGCCCCGAGACGCGCCAAAAGAGGAAAGAAGATCTCCGATGTGCAATATCTGGCGCTGGTACATCGCAGCATTGCTCTAAGGGCAAGAATGGAGGATCCGCGCGATGCATTTGTGGCCCAGGATGTGGCTCTCGCGCGGCGCCTGTGGCAGACGCTCGTCGAGCACGGTCTCAGTCCCATTCCCTTGGGACCTGCAGTCAGTGGCCCTTACATGACTGCGATGAGTGAGAAGGAAGGCTCTGATGTACCCGAGACGCCCCCTCCATCCCCGACGTTCGAATCCGAGCTTGCCGCCGTCCCGTGCTCTCCGCTGCCCGAACCTGCAACTGAGACTCCTCCTGTCCTGTCCATGCCTCAACTCGTAGCATCTCTGACGCTGCGCTATCGTGAGCGATGCTCGTCCCGCTCCCGCTCGTCCAGCGGGAAGGCAGACTCGGTCGCGAATGAGGACAAGACTCGGCGTCCGTCGTCAGCGCTGGCACGCGTCACATACTCGAGTGCGAGCTTAGAGCCGGACACAGAGGACGCCTCCGTGGTACATGGGTCCTCGGCGTGATGGAACATCGTGCCAACCTCAAAAAGGGAATCATCCTCGCCATTTATGCCTTTTCTTTTCTCCTGGAACCCCACACGCTGCACGCAGCGCGTGCGCGTGTGTGCAACGTTATATGCCCCTCCATGATCGAAACGAACTTTCATTTCATTGTTCCCGTTCGATTTGTACGTTCACCTACCCCCGACAGTCCTTACGTCCGATATCTGCTCCTTTTCATCATGACTTGCATTCTTCGCCGCGCCGCCCCTCTCATAGCCCATCTCTGGCCCTGCATCTCACATCTCCCATTCAATCTTATCATTTACTATGGATTCCTCATATCTCTCCCATCTACATCCACTCTCCAGATCCGTATTCGTACCATTTCCGGGCCGCCCGCGGCGTTTGTAGCAATACTGCCATCGCTTCTGAAGGAAGCTGTTCTATAGTACATAAGGATGTGTCTCTTGTCATGACGACTCGTTGATCAATGTGGATTCTCGCTCTGGAATCACCCATTCCATCAGAGGCCGGGAGGAGTTAAACGCGCCTGTCACACAGCACGTGTACGTAACGCATGGCGAGTTTGTCACGGCCTCAGAAGCTTCCGCGGCGGAACAGGTTTAATCCACTGATCCTGCACTAAAATGATTGCACAGCTGGTTTCCCGCGTTAAACATGTGGATATGCTGTACATTTGCATTTGACAATGATGAAACTTTGGACAATTAATTTGTAACGACATGAAGCACATGCGTCGCAGTCCCTAAATGATGGTAGTTACAGAAACCAAAATCCGTGCACAAGAATCCATTGCCATGAGAGTCGTCACGCATCCTCTTACAAGCCTGCGGCGGTCAGGAGTGCGCTGAAGACCGGAGTACCGAGACCGGTCACCTTCATAAGAAGGTAGCATCAGTACGATGATCACATTTAGTTTAGTAGCCATGACGCACCGGGTCCCAGCCAGTTGTCGCCGTGAAGCCATTCGTGTTGCACCCTGGATTGTCGCCTGAGGTGATGTCAGTGAGCGCCGACTTGCCGGTCGAGTACAGGAACGGGTTGAGCCAGCCGAGGGGCGACTTGCCCGCGGCGACGAGGCGGTCGTTCACTAGCCCAATGACGCTCGCGAAGGTCGGGCTCGCGCAGCTCGTGCCGGAAACGGTGTAGAATTCACCCTCGTAGCCGATGATGAAGTCGACGCCCTGCGCGGAGACATCGGGGAAGCCGCGGCCGGAGGCGTTGTACAGGCCCTGATTAGTCGTGCCGAGGTAGGAGAGATAAGAGGAGACGTCCGAGGATTGGAACGAGGGCGTCCCGAAGACGTTGGAGAAGCCACCCGAAGAGAAGTCGGCCGCGGTCTCGGGACCCGTGTTTTGGGTCGCACCAACGGACGTCACGCTTATATGATGTCATGAGCACAGCTCAGAGGAGAGGCGCGGTGATGTACTCACTAGGGGCAGCCAGAGGGGAAGGTCGGCACAAAGTCTGTACAGCTTCCACTCTGCGAACCGGAAACACCACCGTCACCAGAGGCGAACAAGACAGAGGTACCACGTGCACCGAGCGAAGCATACGCATTGCACAGGGAGCTAACAAAGCGGTCAAAATCGAGGATGTCATAATGGAGAAAAAGGTGCACACTTGAACACGCCGACCGAGATGTCACTCTCATCGGAGCCGTAGCTGGTAGTGATGACAGATGGCGCTGTCGACTGCCCAAGCCAGTAGTTCGCGGTATCCAGGAACCCAAAGACACCATCGGATGTGTCCTCACCAACAGAGAAGAAGGTAACATTCACACCAAGAGCCAGACCCACAGTGTATTGGATGTCAAGGTCCTGATAGACAGATAAGCAAGGTTCAGACAGAGACAAGAACGGTAACAACGCACAGCCTCATCACCGGGGTTACTGGGGTCGTACGAGCCACCGTCAAGCTCGACGACAGTGTAGCTGGCAGAGCTTGACTCAGCAGACTGGTAACTACTTAGGAAGTTCTACGTCATATGTCAGATAGACAGTCCCTCAAAGCCGACCATGATACGCACCTCGAGGTCAGAGGTACTAGGATATTGGTCGTCGTAACCAGTCACAACTATGTAGTTTGAGGCCTCGGTGGCAGGCGTTGTTGGGATGCCGTACAGAGCCTCGAGACAGGCGGGGTCGACATTGCTTGAACATGAAGACACTTGACGCTTTCTCGCATCAGTCGACAACTGCTTCACCGTAATAGGCAGTTTGGGGCCAGTGGGCGATGCAAAGCTGATGTGAAGCACGTGAGTGCTCATGACACTAGCGCATTGTTTCTAAGAGACGCCTACGTAGTAGTCGGGTGCACAAGGCTGAGGTGGTCCACGAGGTCCGTCGGGATAGAGTATGACAGCGTACGCACGCTCGTCTTGCCAGTGCTCTCGTGCGTGAAGATGGAGAAATCGGCGTCGAACATGACATTCGCCTTGCTGACTGGGACCGAGATGGCAAGCCAGTCGTCCGCCGGCGAGATGGACGTCGCGCTCAGGCCATACTCGCTGAGCCAGGCGTTGACCGCGTCGACGGATTCCTTAGTAGGCGCATTGAACGCGTCGACCTAGCGCGCCCGATAGATCGGATGAGATCTCATGACATCACATGTTTGATCGACCCATGTGCACACTCACCTCCTCCTTGGAAAGGTGCTGGCCGTAGTTCGCGCTCGACGGCGTGCTCACGTCGTACAACGCTGCGATAAGACCATCGGTGTCGCTGTTCTTCAACGCGAGACGCAAGCTCAGGACCGTGTCGGGCGACGCGGCTGCAGTCTTGACGAAGCCAGACGGGATCGTGGCACGCGCCTCGTGTACCTGTAGGCTGCGAGCGACGGGTTTGCCCAGAGCAGAAACCAGGAGCGAGAGTGCGAGCAAGCCGGCAGAGAGCATCCTGAGGTAGTACGAGGCCGACGACCACCGCTGCCGATGGTCGTCGACATAGATCGCTTATAACGACCTTCGTTAGCGCCAAGACGGGTCACACGAATGAACCGAATAAACGATGATAAGGACATATTGTGGCACTAGAAGCAGCGCACTCGTGCGTTCGGCACCACCGCGCGGGGGCCAGAGACACAGACCCTTGCCGGCGGCCCAGATAGCAGAGCACGGAGACCACCGCATGCGACCGAGCAGCGATTCATCGTGAAGTTCACACCGATTGCGCCGGGCCCACACTGACAGATCGAAGCTAGATCAGGCTGAGAAGCCTGTGGAGGAAGTCGATCGATAGTTGCTGTGTCTTATTACCAGGCTAGGCCAACGGATGACGGCCCCGTGCAAGGACGCGATAGCACGGCATTGCGTGGTCTACAACGCGGGGGCTTCCATACATAGCTCGAGAGATCCCATCTTGCGAGCACTTGGCCATTCCTTTGGGTGCAGGCGGACGTTGCCCCTATCAGAAGGCGTCCACATGTACAGCACTGCAATTTGACTTCCCACCTCAGAGGATCCGTGTGCTGAACGGTCGCGGGATTCGTTCGAAGTTGGGATCATGGGCTTCGTGACCGTGGCTTGGTATTCAAATGGGGATTTATCTCTCCATGTACGGGCGCTGGGTCGTCCTATACCTGCGTGCGCGTAGTTGACAGCTGCTCTATCCAGTACCTGCCATGTATGTCACCTATTCGCCTTGTGGAGACCCACGTCCACTCACAGCCATGCGTAGCATGCTTGAGTCAATCAGAAGTGTGTCTTGTAGCTGAATGCAGTCTACGGCGATTACCAAAGGTCGGGTTCATACCGGCGGAGTTGGAGCATCCGCACGCATCTTCAGGCAATCATATAGCTTCTCTGGTCTTCGGTCCTGTGTACCCATTCTTGTCAGTATCTCTATTTCGGTTGTGTCCGTATTCATACCCAGCTACAGTTTAGGTTTAATGGTTGATGTGCACATGGCTCTCGAAGCGTTCAATCAGCGGCATTGTGGCAACGCATGGCAGTCCTCTGGAGTCCCTCATGGAAAACATATGATATTTTTGGTTTTTGACGCGACACGGTCCGTCGACAACGAAATCACGCAATTTACCCTAGATGGCTCCAGAGCTCGAGCTGCCTGATTGAGGCATCGGTAAACGTGAGTACCAAAGGATACATACACACGATAAACAGACGCACAAGGTGACTTAGAGGCCAGTCCCCCGGGAGGTGATTCGTCAATACTTTCTCTGAACCTTCACAGGTCAAGAATATATCATAGGCGTGCATTGCGGGAGTGATCTTCGATGGTCATCCACTATGTCCACTCTGTGTCCTGGCTAAAAAGCCGCGAGAGGGTGCAAGGTTTGCAGGCGTCACGAGCCAGTTCGCGATGCCTTCGGATTTATGCAATCGGAAGTGGGTTTGAGTCTTCATTTCCAATTATGAACCCTTCGCGAGACACCATGCAGTCAAGAAAACAATACTTCGTCGCCGTGGTTGAGTACAAGAGAGAAGGAAGAATGAGTCGCGGCCCAGTCGTGCATGTGTCACGTGGAAGCATGCGTCGCAGCCTGTCGCTCAGGTTTCTCCCTCTCCTCCCAGGAGCTCAGGATAGTTCAGCACGTCAATTTCAGTTCTCCGGAAAGAACTCGGTAATGATCCCGCATGACCCATTCTTGCCGATTTCTTCTGTCATGTGGACGTTACGGCGCGCTTGAAATGGCAATGTGCTGCTACATAGCCTGGCTACCGTGCCAATTCTCCTTGGACTGTGTTTGCGCCTGCCACCGAATGCCCAATCGATAGCTACGCGGGATACAGGGCGAACACCTAACGTCATAAACCATCCATCGGAACTCCGTGGTGCGTCTAAGTATTCGCCACAGATGGCTTTGTCATCTACCGACGCACTTCGGACCGATTGTGAACTCAATTCGAAGGTAGTATATGTATCGCACATCTGGTGTACGGGACGCCCGTCTTTCCACCATCTCACCACGCGATCTTGGTCAACATGTCATCTGGAAAGTCTTCTATGCCTTATGGTATTTGCCATGTTCCGTGCTTGCAATACCGCCGTGATGCTTACGGAAGTTCTCTGAATACTAGTCCGCCTGGGTAAATCCGGTTTGAAGGTGTCCAAGATCATTCTGGGCTGCATGCAGTACGGAAGCACGGGCTGGAACCAATGGGTCATTGATGATCAGGAGGAGGTGAACAAGCACATCAAGTTCGCGTGAGTCTGCCTTGCCTACTCCGTCCGAAATCTTTTGCTCATCTCACCACTTTAGGTACGATCACGGCATTCAAACCTTTGACACCGCGAATGTAAGTGGACTGTCCAGCTTGGTCTGTAGATGGCCATGATGTCACTGTATGTAGGTCTACTCGAATGGTCTATCGGAGGTAATGCTTGGAAATGCGATAAAGACGCTCGAGCTACCTCGAGAGGAGATCGTCGTCCTAACCAAGGTTATTAGTTTACATGTTCCCTGAAAGGACAACGCTGAATGGGGGAGTATACGATTGACAGCTATTCGGAGCTGTGGCCCCGAAGTATGACATGAACATCATGGCTGCGGGACTCCAGCCAGAAGATGTCGGTATTATCAATCAGCGCGGTCTGAACCGGAAGGTATGTAAAGGCAACTCCTTTAGCATGTCATGCGTGAGATTTATGATACCTTATGGCGAAACAGCACATCTTCGATTCTGTGAAGAAGAGTCTGCAGCGTCTTCAGCTGGACTATGTTGATCTTTTGCAATGTCAGTTGGCGGTTCACTGTTGTGCTTTGATTTACAGTCGATAACGCTGGCTGTCCAGGTCACAGGTTTGATCATGATACGCCAATTGAAGAGACCGTATGTGAAATTGATAACATTCAGGGCGCTGCGTTTACCTGTTTTACACAGATGCAAGCTCTGCATGATGTCGTCAAGGCCGGCTACGTCCGCTACATTGGCATGAGTTCCTGCTACGCTTACCAGTGTGGGTACACCGGCATCCCGGTCTTCAATTTGATATTGATCGTATGATTGTTTTCAGTCCATGCTATGCAAAGTCAGCATCAAATCATGTGCTCTTATGCACTGCATCCCGCGGACTGATCCCGGCCTTGTGCAGACTACGCCATTAACAATGGCTTGACGCCCTTCATCTCCATGCAGAACCATCACAGCCTCGTGTACCGCGAGGAAGAGCGCGAGATGTTCCCCACGCTCAAGGTGTGCCTGCCTAAACCCTCAATCATCGCACACGTTTGTTTACATTTTTTAGCTATTCGGTGTGGGTGCGATTCCGTGGTCGCCGCTCGCGCGAGGTATTCTCGGCCGCCCGCTCTCGGAACAAACGAAGCGTGGTCAGACTGACAAGTGTGTCCAAATCGTCCACGCACAGCCTTTTTCGCCCTGACCGAGATCTTCTACTTTAGGTTCGTCAACCACTACAAAGACAGCGCGGGCACGCCCGAGATCGTGAACCGGTATGTCGCGAATGCCGTGCTAATCAGATCGTCGCTGTCTCCGTGGGACTAACTTACCACCAGCGTTGAGGAGCTCGCGAAGAAGAAGGGTGTCAGCATGGCGCAGGTCGCTATCGCCTGGAGCTTGGCGAAAGAGGGTACGCATCCAGCTATTTAGTTCCCTGACTTGCGTGTGGTCGCCTCTGATCGATCATCGGTTTACACACGCAGGCGTCACCGCGCCTATCGTCGGCACGACGAGCTTGAAAAACCTCGAGGACATCCTCGGTGAGTTTAGGAGCCACTTCGGTCTGCATTAGCCGTGGCCGTCCCCGCACAACATGCGGGACTCGCGGCCTGGGACAGTATCAGCATTCTTGTGACTTATTCACTTACCATGCGATGGGCGGCAGGCGCTGTGAATGTGTCGCTTACCCCGGATGAGATCAAGTATCTCGAGGAGCCGTACCGCCCACTGGCCATCGACGGCCACGCTTAAGTTACTTATGAGGGGCAATAACATGCGTAACAGAAAACAGGAAGGTGCGTGTTTCCCAAAGACAGCAAGGCATTCATTCTGATGATAGGGTACCACAGTGCATAATGTAAAATTACCTTTCTTGTGTACACTAGCGCGCTTATGTCAAAGTAGCAACATGTGGTCTCTTCGGGACGAGATCTGATGGGCTGTGCTTGTCCTTGCCCTGCTGGACATAGCCCGCTCGCCTCTGGTGGTGTCCCAAAGTCAAAGCGAGAGCGACGTGACGAGTCAAGTATTACTCACATTGGCAAATATTGCGTTGATCCTGCTCAGCTTGCTGCACACCTTTTACACCATATCCCCATTGTTGAGTTTGCCGTCTCTCTGTCGAGCTACCAATGCTCTGGTAGTCCTTGCTCACGCCCTCGTATACTATCTGCCTGATCAAAGCTTTTGTGCGAGTTTGTCCAGTAGGACCACGTCTGTGAGTGACTCTGCACCATCGACATTTGCACTGACCTCGTTCCCGTCTGCGCTGACCTTATTCAGTCTTCCGGAGTCCTCGAATATGGCGACAGTGCCCTGTGCGACGATGACGCCCCCAATCCCATTCTCATCCACATACACTGTGCTACCCTCGACATCTGACCTGCCGTCCTCGTTGTACATCCCGACGTCCCTGTTCTCCTCGTTCTCTATTCCCGTGTCCTTGTCCATGTTCTCTGCTTCTGCATCTTCGTCCTCACTCTTTGCCTCTGCATTGCTGTTCTCGATGAATTTCTGTGCAGCCATTATGGTTTCGCACATTCAAGGGCTGGATGTCTAGCAAGCGCGAGTAGATACCACTAGAAGTGATCGGGGTCGCGGGACCTGACAGACTGGTAAGGCCAATCACGCTTCGTCTGTCATTTACGGGTGCTCGGTCACTTAAGTTCGTAGTAGGATGACATGAGGAAGCATCCATAGCGAGGCTGAGACTTGGTGAACATTCCTGTGAAGGATTTGTTTTCCTTCAAGTTGTATGTAGGCGGCTGACATGACCGAAATATCATTAGCTCAGGTTACTTATAATCTGGCATATACGTCAGATAAAGCACGTACAAGCCAGTTGCCCACCCAATAGCTACGTGGGTGTACAAGAGGAGCTTGAACCAATCCTAGCCGGTGCCTAGACAAATGCGGCCTCTGATCGGAAGTCCTGTGCTGAAGATTTTGGGAGCATGCCCATAAGCTGAGCTGCGTAATAAACGACTTGAAGATGACTCCCGCAGAGTATTGTGGCGCTTGACAGGCACTGCGGAGACCACTATGCAGGCCGCCACTGATTCGTTACCAAAGCAGCGTCTGCACATATATAACGATCGTCGCCCCCATATAAAAAAGTTCATTATATTTATGGTATGCCTACGGGAGACTAGCGTCTGCATGATTGGTTGAGATACGCACCCTATGCACAAACAAGCGCCTTTGACCACTACTTGTGTGTCCATACCTCATCATCTCGTCGCGCTCGTGAAGCTGCTCCTGTCTGACTACAAGCCAGTGTCCGAACAGGGATACTAGGCCGAACTACACCGTCTGCGATTCTCTCTTCACCGAGACGGTGGTAGAGGTCCCGGCATTACTCGAATCCTACGCTAACCGAGACTTGGCCCACATACGCAGTTTCTTCGTAGTGCTTACAAAGGTGCTGTGCTTGGATGCATCATGCTCAAGAACGCTCTGCAGTACAACCTCTGCGTCCTGCCTTAAGATGCATTTGGCATACTTCTTATCTCTCTACTCGAGTATATCCTAGGAGAGTTCATTTCGCCCGATATGCAGGCATGTTTCGAGGCGCGCAAGACGACCTGGCTTGATCCCGAGCGCCCGTCGCCCACTAAATTGAGGCTTCCCTCGACTGCATGTCTAATCATGTATCCATGAGATCCTGAACGAGGCTAAAATACAGTAGATAACCAGAATATCGGAAGATATGCAAGTTAATCAAAGCAGGCAACCTGAGCTCTGATGTCGGCCTCACGAAGATCAAATGTCCAGCGGCTCACCGAGTACAGCCATGAATTTGACATACGTCAGTCGATCGCGCAAGCGCTTCTTCGTCGCCGCGATCTCCTCCAAAGTCTCCGCCACCATCGCGGCGCTGTAATTTTCTTGATGCAATACAAGGGACTCCTTGAGGAAGCGTATGCCGTCATGATCATGTAAATAAGAACAAAGTACGACGCGAAGTCGCTTTACCCAGGATTTCCAGAGCGGCTGGTATATAGGATTTGCGCGGGAGGAGATATCGTCGAAAAGGTCAACGTCGTACAAGAATTCGCGCTTGTTGAGCCCGATGGTGAACATGTCTGAGTTCTCCCACTCCGGAAAGTGTCCAAACTCATACTTCACGGGATCGTGCACAACACAGAACCAAACCAGTAGGAAGAAGAATGATTGCAACTCGTAGTGATAACGGGGGAAGGCTACCGGACGTGTGCGCAGGAGATCGAGAGCCATGAACGGTCCTGTACCCGTGCGATATCTTGCCTTGCAGCGTGCCTCGGTTCTAAGGTTTACATCCCCGTCGACGGGCGGCTCGCCAGTGTTCGCTACGCCTGTCTCACCTGTCGCACGCTCTGCATTGGCTGCAGGATCCCCATGCACAGTCGCTGTCTTCTCAGTCTGCATGGCGACATTGTCCGGTACAACATTCTCTAAATCGTCGTCAGCAGCCACGTCTTCATGGCGTATGTGTGTCGCCAGGTCCCAATCGCACAGCACTCCTACAACACGTCCACCATCCCGATAGAACATGATGTTGTTTGAGCTGATGTCGCGATGCAGGATATTCGACGTCTCCCATACCCAGTGATGAGCTGCATGCACGTTCGTCAGTGTCGCAATTGAGAGCGGGTGCCAGCCGTTGACGTACCTCTCACCACGTCGCAGAAGACACGCTTGAATTCATCCACACTTGTCACTTGCTCTAACTTCTCGTACTTCTTCATCACAATCATCCGGAACTCCCGCCGCTCGTACCCAAAGTTGTGCAGCCCCATGAAGGCGCGAGGTAGCTGAATCTCCTCAATCGTCCGCGATATCCAGCACTTCATGTCGACAATGTGACGCAGGTATTGTGGCTTCTTCGCCAGGCGAGACCTGACCACACGAATATAGTCGGCTTCCGCCACTCGACTCTCCGAGGGCCAAGCCATCTTGGCAACAAGGTCTTCGCTCCCGAACTCCGCGGTTGCTTTCAGGGGAATGATCGTTGTTCCTCGGCCGACGATCCCAAAGTCCGTCTCAACGATTCGCGATGTGTCGATGGTGAATTTGACCTCCGGCAGTCCCTTGGTCATTGGACCCGGCTGGAACACGAGCTTTACGTCTTCATAGCTATTGAATTTACTCGAGGGAAATCGCAACAATGGGCAGACACCCATCTTCGCTATATCAGCACCGGCTATTGCGGCCACCACCAACAGCAGCTTGTCACACTCGATAAACATGTCGAATGGCCTCGACACGACCACGCCATGTCGGTCCGCATACCAGAGCTTGACCATAAAGTCCTCGATTATGATCCCAGTACCGTAGCACCGTATGTTGTGTGCCATCAGCTCCGTGGCGCAGCTTCCGATTTGTGCCTCTTGTCTCGTTATACCTCCTCTCTTCATTTCCTTCTCCACAGCGGGAGTCGGGGATATCCGAGCAACGTCCAGGCATACCTTCTTGTGTGGTCGATTTGTCTCCGCATTAGGAGAGTCCTTGCGCTTTTCGTTGGACCCAGTCACTTCATGAGCAGCCTGGACCCCTTGAGTCACACGAACAGCAGGATAACGTTGGTCGATAATCTGCTGGAAATATACCTAAGGCGCATCCTCGATCAGTTAAGGACGATGGCTTACCTTGTGTAGTCTCGTGAGATCAATAGCCATGTCAGCTTCATACGCCATCTTGCGTATACAAGTCTTCTTGACTTCTCCATACGCGGGAAACCATTCCCAGTTCCCTCGTGCAGTCTCGCACCCCACGTCGGGGTCGTTAGCACAGATTCTGTCGACCGTGTCATCTTTGATGTCGATATAATGGCTATCCAAAGAGCCTATAGGCTCACGAGCTTCAAATAGGAGAATAGAGTATAATGAGGAAATTGCGGAGCTCGGGTCTGTTGCTGCCAGTTTATCGGCTGATGATTCGGGGTAGACTTGAGCAACGAGGGTTGTCATGAGCTCGACAAGGTGGACATACGCCGCTCTCTCTGTTGACTCCGCGTAACCATTGACGGCACCGAACGGGAGAGTATACGTTCGGTCCGTCGGCAGGTCTTGTGGCTTGTAGCCCCACACATGCTCAACAAAGTCGATGACTGGATAGTCACGATATGTTCTGTCGTGCAGCTCTGCTTCGATATGCATCTTTACCACGTCGGTCGCCATGTCCTGTACTTCATCGCTCTCTTTGATAAGCGACGGTTCATATGTTCGGACACGACGCGACAGTTTAGGAGTCTTGTATTTTGCAAGACAAGTGGCGGTGGTGCTGGACTTGGCCCTCCGAGTGATAGTAGCGAGAGGACCCAAGCTGTCGTCCGACTCGCTGTCATGACTTTCTTCATTCAAGAAATTGGAACAGTGTACGCAGAGGCACGCCGCGGAGGATCTGTAGCAACGAAACCAGAATGGCAACTTGCAGTTGCACACGTTCGCCATCTGACGGTTGATAGTGTAGATTTGAGCAGAGACTGCTTGCCATAGACTTGGATTGATGAGTCTATGAGACGTTGAACATCCGCCAAGTCGGTCACAACGCGTGTCATGTGACCGCGACCGTAGAAGATGCTCGGGGTTCACATTAGTGTAAGGCAAATAAATCGGTGTAAATTACACCGTACTTTTTTACAGGTAATTTACAGGTAATTTACACTTTTTTACAAGGCTGTCTGATTAGCGGTGTAAATAATGTAAATAAGGAGAGGTCACGTGCTGGGTACCCGTGTCCAGCCACCACTTGGGGCCGATGCCTTGTGCCTCTTGTGCCTCTCACGCTGCCCCGGGCTATTGTTTTGTCAACGCCGCTGCGTAGGTTTAGTGCGCCACGTTCGGTCTCTTTGTGCTAGATTATATATAAAGTCCAATCAATTGTATTTCCCCCCAATCTTTTGCTGTGCAGGCTGCTCTCTGGCAGCATCCCCCTCGGTCACTCCCATGGCACCACAGTCGACGAGCCACGCTGGCGTCTTCCTAGAAAGCGAATGGATTGGGTCTGGTAAGAAGTTCACAAAAGATTTACCTGCCTATGTCAAGACGGCCCTCGAGGCCCAACTTTTGCTGCCGCCAGCAATACTATCCTTGGTACTACGAGGTAGCATCAAGGGGTTCGAGCCGGAGGAACGAGACGACGACGAGACACTGGAGTGGCTCGATGAGCCTGCTACAGTTATCCGGGGAGAGTCTGGGTTTGTTGCTGCAAACGAGGTGAACCTTAATGACCCGGACCTTCTAGAGATGCTCGCGACATCCCCGCCGTCGTCTAGGGCTGGAAATTCACAACGGCCGCGCACGGATGTTCAGGAGGACTCGGAGCTAGTAAATGTGAACGAGCCGGCAGAAGATGGTAAGACATTGTGGCAATTTAATTGGGATGTGTAGGTACTTTACAGCGTGTACTAGAAACTCTGTATGCCCTTGCGTGTAATTCGGACGCTCCCTGAGGCTTTTTTTACATATGTTTACACTTTTTTACTTTTTTTACTGTTTTTTACTGTGTTTTACACGCCGGAGGGGCGTCACGTGCCGAGGAGCAAAAGTCCCGTGATTTACTGTAATTTACATTTTTGACCGTGTAAAAAACGGGGTCCCGAAACCTGGGGTGTAAAAAACGGTAATTTACATGCCGATGAATTATTTACCCTACACTAGTTCACATCCACGCGTCGTAACAAAAAGCAGGGCCCTCAGTTATACGTTCTTTTGCCTGGACGTGGATATAGGCACTATTATGAGATACCTCTCGAATGATTCAAACCCGTAGAAGCTTTCGTAACGCTCGATCAGCAAATGACACGAAGTCATTATGGTAGTATTTCACTACGGATTACATATTTTGTTCATTTGTGCATTCAGGATCCTTCCAAAGGACTCCTTGGAGAGAAGCATGGCATTGAGATGCAATCCCATGGCCTTGCGCACGAACAAGGTTTACGGATCACCGACTTTCATTGCGCGAGCGACGTCAAGGCAATATCGCACTTGAATGCCCTCTTAGTATGTATGAGGTACGCTGTGCGGCAGGATGAGATCACAAGCACTTGCAGTGGCCTGATCTGCCGCAAGACCGCCAGAGTAATCGAATGCTCACGAGTAATATCTTCGCGGGACTGGGTAAATACCTGTCTAACCCTCGAAGCAATGAATGGAAGTTATGAAACAGAAATGGACTTCTACTTGCTTCGTCACGGTATATGGAGTACCTAACGTACAAAAGTGCGGAGTACAGGGCGAAAGTGTACACCAAGCAGGCACGTAGTAAATACATTTGTACAATAGGTGTGAAGCTAACATCGTAACGGCGTAACACAACAACAAACTCGAGCATGGAGTATCCTCCAACAATAGCACAAAACAGCAGACGTTCTATCACTCTTCACGTAAGATAAGATGCTGCCGGGCGAGTGGACGACAAGGGTGGTCACCCTTTCGCGCCCGCAGGCGTCTTACCGTTTGTTGGTATCGCGTGTAAGGTTGGTATTCCAGAGCTTCCTGTCCTAGCGTGTGCGTTCTCTTTTGCGCCCGCGGTCGAAGGGACTGGCGTGGTCAACTTGGGCACGGGGACCACGCGGTCAAGGTCTCCGCCGAGGACCATGCTTTGTGGACTCTGGGCCTCCTCCGCATCGACAGGCTTCATCGCATCAGCCTCTGGATCCTTCATCGGCTGCTTGTCGGCGGCTGTGTTACCGGCGGCTAGTGCTTGTCTGCGCCGACGCTCCTCCTCTGTACGCCGCATGACGTCGACTTCGCCCTGAACCACGACGTCCTCGAGCCACTTATGATGGACGAGCTCGCTAGCAGGCGCACGCTTGTCGGGGTGTAAACGCAACATGGGGGTCAGAAACGACGCAATCATATCGGCTTCGTCTTTAGGAAGTAGATATTTGTCGTGGAGCACAGAGTCCAGCGGCCAGAACCGCAGTTTCTGGATGTGACGCAATTCCCCTTTATTAGATACTGTTCAGCGCTATAGGTATACGTACACGATCAAGTCCGAGCGTACGCACCTTTTCTGTTGAAGAAATCTGAGCTGTACTTGCCAGAGAACGCAATGCTCTTAGGGAACTCGCCCATCAGCTCCATAATCTGTGCAATGTGGTCGTCGTCCTTGCTGTATCTCGACCCTGATGCTGGATCAAACAAGTAGTCGCCGCCAGTCATGAGCTCGAAGAGCTACAGCATGCGCAATTAGGAACCACTACATGAAGGGAATCATCACCATGCTCACAACGCAAGCCACACTCCAGATGTCTGCGCTAGGCCCCCACTTAGCGCCAAGAATGACCTCAGGGCAGCGGTATTGTCGCGTCTGAATGTCATCCGTGAAGTGATGCTCTACCCACGTCGCTGGGAAAGGAGGTCTCAACTATCAGCGCGTCGACCCTTTTGTTTGCCATATATCGCACTTACCATTCCCGAGGTCCGCAATCTTGACTGTAATCTTCTCCATAGCGTCTAGTGGGGGAACATCTACCGACATAGCGCTGGCACTTGATGCTGGCATCGCCAGACCCTCCTGGAAGCTGCCCGGTTCCGATGTGTACGGTGGTGGTGATGAGCGTGAGCCTGAGGGGCCTGCCACTGGCTGCGGGGCAGTGCTAGACCCCGCTGCTAAGGCCTGTTGCGAAAGTAATGACGGCCCAGCCGCCGGCCTCGGTTTCGACTTCTCGCCGAATGGCGATGTATCCAGAGACACGCCCGACATCCGCTCGGCGGCCTGCTCTGTCGAGTCTGCTCGCTTGTCTAGCGGCCGCACTGCATCCGCGCTGCCCACGGATGCGGGCCCACTCACGCCGCCGTCACCGTCGATCTTGCTCATTCCGAACGACCAGCGGTCGAGATGTGATGTGGAACCGAAGGATGACGATGGTGAAGGCAACGGCTGTGAACCCGTGATGAACACGGACTCGGAGCGCGGTGTCTGGTTCCCGCCGCGCCCGCGTGAAGGCGGCACGCCAACAAGACGCGTCGGTGGCGGCGTCGCCGATGCGGACTGGGCCGCGAGCTCCGCCTCGATGATAGACTCAACATCATCGATACAAATGAGCACATTTTCAGGCTTGAGGTCTGTGAAGCGCCGTCAGAAAACGGAGGCCCGATGATCTTGTGCTGATGGCTGCGAATGGGCAGGACCCTATGCATTTGGCGGGCCAGTCGTATGCTCCGGCCCGAGTGACGGACGGACGGCGCTCTGGTCACTGAACCATTTTACTTGTGCGCACGACCGCCCACACGACCGTCCACCGTGACAGGGCCCTGTGGTACACGTCAAGCTGGCGCATTCAGACTCATGCGCAGTCTCAGCAGTAAACGTCTTCGCATAGCTTCCGCCGTGCCAAGTTCCGTCCGGTGGAAACAGATGCTCTCGATAGCTGACAGACTGGCCTGAGACGCTTGGACCACAATCACATGAGCGGAACAACGACGGCCAAGGGTTCCTGCCCGTCAATGGGCTCAGAAGCATCTTCGCAGACAAGGCAATTTATCGCAAAGCTGTAGATATGCGCACCTGTGTGAATTACACCACAACAGCGGTGCATGTAGTCGAGACCGAGCAGGATTTGCTTCGCAATCTGCCTGACAAGGGGCATGGGCACACCCTTGTTCTGATGGCGTTTGATCAACCCCAGCAAATTCTCGCCGAGCACCTCGAAGACCATGCAGACATGCGTGCCGTTGGGGCCCTTGTGCCGGAAGTGGTCAAGGAATGAGATGACATGCGAGCGACCAGGGTGCGTCTGCGACGGAGACAGCGGGGGATTGGGGTTCTCCGGCGTAGGTGAGACTGGGGGCTGCGTAGATGTAATGAGTCGCTGGAGAAGCTTGATCTCGTCGAGCGCGGTCTCGGTGTACCTCGGCGCTGATTTGACGACTTTGAGGGCGACGTGACGGTTCATTCTACCGGGGATCGGGGCCGCAGATGAGCACTGAAGCTGGGGAAGAAAATGGGTGACTTACTTGGTGTCCCTCGCGAGCCAGACCGTCGAGAAATGCCCCCAGCCGAGCTTTCGGCGGACGACATACCTGCCGTCGGAAAAGGAGTCGCCAATGTGGACCGGGTGGTAGCCGCCCTTGACATAGTCCTCCCAGTCCTCCTCGTCTTCGGTCATGACGGAATGAGAGAGAGAAGAATCGTATGAACCTGCGTGTGACATGGGGCTCGCTGTGATGAGAGATAAGACGGGAGGAGTATTACGGCAAGATAAGCCACTTTCCTGTTCTGTTTACCGCCTCGAATTTGTGCCTCGCTACGCCGCCTGATGGGGTTATTCGGAAATACTCGCGGGCACGCGGGGAACAGCGAGCTCGCGGTCGAAGACGATGAGCTCGAGATCGAGAGGGGTATTACTTCTTCGGGATGAGATGTCCAATTACATCGGCCCCAACCGTGGGAGCAATATCCGCCAATGGAATCCCATCCATTTGAGATTGCTTTCGGGTGAATATCAAAAACAACGAAACATACTTATATGATCATCAGGCAGGGCAGATGTGTGGGGACTGTAGACTTTGGATGTGCAGTCGTAACCTCTATACAATGGAAGTTACACGCATACGGATAGTGGCCGAGATAAATATTTATCATAAATATCCCTCAGGGTGGCACCGAGACGCGTCTGTCACGCGTTTAATATTACGCGTGACTGTGACTGCCCCGTCTTCGCGCCAAATCTTGTGGTCACTTGTCTTGTCTCCCGACTTGACTTTGTGTGTATACTTGAATTGAAGTAGAGAATGAGTCGCGGTAACAACGTCAGAGGTCCTACTTCCGCGCTCACGGAGTTCCTGCGGGCAAGTTGTGTCACCAGTCCGTTCGCGTATTACGCTTACAAGGTCGTGCAGGAATCTGGGATAACGCCTACGACAATTGCACGCCGCGCAAGGACCAGAGTTTCCCAACTGCAGCAGGAAGCGGGTCCCAGCAATACCGTACCGGAGCAGGGAGAAAATGCTGACACTCCAGCGTTAGAGACCAGAGAGGTGAGCACCATAGTTGCATGTGTGCATACAATGTATCGAAGGCCACATAGGAGGGAGCCGCTTATGACAGTGACAACCTGGACGAGGAAGATTCCTCAGAGCCGGTAGCTAAGAAGCGTAAGGTCTCGAAGGCGTCAGAGTCAAAGAACAAGAAGGGCAAGGGAAAGGCGAAGAAAGGCAAAAAGGGGGACGACGACGCAGACTATCAGGACTCCGGCGAAGATGCTTATACCGCTTTGTCCAAGATGTGGAAGGGGGACCTGCCAAAGCCGCCAGTAGGGAGTTTTGAGAAATGCATCAAGTGCCAGAAACAGTTCACGGTGGTGAGTACAATGTGGCGAGCCCTTTGCATTGTAGGAAATCTCTAATTTTGTGCAGACGCAATACACTTTAGCTGCGGACCCGCCTCCGGGATGGCTCTGCCATATGTGCGCAAAGGCGTCGGGAAACGACCCGTTCAAGAAGCCTGCCGCGCCGCGCAAGCGAAAAGCCCCCGCCGACAAACGCGTAGTAGTCAACTTTGAGGAGAGGAAATTTCCTAGTCTGGCGTCAGTCTGTATTGAGGTGTGTGGCCTGTCATGCGTCCACTGACCGTTATTGACTCACGTTATTATTAGCTCATTAGCAAGCACATTGACGATATCGAGGCGTTAGGGGACGTAGGAGGCATCAATATGGACGCCATAGCGAAAGCAATATCCCGAAATAGAAGCCTGTGAGTAGTTGTATTTCCTAAACGATCACACTCAACGCTAATCGGCAAATAGTACACCACATAATGCACCCCTATTTTACGACTCTGAACAGACTCACCTCACTCTGTATGATGTTACCAGTACGGCTAACATCCAAACTCCTATCTTTGTTGTGTTCTTATTGTTGTTTCTCTTAGATCTGACGCCGCCCGCATTCTGCACGTTGGCAGCGTTCAATCGAAACTTGACGCATTTACGTCTTGATCTGTGTGGTCGCATTGATGACACAGTTATCGACCTTTGGTCAACAGGATTCCCGAGTCTCGTGCGTGTCGAGCTTCTGGGGCCCTTCCTTGTACGTGCGGCTGGATGGAAGAAGTTCTTCAAGGCACATACCACTCTAGAAGGATTCCTCATCACTCAGAGCCCGAGATTCGATCTGGAGTGCATGCAAGTGCTTGTGGAAAGCTGTTCGGGCCTCAAGGAACTGCGATTGAAGGAGATTGGGAAGATAACGGACGCCTTCCTTGAACTTCTGAAACCGCTTGCTGGCACGCTTGTTTCGCTGGATCTATCGTACCCAAGCGATCCCGAAGCGCTCGGCGAGCGAGCATTGATCGACCTCATGCGTGCGGTTGGCGCGTCATTGACCCATCTCGACCTGTCTGGCAATGTTGATATTGGTGACGCCTTCCTGTTCCAGGGGCTTAAGCCACATGCAAGACGGCTGACGTCGCTGACACTCGCACGAACGCCCGATCTCACTGATGCTGGCGTCGTTGAGTTCTTCGATACTTGGCCAGCCGCCGCCGAGAAGGACGGTGAAGCGCCTAACCCGCCGCTTTCCGTTATTGACCTCTCCCGTAATCACCGTCTCACAGGCGACGCATTGCTCGCGCTCCTTAAGCACTCGGGTTTGTCGCTAACAGATCTCAACATCAATGGTTGGAAGGAAACCTCCCAGGAAGCCCTCGTTCAGATTGCGGAGTATGCCCAGGACCTCCAGAAGCTTGACGCAGGCTGGTGCCGTGAGGTCGATGACTGGGTTATCAAGGATCTTCTGCAGAAATGCGATCGGCTCGAGGAGATCAATATCTGGGGTTGCCAGCGGCTCACGCAAAGCTGCACACGTAAAGTAAGTCTGCAAAGTATTATCTGCTACGTCGTCTCATTTTTGTGCGTCTGACAGAGGGGCGTAAATATCTATGGTCTAGAATTGCATAATGTCTTCTGAGGCGGTGTTCGTTCTGTTCTAACGTGCTTAATGGCAGCGCATGACTTGTCTGTATTATGCACACCCTCGAATTTGCGATGGCGTTATCAGTATTAGCATACTAAAAGCTTCCTTACGCCCGAATTGTACTCTGTAATTGATCAAATTCAACTCGAGTTGCATGTGAAAGCTACTCGAGACGCGATCACGTGTACCGTGTTGTCGCGCGAAAGCCCGAGTTATGGACTGGCGATTCGAGACAAAGTTGAAGTGGCGGTGATTTGATCCTGCTCACAACACCCAAAAGTATCCCGCGATCGTCGCCTCCCTGCATCATTCCCCTTCCATTTTGTCTCGCAAGATGAACCGGTCAGATAAGTTTATCCGTGAACAGCTCATAACCAGAATGGCATGCGCGACACTCGAGGCTACGCAACGTGATATTGTAAACATCAGGGTAAAGATACAATTTGCTCCCCTTCTCGACCCACCCGTGTCGGGTGGCATGACGGACACGCTGTCTAGACTCAAGGCTATCATCATGAAGGAAGGACCAGTATCACAGTCAGAATATACCGAGGTGAGTCCCGACGTCTCAGTATCGTCCGAGGTGCATAGAACGCTCATTTACCCATCCAAGGTCCCCGTACTTCTGCGGCGCCTGCGATATTTGCTGCGTGCATTTTACGATGCCAAGATTATGAAGAAGAGTCCTGTCGATCCCAAATACTACGACCTCAAGAGTATGGCAGATGTGGGTCTGCAGCTGCACAGACTCGGGATCTACCTCCAGCTGAAACCTGCGCGTCTCCGTGCCCTCTGCAAAACTGCGCCCGACACAGAAGTCCTCGTTCTTGACGAGCCTATGGATATTGGCAAATGGCGAAAACAGGCACACAATGCCGCGCAGACTCTATTGGAAGACCCGGAATCCAACGACTCCGAAAGCGTGAGTGTGGCTGAGCTGGAGGTCAGCGCTGACGACGATCTTGCCGCCTTTGAGATGGTGCCGTTCGTCGCAGATGTCCTTGTTGCATTTATACAAATCCCTGCGCATGATAACGCAGACAAGAGGCGCAAGGGGAAGGCTCTGAAGAGACTAGTCGAGTTTTCTACATGTCCCTTGCATCGCTCTGCTCTAGGCGATTACCTTGCGGACTCAATGCGCCCTCTCTATGGATCCGACAAACTCACCCAAGATTTCGTCGCAGCAGGTGGCTTGCCCGCGCTTGTCTTAGACTGGGTACTGTCCTTTCCTTTATTGTGCGTGACGAAGGTTTGCACGACGTTGATGCCGTTATCATCCTAGGCTGAGAGCTTTGCTACAACCACAAGTCAGAAGGCACTTGACAAACTTCATAGTGGCGCTTGGCAGAATCAAAGTGTGGAGTCGCTTCAGCATATCTTACGAGGACTGATACACAAGGTGGAGAAAGATGTAGATGAGGCTGTTGTACGTTTGATCTGACCAGCTCTCGAACAGCCGCAAATTCTGATAACGTTTCAGGTGAACCCGCTCTTCGTAAGGATCGTGCACGAAATCTACTCACGATACGGAAAAGCGCCCTTTGAGCGTGGCAGCCAGCTCTCTCATAACGAAATCATCATATTCTTCCTCTGGCGGCGTTTTTCAAGCAAGCCCAACGCGTACAAATCACCGGAGGCTATTCTGGGACTGCTCAAGAAGTACAGGAACGTACCTTGGACCACCCGGCAGCGCCACGGGTGGATGACGCTGAGTATCTCTGGCCGCTGGGATTGCATCGAAATGTACGGCTGCAAACATGCCGACTGTCCAGAACGACAGGTGCTGCTATACCTCAAAGAGAAAAGAATAAGAGGTAAGCGCGACCCCGTGATCGAGGACAGGCTCTTTCAATGGGGAGGTGTCAGCAAAGCCTGCGCAAGGCATGTTGCGTTCTGTCCGTGTTTGGACTGTATGCTTACCACTCCCCGGTCATAGTTGCAGACTCGTCTCTTACTGTTCTGCTGCATGTCAGAAGGCAGATTGGAAAACGCACAAAGAGACGTGTAAAGAAATGACAACGATGAAGAAGGAGGCTATGGAAGTCGAGATTTGAGAGATTTGATTGCCCAGATTGTTGGCGGAGGGGCTGAGAACTGGTACTGAGGGGTTGAAGCTCTGATGAAACAGTGTTAATAGTACATTAAATCCACATCGTTTGTTACATCTGGATTGACAGCGTCCTCTTACAACCCATTCCACTCGAAGCCCTTGGCAATCGTGAAAGTGGTACCCAGCGTCAAGTCCTCGGGAGCACTGCTCTTTCCGACACGCACGAGATACTCGCCACTCTCAACGACCCACCTCGAGATCCTTTCCTCCCAGTACGACACGGCGTACTTGTCCAGCGACAGCGTGACGACTTGGCTTGTGCCTGGCAGCAGATCCTTCACCTTCGCGAAGGCCTTGAGCATCAATGGCGGGTGCGTGAGCTCCGATGTCGAAGGTAAAGTGACGTATAGTTGGACAATCTCCGAGCCTGACACCGGCCCGGTGTTTGATACGGTGACCTTGGCCGTGAGGCTGAACTCGTCCTTTGATACCGAGGGCGCGGAGAGCGTCAAGTCAGAATACTTGAACGTGGTGTACGAGAGGCCATAGCTTAGAGCTTGCTGTCAGCAAGGCAGCAAGGACGCGGGGAACGAGAATAACACACCCAAAGTGGAACTGAGGAGAGATCTTCCGATGGTGGAAGTGCTTGTAGCCCTGTACAGGCGTGTCATCACACCCGTCACGGAGTTAGGCGGTCTGAGGACGTACCACAAACAGGTCCTCCCCGTAGCGGACCTTGCCGTTCTCCGAGTGGAAGTGCCCATGGCTCGCAAAGTCTTCCAGGCGCTTCGCGAACGTCAAGCTCAGCCGTCCGCTCGGGTTGACCTTGCCCGTCACGACGTCCCCGATCGCCTCGCCCGTCGCGTTGCCCAGGTACCACGCGTGCACGATCGCGGGCACCTCGTCCGCCCACGGCATCGTGATGCTCGAGCCCGCCTGCGTCACCACGATCGTGCGCCTGTTCGCCTTCGCGACGCGCGACACCAGCTCGTCCGTGCGCTGCGGCAGCGCGAGCGTCGTGCGGTCGTAGCCCTCCGTCTCCCAGTCCGCATTGAGGCCCACCACGGCGATCACTGCGTCCGCCTCCGACGCGAGCCTGACTGCCGTCTCCATGAGCTCGTCGGGGTCCTGCACCTCTGCGCCGCCGAGCCGGACGCCCGGGTTGGAGTCCATCACGGCCTCGTCGAGGTCGTTGGGCGCCGGCGCACGGACGTTGCAGTACTCGACGTAGATCGCGTGCGCGACACCGGCCTTCAGGGGGAAGACACCTTTCTCTTCCGTCGAGCCGGACCCGAAGAATGCGTCCCCGCGCGTCTGGCGCGTCCAGTTGTCCACGACCAGCTTCCCGTCGACGTAGAGCTATGGAAGAGCGCGCTTTGGCGTCACATCACTGTTCATCCACAAGCACCTCGAACCGCTCACCTTCGCACGGCCTGCAGAAATCAGACCGAACTCGAATTGGGAGTCATACGCACGAGGCTTGAGTTGCCCCTTCAAGCGAAGCGTCCACCTCTTGGTAAGCTCGGCCGGGTAGGACGTGCTGCGCGGGAGACAGTCGTCAGCGCCGGTGGGGGACAACACGGTGTCGTCGCGTACCTGAAGAACATGCGCGTCTCATCGATGTACTGCGTCTTCAGGGGCTCAGCAACGGGCGTCATGCTCTCGTCGCTCTCGTGTGAGTACCACGAGCCCATCCATCCCCGCTGGCCGGTTTCGGTGAAAATATCGTAGTCCAACGACGGTGTGAGCATGTAGGCTATCGGCGCAGGCCACATCAGTCCACGGTAGCCGACAGGTATGTACAGGAACAGCACGCACCGCGTGCACCCTCGGAGTACGTGATTTCGACATCCTTGTCGACCTCGCCGAGAGCCTGGACGATGCCCTCGTACGGGTTCGTGAAGTAGCTGGGCTTGAGCGCGGCCGAGCCTCCGCCGCTGAGCACGATCGCCTTCGCGTTCCCACCCACGATGGCGACCTTCTTGATCTTCTGTTCCTGGATGCGACGTCTCAATCACACAATGTAACAGCACGTGAATCAGGGCCGTGCCTTGGGCTTCAGCGGAAGCGCAGCGTTCTCGTTCTTCAGAAGGACGATAGACGCCGCGGCGAGCTGGCGCATGAGGGCCTTCTCGTCCGGCGTGTCGCGCGTGTGCTCCAAGCCGTCGCCGTCGAGAATCTGGATGAGCAGCGTCAGGCACAGTATATGCTGCCTGGGAAATCCCGACCTCAGGTGCGCTGGTCGCACACTTCTGCACGAGCTCCAGCACTTTCGCAGCGCGTTCCTTCACCGTGCGCTTCATGATCTTCCTGCTCTGGATTCTTTGTATTGGATCGGGATGCATGAGAAAACAACTCAAATAAGTCCGGTTGCTTAACTTACGAGCGGTTCATCAGATCAAGCGTCCTCCACTTGTTGGTGCCAGGCATCTCCAAATCGAGGCCCGCGTTGATAGCATGGTCGATCGAATACACACCGAACCTAAATTATCTTGAGGCTGAGCAGCTTTCGGTGCATGCCACGTACAAAGTCTCACATACCAGTCGCTCATGACCAATGCGTCGCTGCCCCACTCCTTCCTGAGTATATCGCCGATGATCTTGGGGTTCTCCGACACATGGGTCCCGTTCACGCGGTTGTACCTGACACAATGAGTGAGCTTCACACACGCATGATTGAGGAAGCGCAAGCCGTAATAGAGAGAAGCCGCGAGTGAGAACGCGCAAACGCATCCGGTGCCCCAACGGCGGCAGCGCCAGAACGTGAACTTACGCGGTCATGTAGCACCACGGCTGCGCGTACTTCTGCGCCAGCATAAACGGCATGAGGTAGATTTCGCGCAGTGCGCGCTCGGACATGATCGAGTCGTACGCCATGCGGTCGTTCTCCTTGTCGTTGCCAACGAAGTGCTTGATGCAGGCGGCGATGCCGCCCTCCTGCACGCCGCCAATGTACGCGGCCGCAATCATGCCCGCGAGGTGCGGGTCCTCCGAGAAGGACTCGAATGACCGTCCGCCGAGCGGGTTGCGTTGCGTGTTACAGGTCGGCCCGAGCCAGACAGAGGCCGCCTTGAGCTTTGCCTCTTCTGCGAGGAGCTTCCGCCCGACTTCGCGGATGAGTTCGGGGTCGAAGGTGGCGCCGAGCGCGGTGGCGGAGGGAAGACACTTGGCCGGGGTGCCCATGAAGAAATGGTTTCCCCTGATTCCTGCGGCGGGATGAGGGACACGCGCCCACATAAATAACGGAGACGCGTTACTGACCGTTGGGACCATCGCTGGTCTTCAGGGCGGGTATTCCGAGACGAGGGACAGCGTGCGTGTGCCAAAAGCCGACACCCGCTGTGAGCAGGATGGCCTCGTCTGTAGTCAACTGTTCGACAACCTCAGCGAGGTCTGCCTTTGCGAAATCGGACGGAGCCATGGTGTGAGATTTTCAGGTGTTGTTCCCCGGCGTGTTGCAGGACTCAGGAAAGGACCGAGGGCAGCGGCGAGAGTAGTAGATGGCCTGACGAGTGAGCAGCATAGTCTTATATTACCTGCGAGGTCGGAACATAGCAAGGGGCGCATTTGGTCGAGCGAGGCAGCTGCGCAAGTCCCTTCCGAGGATTCTCCGCCTCATCGCGGGAAAGGCCCGGGGCCCCGCAAAGCATATCCACGTGCCACCGCCCTGTTTCCCTTGACCTGGGCGACATCTTTCATGCAGTCGCTGACCGGTCTCTGTGACCTATTCATGGTCCTACGCTCGCTTGCTATACAGTCAAAGGTCAATGCTACCCTCGTAAACCCGACACGTACCCCGAGCAAATGGGGGGCACCCCAGAATCTATTGAACAGCCCGAGAAGTCAACTGCGATAACCCAGAAGTGACTCCACATGGTATACCCGTCAGATTCAAGTTCACCCTGTGATTCGCGCTTTCATGGAACTGTATGCCAACCTGGTCATCGTTCTCCTTGGTATGTGAACAATTCCTGAACGAGTACTGGTAACGTACACGATGCACGCGTGTGCGCAATGTGTAGCGATAAGTCTCCAACGACGCACCGAACTCTGTTTGACAACGCGTCGTCGAGAATAAATTCTTAGCTTATTGAGGCATGCCCAGTGTGCGGTCTACTGCATAAAAAATGGCTGACTGACTACTGATGGACGACAGTGGGAGTTGAGGTCGCTGGGACCAATAGCAGACGCTGTTGTAAGTCAACGCACGTCCTGATAGATCTGCATAACCGACGACGTCAGTCAGTTTTCAAAAATTGGAAGTCTCAGCCGACAGGTTTGTCGCCTGAAGCTTCCAAGAAGGTGCACGTTCTGCCGCCCTCAGGAGCATGATGTCGCCGGCGCTCTTCATTCGCCTATGTCTTCCGCTTCACCTCGCCATCCGCGCCGTCTTCGCAAACTCGAGAATTAAGGAAGGAAACACTAAGAGGTACGCACTATGATCAAAATACTGGAGATACCTGCGGAAATCAACAAAGAACAAAAGAAACGAACAGCGCCTTATGCCTGCATGGTACGTCGCGTGAAACACTCACATCTTCGCGTTTGACGCCTTTTTGATTCCTTCTTTGCCCAGCGCGACTTCCCCACCAGACTATGTCTTCTGGGAATTCTTTGCTCATGGGTTTAGCACACAAAGTAAGCACGGTGCGATATTGAAACTGAAAGATATCAGCATGCTCGGGATGATGGAACAGCTTCATGTCCTCCTTGTAAGTGTCGTGCTCCGTTTCACAATCTTATACGATCACGTCTTATGCTGACCTCTGGCGCATGCTTTCGTCATGCTACCGTGAGATTGGCAGCGGCTCGCCCGCGGTGCTGAAACCCTCATTGTTCACTCCGATGCGGACGCAGTCTCCACAGCCCGCTCGTTGCACCCATCTCGAAGCCAAAGCAGGCGCTATGATCTTGGCGCGGCACTGCGGCACCGTGTTCATCTTTGGCGATGCGTGGTGTCCCATGTCAACAATCAGCCCGCCCAAAGACCGGTCGCGCTTGCACGTCCGCGTCCATGAGACTTGGGCGTCGCGAACTGCTTCCTCCCATGATCCATTCTCCCCGATCACGGTGAAATCGGAGGAATAGCAAGGCAGCACACCGCTTGGTTATCTCTGTAATTCGAAAGTCCTCCATACCCGTCGTGGGCGTGGCTGGACACTGTAGGCTATATGACCTACCGTAACTCGTCTAATAGTTCGCGCAGGTCTTAAGGCGGCGAAAACGGTGACATCTGTGGCACGAGGCATCATGGCAGTGCCGTCCGTTGCCGCCTTGGTTGACAAGTCTTGTCATGGACGGGCGGCGCATGCGTGTTGCGGGCATTTTCTATCAATGATCCGGCGGTGTGAAGCAAACCGACGCGCTCAAGAAGCTGTCTGCTATGGCGCTCGTAAGGATGGACGGTATTTTTTACTGACTCTTCCTGCCACGCTCTATGTCGATATCATCGATAGCTCGTATAGCATCGTAAGACAATATTGGTCCGAGCTCATACTTATTTGCGTTCTGGGGTTTCCGAAATCACTCATTCCATCGATCAATCATGTACGATGGCTGTGTCGCCTGCCGTGTTCGGAAAGCAGCGCCTCAGGGGCACATCCAGTAGCCGAGTTTGGGCTGCCAATGGATCGCGATTGTGGACAAGTCAAGTTTGATGTCGGTTGGCAATGATGAAACATGTGCGTCCGGCTTATGTCATTGATGTCGAGGACCGGCTAAACTAACACTCGAGCACAACATTAACGCAGGAATATCGTGGTAGACTGCATTCCAACGGGTGCTGCCATTGAACTTTTGTTGTCGCGACCAATCGGCATCGTATTCTTCTCTAGAGGGCTGTTTTATTTTGATGTCCGAACTTTTGCAGTGCATCACAGTTTCGTTTCTACGTCGCGAGGACCACGATCTGCAGCCGGTCTGCACGGCCTCCCTATGCTTGGCGCCCCACAATATAAAACAGCGGCGTGCCCTCCGTGAATCTCCAGCTCTCAGCCTTCGTTCTTCGAGCCCAAAGACTTTCAAGCAGGTACTGGTTGGTGAGTATCCCATGCTGCCTCTCTCACTCTCAGTCACTGAATAAGATGTTCCACGCAGCCTTGTTTGTTTTCTCTTCGTATTCTTTCTTTACGACTTCACGTTCAACTTCCTTCCGTAACGACTACATTCCCTACGCCCCTTAATCCATTCACGACATCTTCTCTCATCTTAATACCCTTCTATCACAATGCGTGCCTCCATCGCCCTCTCTGTTGTCCTCGTCGCTGCCTCCGCTGCGCCTGCTTTCGCCGCTCCCATTCAAGCGTGAGTACGCAGTCAATCTCGTGTTACCTCTGTCCTGAGACCCTCTTTTGCAGTGCACCTCAGCCTGAGGGTAGCGAGGCAATTAACTGGGGCAAAATTGCCAATGTTGCCGGCAAAGTGATCTCCTTCCTCAAGCGCGAAGACCCTCTCCTTGCCCGCGCCTTCGAGGTCGAGCTCGCGGCCCGTGCCGCGCCCCCTCCTGCCGACGGCAGCGAGGCTATCAACTGGGGCAAGGTCGCTGGCGTTGCTGGCAAGGTTCTCAGCTTCCTCAAGCGTGAGGATGACATTCTCGCGCGGGAGTTCGAGGACAACCTGTTTGCGCGCGCAGAGCCTCCCGCAGACGGCAGCGAAGCTATCAACTGGGGCAAGATTGCCGGCGTCGCCGGTAAGGTCCTGTCCTTCCTGAAGCGCGAGGACGAACTCCTTGCTCGGGAGTTCGAGGATGACCTCATGGCTCGCGACTTCGACTACAACCTCATGGCCCGTGACTACGACTACGACCTCATGGCGCGTGCGGAGCCCCCTGCCGACGGCAGTGAGGCGATCAACTGGGGCAAGATTGCCGGTGTTGCTGGCAAAGTTCTCTCATTCCTCAAGCGCGAGGACCCCATTCTCGCCCGTCAGTTCGAGGACGAGTTGATGGTTCGTGCCGCGCCTCCACCCGCTGACGGCAGTGAGGCCATCAACTGGGGCAAGATCGCCGGTGTCGCCGGCAAAGTCCTTTCCTTCCTCAAGCGCGAGGACGAGCTGCTCGCGCGCGAATTCGAAGATCACCTCGTCGCGCGTGCTGAGCCCCCCGCAGACGGCAGCGAAGCCATCAACTGGGGCAAAATTGCCGGCGTCGCAGGCAAGGTTTTGTCCTTCCTCAAGCGCGAGGACCCCATGCTCGCACGTGCCTTCGAAGACGAGTTGGTTGCGCGCGCGGAGCCCGCCGCGACTGGCAGCGAAGCGCTCAACTGGGGCAAGGTTGCCAATGTCGCCGGCAAGGTGCTCTCCTTCCTCAAGCGTGAGGACGAACTCCTCGCTCGCGAGTTCGAGGATCACCTGATGGCGCGCGCTGAGCCTCCCGCGGACGGCAGCGAAGCCATCAACTGGGGCAAGATTGCCAATGTTGCCGGCAAAGTGATCTCCTTCCTCAAGCGCGAAGACCCACTGCTCGCGCGTGCTTTCGAGGACGAGCTCTACGCTCGCGCCGCGCCTGAGGGTGCCGAGGGAAGCGAGGCTATCAACTGGGGCAAGGTCGCAGGTGTCGCAGGGAAGGTGCTCAGCTTCCTCAAGCGTGACGACATGGTATTGGATATGCTTGACTAAACGGGTTGATGGGTTATGTAGGGTTTTACGAGTACATCGTTCATAGTGTAGTGTAATGTAGTGGGTTTGTACGGTCGGACTTGACGAATACGATGGCTCTGGCTGAGAGCTCCAAACACTATCGGATAGATCGCGTGCACTACAAAAAACCCTCAAGTGGAAGATGTGTTCGAACAATTCGTCTGAAAGTTTGCTCAGGCATGTAGCGATTCGATACGATTCACATTGCATTGGAATTTACGTATATACAGCGTATTCTGGGATGTACGGACTATTTTCAGGTAGGGGGGTCAAGGAGTTTATATCCGCCACGAATGTATCGTCGACCAGATCGTGTATTGAGACAAGATGGAGATGCTTTAGGCGGAGGTACTTGTTTTTCAGAGACAACGTGTAAGGTTTGTTGAGCCCCAGCCCTCAGTCGCCATGTGTCAGGACCCAATCTATAGTGAGTACCAAAGCATACAGTGCGACAACGAGGATATAAGGCTAAAGAAGAGGAGAACAAGTGCTACCGGATATGTATGGACAGACCCTAACCCTATGTTCTACTAGACCCCGGGGTACCTGTAACCTACGCGTTACACAACGCCTCCTGTCCCGGGAGAGGTCGCTGCGTCTTGCATATCTGAAGGTAATAGTAAGTGATCCTCGTGCTGTCGCTCTAGTAGAGCAACGATCCCTACCGCTTGGTAGTCCCAATAGGCGCTTCGCGACAAAGTATCGGGTGGCCATGTCGGGCAGGTAAATCTCCCGCTCGAATTGAATTTCGGGGTATGTGCCCCACTGCACGGTCCTAATGAGAACAAATTTGTCAATATCATGGAGCTTCAGGACTCATCGATATATGGAGCGTGGTAAACTGGCGAAGTCGACCGTCGCGGGTACGTAAAAGCGGCGCAATTGGGGTGTTTGAGTCACGCATCATGCGCGCCAGGAGGCTCTCATAAATTACGTCCATGGGAAAACCATTTTCAGGGTTCAATCCGTCGACGGAAAAGTCCACCATCTGGGGCTCGAACAGGGAAAGTCGCTGGCGCGGCTCGACGTGGCGAACACCTTGAGCCGAGATGGGAGTATTATCCTCGTGCAACAACGATTGTGATAGGGGTTGCGTGCTTTGGCTCGGTGGTTGGACAGCTGCATGGGCAGTGGCCAATATGCTTGATATGCGCGTGAGATCTTGCTGACCTGTAATAGAATGAAATACTCGTGGCTTCAGTCGGACCGGACCTCTTTTTGGAGCTTCATTTCCGGAGATGAAGTTCGCGTGATTCGTACGAAATACGTTTTCTACGCCAACTTGCGCCGTCCCATGGGGAACTTGTAAGGGTCGTCTATCGCTGATAGCATCGTACGGCACGTTCCCGGCAGCATCTGTCACTCTCTGCTCGAGATGGAAGTTCTGTGGCTGTGATGGAGCCCCGGGGAGTAGTCGCGCGGGGATGGATCCAGAGCTGACGGGTACTTTGTGGCACTTGTTAATATGGCTGAGGTTTATCCACATCGTAGGGAAGAGGCCGAGGCGTCAGAGAGGAAGTAAGACAGAGGACTCCGAATTACTGACCGTGTCTCTGGGCAATTAAGACATTGAGAGTGTCCAAAAGATCAAGGTTTGAGAGCCAGTTATTGGTAGACTTGGGCCACACTTGGTGCCATATCAGGGATACCCACGCAAGTGGCCCGAGCTATCATCGCAACAGTTTTTGAATGGGCTGGCAATTGCATTGAGATACTATCATAGAGTCATAGCTCGCAGTCCCTTGACGCAGGTACCATAATTATCTGCAAAACTTCCACTGGCATGATTTTCGATGTATTTTCTTTTGTTGTTCTTCGGTAGTTCGAAAATCTGAGCACCTCTGTCGGTATAGCATAGTCCACTCAGTGCTTATCATTTTGAGAAGGCAATGTAGTGGACTTATCGGACTAGGCTGCATATAAGTGAGATGGCGTTTCCGAATCGGGGTTGTCGACGCAGGACCAAATAAATGACGATGCTGCTATGAGAAGCCTGACAGACATTTCTTGACGAGAGCCTGTACAGTGCATTTCTGTTTGCTACGCCATTTAACCGCTACTTACTGCTACTTGTTGTTCAGCGTCTTTACGAGAGATCCCAACCATGGCAAACGGATGTCTTTGGGAACGTCTATCGAGTACGATAATGCATGCAAGTTCGGTCCTGGGGCTTCACGCATGTGTATGTCTGGACAGACAGTCCGTGAGTGTCTCCGTCTTCCGCACCATAACAGAGATAAGGATGGGCAGAATATGGTCGAACAGAAACTTTCATTACAATCCGCACTCACATCCGGGCGTTACAACACACCTCATTCTGTCGGGGGAATTCACGGTCACATACCCGGATGATGAACCAGGCAGAAAGGAAGCATTCGGTCCCGGTGCGCGGATTGATGTCGCTGCGGGAAAGATCCACGAGGTGTGGATTGGCAAGGAAGGATGTACATACGTAATTGGCGAGTAAACCGTACTTAGATAGCCGTAGTGAGTATCTGGTGATATGTTTACCATGATGTTTTTGAAAACTGAGTGACACACCGAAAGAGCCATTCACTTCTTTGGGAGAAATCTCAATGTATGGCTTGAATGAATAACATATGCAATGTGCGATGATATACCACAATGGCTTCATGTCATTTGCTGGTCGAGCAGCATTAACGAGTTAAAGGCGAAAGGTGTTTCGTAGCATTGCCTATGAGTATGTCCAGTATGAGTATGTCCAGGAAAAAGGACGTATAACTGAGGGCCCTGATTTGTGTTACGACGCGTGGACATGAACCCTGAGCATCTTCTACGGTCGCGGTCACATGACACGCGTTGTGACCGACTTGGCGGATGTTCAACGTCTCATAGACTCATCAATCCAAGTCTAATAGCAAACAGTCTCTGCTCAAATCCACACTATCAACCGTCAGATGGCGAACGTGTGCACCTGCAATTGGCTATTCTGGTTTCGTTGCCACAGGTCCTCCGCGGATTACCTCTGCGAACACTGTTCCAAGTTCTTGAATGAAGAAAGTGATGACAGCGAGTCAGACGACAGCTGGGATCTTCTCGCGACCATCACTCGGAGGGTCAAGTCCAGCCCCACCACCTGGCTTGCAAGATCCAAGACTTCTAAACAACCGCGTCGTGTCCAGACAGATGAACCGTCCCTGGTCAAAGAGAGCGATGAAGTACAGGACATGGCGAACGAGCTAGGGATGGCCTATCGGCATTCAAGCATACCTTCTTGTGTGGTCGATTTGTCTCTACAGCAGGAGAGCCCTTGCGCTTTCGGTTAGACCCAGCCACTTCGTGAGCAGCCTTGGTCTCTTGAGGTGCATCCACAGCAGGATCATGTTGCCTGAAAATAGACTGCAGATATAACTAAGGCACTTCCTCGGCAAGTCGAAAACGACGGCTTACTTCGTGTAGTCTCGTGATATCAATAGAGATGTCAGCTTCATACGCCGTCTTGCGTATACAAGTCTTCTTGACTTCCCCATACGCGGAAAACCATTCCCAGTTCCCTCGTGCAATCTTGCAAACCGTACCGGGGTCGTTAACACAGCTTCTGTTGACCACGTTATCTGCCAGGTTGGCGAATAAAGAACCCATAGGTACGCGAGCTGCGGAGCTTGGGTCTGTTGTCGCTGGATCATCAGTTGGTGACACGGAGTACACTTGGCCAGCAAGGCTTGACATGATCTCGACAAGGTGGACATACGCCGCTCCCTCTGTCGACACCGCGTAACCATTGACGGCATTGAACGGGACCGTATACGTTCGGTCCGTCGGCGGGTCTTGTGGCCTGTAGCCCCACACATTCTCAACAAAGTCGATGACTGGATAGTCACGATATGTTCTGTCGTGCAGCTCTGCTTCGATATGCATCTTTACCACGTCGCACGGGGGAGATAGAAATGAAGAGAGGAGGTCTGACGACACAAGAGACACAAATCGGAAGCTGCGCCACGGAATTGATGTCGCACAACATTCGGTGCTACGGTACCGGGATCATGATTGAGGACTTCATGGTCAAGCTCTGGTATGCGGACCGACATGGCGTGGTCGTGTCGAGGCCATTCGACATGTTTGTCGAGTCTGACAAGCTGCTCTTGGTGGTGGCTGCAATAGCCGGTGCTGATATAGCGAAGATGGGTGTCTGCCCATTCTCGCGGTTTCCCTCGAGCAAGCTCGACAGCTACGAAGGCTCAAAGCTCGTGTTCCAGCCGGGACCAATGACTGAGAGACTGCCAGAGGTTGAGTTCACCATTGACACATCTCGGCCTGTCGAGACGAACTTTGGGATCGTCGGGCGAGGGACAACCATCATTCCCCTGAAAGCAACCGCTGAGTTCTGGAGCGAAGACCTTGTTGCCAAGATGGCTTGGCCCCGGGAGAGTCGATTGGCGGAAGCCGACTACATCCGTGTGGTCAGGTCTCGCCTGGCGAGGAAGCCACAATATCTGCATCACATCGTCGACATGAAGTGCTGGATATCGCGGACAATGGAGGAGATGAAGCTGCCGCGCGCCTCGATGGCGCTGCACAACTTTGAGTACGAGCGGCGGGAGTTCCGGATGATTGTGATGAAGAAGTACGAGAGGCTAGAGCAAGTGGAAAGTGTGGATGAATTCAAGCGCGTTTTCTGCGACGTGGTGCGCGGTACGTCAACAACTGGCACACCCGCTTCACATTGGGACACTGACGAACGTGTGTACAGCCCATTACGGGGTGTGGGAGACGTCGAGCATCCTGCATCGCGATACCAGCTCGTACAACGTCATGTTCTATCGGGATGATGGACGTGTCGTAGGAGTGCTGTGTGATTGGGACATGGCGGCATGCATAAGTCCCGAAGACGAGGCTGTCAATGACGATGTTGACGATGACGTACCGGACAGTGCCGCCATGAAGACTCAGGGGACAGCGACTATGGATGGGAAGCCTCGAGCCAAGGCGGAATATACCACTGAAGCAGGCGTAGTGAACCTCCGAACTGAAGGACGCTGCAAGGCAAGACAGCGCACGGGTACAGGGCCGTTCATGGCTCTCGATCTTCTGCGCGCTGGCCCGGTACCCTTCCCCCGTTACCGTTATGATCTAGAATCATTCTTCTTCCTACTGGCTTGGTTCTGTGTTGTCCACGATCCCGTGAGACATAAATTCGGACACCTACCGGAGTGGGAGAACTCAGACATGTTCACCATCGGGCTCTACAAGCGCGAATTCCTGTACCACAATGGGCTCTTCGATCAGATCTCCCGCGTCGGTCCTACGTACCTGCCGCTTTGGGAATCCTGGGTAGAGCCACTTCGTTTCTTACTTGGTTTGTATATACTTGATCAAGACGGCATAAACTTCCTCAAGCGGCGTCTTCGGGCGCAGCGAAAAAAGCACAGCGCGGCAATGACGACGGCGACTTTGGAGGAGATTGTGGTGGCGAAGAAGCGCATGCACGATCCACCGACGTACGAGAAATTTATGGAAGTACTCGGCGAGCCGCTGGATATTACATCTTCGTGAGGCTAACGCCAGATCTTGGATTGCCTCCTTTGATGAATTCCTTTTGATTTTCTGATTATCTATTGTACTTAAGTTTTATTCAGGATCTCGTCTATAAAGAATTGGGCATGCAGTCGAAGGGCGCCTTGACTTGAAAAGTTGGAATTGCCTTTGATGATATGTATCTGTTGGTGTAAATCTTTTCGATCGGGTGCCGAATGGATTTAGCATCAGAGGCAGACATATATTGGACGCCAGTGTCCATATACACAAGTCGAGAACAGCGCCGGATCAGTATCCCGACGCAATCTCGCGTGCTTTTCGGTCAGATAAGGATATCCGGAGTCGGCGCAGGTTGAAGAGATTGTCTACTCTGCTCTCAGGAGACTAGCTTTTCGTGTTTTACGTTTCAAGCTTAGCCACAACGCTCACTTTGTAGTGTGACATTCTCGGACTCTACCATCCATCCTCTCTATCCCCCCATGGAATTCACCACATTTATAGAGCACATCCTCGCTCAAGTGGGTGTCAAATATGCGGATCGAGGCTGTCATGACATTTATGAGCTAGTTGTTCTCGTCTTCAATACACCGCCGGTATACTCTCGGTATCTTCGCTTTGCTCCTGTGATTGTTGGTAAAACGTCACGCCTTCTCGCCCTCGACTAACTCGGAGAGCTCAGATAGGTATATTTTAAGAGGTGTTATACAACATCATGAAGGATGTACTGGAGGCCGCGCAGCGTGGATTTCGAGCCGGAAAACTGGCCCTGACATCTGGTATAACGAAACGATCCATAATTGATCGAGAGTCAGCCCGTTTCTACCTAACAATGCCCACTCTCGTGCCGCAGGATACGGTATCTCTGTCTTCGTGAGCTAATAGCACGTGACCCGCAATCAGTCGACGCATGAATGTAGCTCTTGACGCAACATACCTCTACAAAGGCGTTGAAGACCCCAACGAGTTGCAAGAGGAGCCCGGCCCTGGTAATAGTGTGCATGGCACTGTTGTTTCGGCGTATAGTGACTGGTGCTCTGAAGTTCCGCGACGTGCGCGGATACGCAGGCCACTGCGAGCGCACTGTGAGTCTCCAGTCTCGCTGTGTAGCCTGTGCTGCGACGTACCCAGAACGTGATGACTATCTGTTGATAATTGGCGCCAGTGTGCGTGGGCAGAATAACGGGTTTTTGGACGTCAACGACGTGCGGGGCAATCTCTGGAACTGTCTTGTCTTGTAACAGCCCAAGACATATTCCGGTGCCCCGGGGTAGTCCATGGAGGTCGAATTCGACACGCTGGTTGTCCAGCCATGTTAGCCCTTTCGGTATTGAGTCGGACCGCATCGAGGCAAAGTTTTCCAAGGGAACGCCTCTTGCGGGGTCCATGGTGGGCTGCGGAACACGAACCATTGGGTCAACGCGGAGGTTGGGCAACATCATTAGCCGTGGTAGAGATTCCTGGTGCCGAAGATGCTCTTCATTGCAGCCGTGGAGAGTACGATATTCAATGTCCTCGATGGGCCGTAGCTCGAGGTTCGTGTCGCCTCGAATGTAGTACTTGTCGAGTTGGGTTGCGTGCGACATGTCGTGGCAAGATAATAGGAGACGGATGTGAGAGCTGAGATCACGCTGGAATGTGAGGACAGAACATGACGAGATACCAAGCTTTATACGTGCAGAACATGGCTTTGACCGATGGGCCCAGAAAGAGATGTGCGAGACCTTGGACCATTGCAATACTTTCTGTGGCGTTTGGAATCTCCCCGCAAGGTCAAAGCGCATCAGCGCAGGTACGGGTAGTGCTTAATTCAAGCGTTATCGTAGATTGGTCGTCGACCCACAGTTTGGATAATGAGAACAATGAATGCGGGCCTCGCCACATTAGTTTGAGTGAGCTGTTCAAGACTATGACATATGTGATCACCTATGTTTTTCAAGATCGGAGCGGCGGTCGTCCTTCTCAGAAGGTGAACATTGAACTCCCGGGTCATAGCTTTCTGATCCCATCACGGTCAAAGCAAAGTAGATGCGCAACGAGTGATTGACTTTGATAGAAAGCCGGTGGACGCCGTTCTGAAGCTTTGGCCTTCACCGTCAGCGCCCAGCCCCGGGAACGCTTGGGCATAATGCCCAAAATGGATCAGGTACGAGGCCTGTGCCAAATATACACAAACTCAGGCATGAGGCCGCCACCGCCACTTTTAGCCAACGGCATTTTTCCATATTTATCACGTTGCGTTTTGCAATACATAGGGTCTCGACCAAAAGCCGTCGAAAGATTCTGTTCTTCGAGGAGTTCAACTCCGGATTTATTTGTATGTAGGGACGTGATCCAAGTACAAATGTGCATATGGCCTGCTTTCAGACAAATATCTTCGAGGAAAACCATGTCAAGTTCTTTGGCTCGCCTCGCTATATACAGTATTGTCAGGATCCGCGACGAAATTGATGTTGGCGACAAAGCAATCTCCATCAGGGGAGTATATCGACACGAGATACAGTTCCTTGTAGGTAAGTCCATCTGGCGCAAATGACCATGGTTCAAGACCGGGCTTGGGCCGTTGAGTCTGACAGGCCTACGCATGATTAGATTAGCACAACCCGATATTGGCTTGGTCAAAACCCGTGCATACCGCTTGAAAATCACGATATGTGTCCACTACAGCCCGCGCAAGGTCGAGACGAGTAATCGAGACTTTATCAGGGCCATCGAACTTGGCCAGAGGTATCTCCCGCGCGAACTCGATCTCTGGGTAGGCTTGCCACTGATTATGCGGTAAGAGATGAGTCGCAGAGCGCATGACGCCACAAATCGCACATACCGCTATGCGGAAGCTAATGGACTCCCGTGGGCGTCCGTTCGGTAGCCGCAAGTAGGAAGCAACAGGGGTATCCGGTAAGAGCATCATGATGGGCATCAGAGGGTCGTGGATCCCCGCCATCGGTACGCCCACTTGGCGGGCCAACCTTTCAATGGAGAACTCGATCTTCTGCTCTATGGGGGGTCCATAGAATGAAGTGGTGGGTGCCCACGACGTAACCGGGCCCAAGCTTGGTCCCGGTCTAGGACTTTGTATGGACTTGGGTTGGTCATGTCCTCCGCCCGCGGCTGCCACTGATTCATCGTCTGTATCGTATGCGACCATATATCGCTGGGCGGGTGGCGGTGGGTAGCGCGTGTGGCCGAGCTGCGAATAGTAGGTATACGGCGCGAATTGTTCTAGCTCCCGAGGGGGCTGGTAGTATCCATAATCATGCGCGCGTTCTTTGTGCGAAGAGTTTGTGGAAAGTTGTTGCTTTGAAGAGCTCGGGACGGGGTGGTCGGACATGATGTGGCGGAAGAGGCGTGGAGAAGGCGAGACGAAGTGTGGGATGTGGCGCACCTCATCGATTTATAAAGAGGCATGCCACTGATACCACTTCAGCCACAGCCACGCGTCGTGATGATGCTATTGTGTTCACGATACAAAGCAAAGTCCAAATTGGTAACGGTGTCTGTATCATCGCCGAGCAATCGCCTAGGCTGTGATACGAGCAGATATGGAGGAGGATCGTCACTGCACTACCCCTAGCACTCAGTGCGACAGATATCGAGCTCTTGACGGCTTCCAACGGAGCTGTAAATTGAATCTACAGCCGCAAGTAGGCCACAGAGCCTGGGATAGTCCGTTCGAGTCAGCAATATAGCCACAAACAAACAGGAGCAAACACATCGTCTCTCCCATAGACTCGCATTCTGGACTCTGCAATCAACCGCGAACGGTCTTGTATGAGCGTCCTCGCTATTCCATCTCAACCTCGCTAGAACTGTGATGTGGCCGCTGTGGCAACCACCGCCTTTCTTGTTTGCAAGACATTGCGATGTGGTATTCATCTCCTTGTCAACCGTCTCGTGGGTCTTTTTTTGGTCAGTACTACATGTTAAGGGTTCTTGTCACCACTCTGAAGGCATGCCATATCAGCAGCAGGAGAGCCACCGTCGGACTTTGTCTGAAAGGTACTTTGGTTCGACTCGGGTCGAGGCCGGACTTCCCGCAAGAAGACAACAATGAGTCTTCTTCAGCCACCCACAAGCCCGGATTGATGTCGAGCCACCTGCAGGGAGCATATAAGCGGTTGTCGGTCTCCTCGTGCGTCCTTACGTCTTCTCTTGTTTCTAACCATGCCCCAAGGTCTCCACACCCAAAGCCAGTCCTCGATGAGTCGCTCTCAGCATTCTGAATATGCCGCGGATCCCAACCCTATCGCCAATCGAAGCTCCCCCGGTTATCCTCCCGCTGACAACCTTGAGGCTGGCACTCGCCAAACAGGACCTTCCCGGCGCGCCCTGTATGCGACCCGGCATTCCGCAGTCGATCCGTCTGGTGCTGATCAAACTGTGGCGCGGCGCCCTGTAGTCGATCCGGCTATCCCTCCCTGTCCAAGAAATCCTCCAGAGCCTCCGGCTTTCCTTCAAACAGCGCATGTTCCTCATCGTGACTTGACGGGCGCAGCTGTGCTGATGTTCTCCGGGGCAGGACAAGGCCACTCTTCAGAGGTCTCGTCTTACCAGGAAATGGGATCACCCCTAGATTTTAGTGAGAACTTTGAGCCCTCGTTAAGAAGACCTGTACCTCGGCCAGTCATATCAACATCCTCCGATTTTGTCGACTTACGGATGGAGCTCACGATACTGCGCGCTCGGAACAGAAGTACCGTCCCCTTACGGCGGATCCCCCAGCTGACTTATGATCCGTATGCACGTCTACGCAAAGCTGCCATCGAAATGCACTCTGACCCACGAGGCATCACGCGCAAGGATAATCAATCTGTTTCCTACGACCTCACCATGAACGCCCCAGGTACAGGCATACGTCTGTCGCTTTTCGATCCCTCTCGTATCAATGATACGGCTAAACACATAGTGGACCGGTTTGTGCCTCTCGGTATTAAAGGGTCTAAGGGTCTAAGCGACAATATCGTACTCGAGATTTCGGTCGGTCCATCTACCATCGTGCTCACGATACCTCTTACTGATATTACTCTCAGTGGCCTGGTATATCTTCATACTCCTCAAAGGTTTCTATAAGACGCATCACAGACGGACAACCTGCTAATATGCTCGACCTTGCAACAGAGGTCGTGGCAGCTTTCGAGTGCCTAATACAGGTAAGCTGACTTGACATGCATTGACCACCGCGCGCATGTACTGATCATGATTCACAGCGCGCCGAATCTCAAGTCCTTGATTCAGACGATGTACGGCCAAAGCTTGGATCTGGCGGGGTCACTCTCAACGACATATGGCTAGTGAAGCTTTATCAGATGTCGGGCCAGCATTGGTACGTCCATTTCGAAGTTCCGGAAACATTTCTTTAGTGCGTCTTCATGTTATACGTTCTCACTTGTCCTTCAAAATTGCCATTATACATCTGTCTCGTTACCATGTACATAGAGCCCTTGTGGCACGCTAGTCCAATAAACAATCCCATTGTATCGTCTACGATGGCAAAATAATCCACGGAATCTCCATCACCTCTACCCTGGAGTCAAAGCAGAGCCGCGGTAGGAATAATCAGCGTACAGTGTCGCACAACTAGGCTCACAGCTCACCTAAGAATTCCGCGGCTTTCCATAATAGGGGCCCGACATAGCAAGGCTTTGGACGAGAAATCCTTACCCAGCTTTGTTTCGTTGCGGAGCGTGACTCTAATGGCGACGTCAAGGAGCGACATGAAGTCGTGCGCCTCTAATGTGCGATCAAGCTCCGGCAAGATCTCCGCACCCAGCGTTTCGAGTACGGCGATGGCTTGCTGATTGTCCTGCAGAGGCTCGAGATCAAATGTAATGAAGAATCTCTGGAGTCCTTTAGCACTGAGATTGGCCAGCGAGCGGAAAATCCATTCGTAGTCGACAGCTGGGTCGGTGATCAATAGATTGAGATCTACGGTCTTCAGACTTGTGTTCTTTGATAGGTCAAGTTGCCTTACTGCAGTATGTGTGAGTCATGTGGCGCTACGCCGAAAGTAGAAACATACAATAGGCAGGAATTTCCGCTTGCTGCAGGAGCCCCAGGATCAGGGTCAACTTGAAATATGCAAGAGACGATGCATGACGCAGGATTCGTTGGATGCATAGGAGCACCTGACGATCCCCGGGTAGAGAGCGATCCCCATATTGGAAATCAACGTCCTGCAAGGACGAGCAAGCATTGGCAGCGGTCAAGGTGTTCATAATGCCGACGCATGAAGCTCCCCCACCTATGTAAAGGCGGGTGAGCTTTTTGGATACCGTATACTTCGAGCTGCGTAGACAGTCAACGCGGTGCTCGACGCTGAACACCAACTTTTGACAGCTGAGGTGCTGGAGCATCGGGAAAGAGCAAACAAGCCGGCGAAAGATCACAATTGAGGGTAATGAAACGTTGTGGAGGGAGAGATGTGTGACGAACTCGAACGTCGCGAGGCCAAGAAAGACGTTTGGTAGCATGTCTTGAGCACGCCAGTCCGCTGAGTGGATGGACAGCTGCCGTGTCCGCTTCCACCGGCCAGCGAGCATGATTGAGAATAAAGCGAAATGTGGTATCCGGCGATCGTGACCATGGTGTAGAGCGTGAATGCACACCTGCTCAGGGCCTTTCCACATCGTTCCTTTCTGCATAGCCAGTCGTAACACATCATCTCGTGTGTGCACAGTGATGCGCGTGGGGAGGCGAAAAAGGCTCCTTGGTCTCCAATCTCGGCACACCATGGAGCAACTCGTCAACGAGTGATAATCGCCGCTCATGTAGTCGATAATGTGCTCCCATATCTCGATGGGTAGACTGGGGATGTCCATGATCTTGACTGCGTAAATCAATACTCTAGGTCTAACGTGACGAGCCAGAGGTTGCATCAGTGGAAACCCAACTGTTCTTGTACCACGTAATGGATCTTCCTTACCTCCAGGAGCTAAGGTAATAAAAGTCGAATTTGAGCTCACATTCCTCTCATCCGACTCGATTCCAGAGACCAAGGCAAGACCGAGGTTGCGCAGGAAATCTGGGGTTTTACTGATGGCTTTCGTCAACTATCCTATCAGGGCCTGCAAACGTGCCTCGAGTCTCGACTGTACAAGGCTGGCTTTTGATAGAGAGGTTGTTTAGATCGACAAGTGAACGCAGAGCTGAAATGCGGATGCCCGAAAGGCGTGCAGCGCGGCTAAGTCCAACCAAATATAGATCTGTCTCGGTTACCGTTCTTCTTCGGTTGTCGCATACCCATCATGCCTATTCCACTCTTCGCCGTGCTTACAGGCTGTTGATCAGGATCCCCTAGGGAGTCGGGACTGGTACAGGCCTCATTATAATTTCACCGCATATCATTTGACTGGTGTTTGAGAAAATGTCTGGGATTTTGCAGCTCCGGTCCGTACGCTCTCGACGTTGAAGATGTCCCGTTTTCCTCGTAGCTTATGTCTATCATACAGGGCGGTGACACGCGCTCTCGGCGTTCAAATCCTAGGAATGTCTAGTGGAAGACGTCAACTTCAATGGACATGCATTAATGCGAATGCGAGAAAGAGGAATATCCCTGGCAGGCGGAACGTCAATCGGAAGTCGCGTCATTATCGAGCATGTTGGATTTAGCATTGGAAATTTGGGGCAATACAGCAGCGCGAGCGCTGTCTGACGACAGATAAACAACATGCAGCTTTTCAGCACATACCTGCAGAAGATCTTCCCAGTACCTCTCTTGCTGAGCATATGAAGGCTACTGGGTTCATTCCGATATGATAGGTATTGCAGGCCTGGAAGGCGAGTACCACTGACAATTGAAATGCCAACAGCGAATACACGTGAGAGAACAAGGAAGTTGTAGCAAGCGCATCACACTGCTTGGTCTAAGGCCAGACCCGACAGTCCATCGTGTCCCACGGCGCTCCTCCAGATGGCATGCTGGCGTTCTGTTATGCGGCGACTCGAGTCATTGCGCACACGCTATCTGAATGGTCCAGCACATGCGTTGACGAGAGGTTAAAAAGCAACGGCGCAGGTCGAGGATAACGCAGAGAGCGGTGTGCATCTAACTCGAAAATGCGTCCCTGCCGAGCTTCTACGGTGTGCCTTTCGACTTTGCTCACTCGCATGGAACTGCCCGACGCTCGAGATCGTGGGTCCTGGTCCGCCCTGGGCGTTCTGAACTGGATCTACCTTCCCACGATATTGCATACACGGTCATATAAATACGGTACAATGGTGCAGAGAGCAGCGTCTATCATACACAAGCAAGGAGACAACGGAGCACCGGTAGCTGAGCAAAGTAGATAACACATACGAGCGAAACACGTAGAAGGGGGCGCGAGTCACAGTACATGCAGAACGACAAACAGCAATGGCGAGAGCGAGTGGTGGTATGTACAGAATATACAGAGCAGCAATGAAAAAGCAGCATCACAGCAGCATGTGGGAGCGCGTAGCGGTGCTATACAAAGGATCGCAGTTGAGAGGAGCTGCGGGGCGCAGAAACATGCAAGTACGGGGAATACCTGCCACCTGCATCTTGCCTGTTGGTCGTCTCACCATGTGCGAGCGCGGTGCTTCTCGACAGCGCTTCGAGCCTCGCAGCCTCATTTGCCACATCAGTCTCCGTCTTCTCACTCCCCCAAGCTTGCGCGATGCTCGACTGAACCGATCTTCACCATCAGACAAATGCTCGACGATGCATGTCACGGATATATATCAATGCAGCTCAGTGTGTGGGGGAGCAGCGCGTATCGTACACAAACAACGAGATAACAAGCACAGAGAGCTGAGCGAAGTAGATCATCCATACGGGCGTGACGAGCACAACGGGGGAACAAATCGCAGTACACGCTGAACGCGATAGTGACATACCGAACGAGCAGAGCAGATGAACAAATAGCAACAGAGAGCGGGTCATAGGACAGCGCGGAGGAATGAGCTGCAGTACACACTGAACACGATAGTAGCAGACCGAACGAGCAGGGAGAACGGGTCACAGTACGTACAGAGCACACAGAACAGAAGACGAGCAGCGGCGCGAAACCCAAGAAAATAGCAATCGAACGAAAAACGACATCGGGCGAAGGGAGTCAAGGGTCAGAATCGGACCTGCGGAGCCTCCTGTCGCACAGAACGACGGAGTAATGAAGATGGACCGGGCATGTCAATCAGCACCGAGAGAGGCCAACATCCGCCCGGGGTCGCGTCTGGGGAGGACATTGGTGGGGCGTCCTGAGGGCGTGGCATAGGTATGATCGCAGGACACATGTGCGCAGATCGGGTGGTATTCAGATAGATGGAATGGCGGGATGTCGTCGAACAATGTAACAGCGCAAAAGGCATATGAGGGGGATTTGAAGAGACGTACGTGCAGGAGTTTTCGGAACGTATATGCGGGACAATGCGCGAATGTGGTAGAGTTGTGATTCGGTGAAAGGGGCCTTTCTCCGCACCCAGCGCGAATGAGGGACCCCTAGAACCCGTCCCGTTTACCTGCAGGCACCCGCCGTCAGTAATCGTATCATCAGTTCGAACTCGGTGTGCATAGTACCTGATGTCTATATCACATGACACACTATGAACAGATTATATCTGTCAAAGCTGCACTTAGGACACCACGAAGGTACTCACTACAGAACATTCCATGCAGCCAGCTTTGGTAAGCATGACTCCACCATAGCTTTGGCCCGGAGACTATCTATCGATTTATTCGCATTGGGGAAAAGTATCGCGACAAGTCCATATTTGTCAAACGTCGTTTCGGAGAGAGCAGCATTGAGAAAAGGGAGGCCGGGCCACACCTTTGTAAGGTCTGCATCGTCCATGACATTGAAGGCCACTTCGAGGTAACCAAAGTCTTCTGGCTTGGATGTGACCTGGCGAAGAAGCTCTAGTAGAAGAGCCATCCATGAACCGTCCTCGTGGGTGATATTGACTGAACAGGCAAGGTGCGAGAGACGTGTATCTGCCGAAATATCAAAGCAACATGCTGGAGGGACGGCGTGTTAGCGCGCGTAGCCTGGAAAGGAGCATGTTACGGCGCGCACCTGTGCTTAAAGTGGATGCTTCGTTGAAGAGCGGTAAGCTGTCTTGCGGGAGTACCCGGAGTGAAAGGTACTTGAGTGATTTGCCAGCGTCCTTGACAAGTCTATTGAGGGAGAGATCTATGTTCGTTGCTACACGCATGGACAGGGACAGCCAAACTATGATACGACCCAGGCGGCGACTGACACCAGATTGAATGAGGAGGTCGACGAGGTCACGCACAGACTGGGGATCAGAGCATAGGGAGAAGTCCTTGCCCAGCTCTAGAATTCCGGATACTAATGGCATGTGGGGACGCCGAGGGGCATGACTCGGGTTCAAGCCATGTGCGGCGAACGTACAAGGCCCGTTGATGATGAGTTCTTTGAGGCCGGGAAAGGCGCCAAGCAAGCGTCCAAAGGCAGCAGCCGTCGGAAGCGTGACATCGGACAAGCGCAGATGCCCGACATGTCTCCATGGAAGTGCCTTGGGGGACGGCACGGTCTGCGCTAAAAACACGTGAAGCAGCCCAGCCAAGTCCGTTGCTGGGTGTGAATGCCGATCGGGCTCAATCCACTGCAGGCGGGGAGCACGCAGCAGGCGCAAGGCGGAGAGCGTCCGGGCATCGACGGCAGTCTCCACGATCTTGACGCCATCGAGGTAGAGCGCCGACAGTTCAGGGAAGACGCAGACAACGCGCCAAAATGTCGGGATCGAAGGGAACGTCACGTCATACAGCTTAAGGTTTGTGATGCGGAAGCAGCCCAAATCGAGCAAGAGGGAACGCAGATGGAAGTCGTCCACCCGCCACTCCGCTCTCTCGATCGTCAGCAAGTGTACGCGTGACCATTTTCCTGCGAGCCTCGCAGCGAATGGCGCCAGGTGTGGAATCGGAAGCCGCTCACCATGTTGCAGTCCTCTCTCGATGCGCACTTTCCTTGGTCCCTGCCAGCGCTGCTTCAGACTGATGCTCAAAATCTCCTCCCGCGTCCTGAGTGTCATTTCGTTTGGAATGTACTTCTCCGCTGTCTCCTTCAGCAAGCCTTCGCTGACCTCTGCGCACGCTTCCAACGTATCGTATTCGCGTGCTGCGCCGAGCTCATCGATGATCTGCAACCAGATCTCCACCGGGAGACGCCGAAGCATGGCTCTTGCGAGTATGCCTGTAGAAGTATTGTCGACGGTGAGCGCAGTTGACATTTCTGTATGATGGCATTCCCATGCACCTGGCTGTATTACTGATCGCAGCCTCGGTGTCGACTCTGAAGTTGAGATCTGGGAGACCTTGGATGTTTGCGACGTCACTCCCGAACAATGGTAGGCAGCACTGCCGTCCCTACAGATGATATTGAGATGATGGTACGCCTCGGGAGCACAGAACGCGGAAATTCTGTCTCTCTGACTCACGCTATGTTTCTTGATATCCTCCGCGACGTCCGAAGCGATTTATTGATTTCTGCAGGCCTTGTATCTCGCCCTGATCCGCGAGAGGAGGTCAACAAGTGCTTGACAAAGAGACAAGGAAGAGGACGCGGTAGATTTGGGCATCCTCGCCCTCCTTGCAGAGTATTTGAGATGGTCACGAAGCGCTACCTTGGGTCCCTGCGCCCCACCTCGTGTCCTTCAATATACAGAGATCTGCATGGATAAGGCCATGAGGCTGGAACCTGTCGTGGACGATGGCGTGGAATCATCAGCCTTGTGCCCATCGTCCCGCGAATCCCGCTGCGAACACGTCCGAATATGCAATGACCCTTTCAAATGTCGCTTGTCTTCCTGTGGGCTGTCTGCTTCCGTGACGGCGCGACGCTCAGCTCAACACATCACAATTGTGCTTCACACCAAAGCTATCAATAGCCTGCTGCCTGATCCGGCAAGCATGTTTGCCAGGCGCTGAAAAGACCACTCGGGTTACCTCATGTCCATAACCTATGAAACGCTCTTGGGGAGGATGTCCCGAAACAGTAGTGTGCGATAACGGCGTAACGACCTGGACAGTGCCGCCGCTGTTCCCGGGAATGTCCATCTAGGTCACGATCCGCATATGCGGGCCCACACATTGGTGTAGACACTTGTAGACACCGGATCCTGACCCCGCATTTCATGATCAGATGTCACAGCTAGATCGATCAACGTGGTCGAGCGAAGCTCCCCCGCCATCCGTAGCTTGTATAGTCACAGTCTGACCATATGCATACGCATACGCATACACAGTGCCTCTCGACGGTGTCTTTGCCGCTGCGCTCCACTCACTCGCCTGAGACTGTGCAATGCTCGACGTCGCAAGTCTTGGTCCAACCCGCATGTCGGAGGTGACTGAGCATATATAATTTAACAGACGAATTCTCATTTCCGTGGTCGATGTTGCATGTCATGCGTATATAGATATAGCTCACTAGTTCGGAGAGCAACACTGCTTGCATATAGACGAGATGTATTGAGCGCCCCCGGGTAAACAAAGAGAGAGGAAATACGTCCAAGCGAGACGAGCAGAGCACGAGAGCGAGTCGCAGTGGAGCGCCGTAGTAGGAGACATTACAGCGATAGAGCAGAAATCATATCGTGCGTAGTATGGTCGTGGCGCGACCATAGCGATGGCTACATCGACGATCGAGGTTGAGCGGATCAGCAGGTCGAAGAAACATGCAAGTATGAGACCGCCCCTTGGCGAGATCGAACTCGCCCCCCAGTGTGGGATGGAGCGAGGGCAGACCGGATTGATGCACACCCTGGGCCGTAGATCGGCGGGACGGTGTTGTCGCCGACGATGTGAGGTGTGCATGCGCATAGAGGAGGAGAGGGGTGGAGACATCCTTGTGTAGGGGAGATCAAGCAGCGTGAGGAGAGGGCATGAGCGCACCGACAGCGCAGAATGGTAAAAGGGATACAGAAGAAGAGCGGACAGAATCTCCTGAGATGATGCAATTTGTCGACGGCCGGAAGGGATAGGCCAGCATCATTCGTCAGATGAACCTGTATGAACCTGGATGAACCCATATCGTTATCTGACAGAACAAAAAGTACGTTTATATCACTTAGCTGTGTCGGCGCGCAATAACCCATGTAATCCTCGAGCTATGACATCGCATTGAGCAGTATAGCGTCCATTGGGGTTATAGTTGCGGGAGGACCCTGTATCGACACGAACATGGTGTCGTTTAGCATACGCACAGGGAATTCAAGGATCAGTAGGATATGCCTGCAACCAGTCCATTTGAACCGCGCCAGCCGTTCAGTCTCGATGACTGGATCACCAGTTGCCCATAGCCATGATATCGACCTTGGCGGGCGTCCAGAGCGGAGAAACGACAACGGGTGTGTAGATGGCAGCCATACCTCAAGCACCTTCCAGCACCCAGAGCAGATTGCTTCACAGACATTATTCGGCTACTAAGTAAACACAGCGATGTTGCTCAAGCCGAGCTCCGGGGTTCTGCGCAATTGCAGACAGCCCGCCAATCGACTGACGGCCATGTGCTGTCCCACGCCGCTGTCTATAGGTCTGGTGTTCAGTTGGCAGCCGGGGGTCAAGCAGGGCGCCGCGCACAGAGTAGGACCGCAGACGTTCACGAGCGCATCCAACGTCCAGAGGATCCCAGTATCCTGAAACCATAGCTTTCCAGTTAGATGCCTGCCAGTGAGCGGAGCAAACTGACAGAGGCGCACCATGGTCTGATCACTCAGCACGGTGTTCCACCAAGTTTCCCCGCCAAGGTTTGTCTGTTCAGCGGATGTATAGATCCGAGTAATTAAGATCTTCTTGCTCGTTCCCATGGCCAACTAGTCCAGTTGTAACAAGGCATTGAGACGTCTAAGCATGAGAGCACAGCGACCAGACAGAGTAATTGTCCTAGCGCGTATGGGACGTGGCCGTACGGGGTATAGACCCCCAGATGGCAGCAGAAACCAGCGTCCACGGATTGTGGACGAATTTAAAGGCATACGAGGACGATTTGGCCGAGGACAACCATGTGCGTCTTGACTCTGGCAAGCGAAGATTTTCTTGCTATAACAAGGCGTTGCATGGTACAGACAGCTTGACGATTGCCACGTCGCCGACAGAAGATGTAAGATTAGGAGAAGAGCATGCGTCACACAAAAAAGAAGAGTTTTCATGGGACCTTTGCACCCGAGCTTGACAAGGAGCGACAAGAGTTGAGCACCAGTAGCGAATGAGACTGGGCGATCATAGTCACGTGCGCACCTGAAATTCACCTCCAAACGCTGCAGATATCCCCGTGCGTTCATTAGTGCATTGATCCACACTTACTGTATGTTTGCAGCGCTCGATCAATCATAGCCTTCAATTTCAACACTTGCACACTCCAAATCTTTTATGAGCTCTCAGCCAGAGCTGTCACATTCATTGATCGAGTCCGACCGTACGACTATTACCCTTAAGGATATCTATAATGTCCTCATCCATCCCAGCATCCCCACAGCCCGACGCTGAGCTCAGTCGAGTATGTCGATCTCCATGCCGTCCCGGCGAAGGAATTTCAACACGTCCAGGAGGCCCTTGCCAACGTCTCCTGCAACATGGCCAACCTTTTTCCAGTTGACGGCCTCGCTGCCTACGGCAGCAGCCGGCACCGTGCGCGCATAGAGCTCGTCGTCGAACGAGCGGGCGTAGAGCTCATCCTCGCCAAACGACCGCGCGAGGAGCGCATCCTCGTCGAAGCCCCGTGCGTAGAGCTCGGCTTGGAATTCACGTGCGAGCAGGGGATCCTCGCGCTTCAGGAACTTGAGCACGTCCAAGACGCCCTTCCCAACATCGCCCGCAATATCGCCGACCTTCTTCCAGTTCACGGCTTCGCTGCCCGCCGCTGCGGCGGGGACCGTACGCATGTAGAGCTCGTTCTCGATCGCGCGCGCGAGCAGTTGCTGGTCCTCGCGCTTGAGGAACTTGAGTACGTCAAAGACGCCCTTTCCAACATCGCCCGCAATATCGCCGACCTTCTTCCAGTTCACCGCCTCGCTACCGGCAGCAGCGGCACTGAAGAAGCAGCGTCGTGAGTCATGGCAATGTTCAATGAAGCATAACGCGGACTCACGGCTCGATTGGGCGGGCGAGGGCCGGGGCAGCGACGACGGCGAGGAGAGCGAGAGCGACGTAGGAACGCATGATAGTATGTGTTGGATTCGTAAGGGTAATCGTTAAGGTGAGGTAGCGAATGTAGTCGTAAGAATCGGAATCAGAAGGGTCGTAAGAAATGAATGCGACGAAGAGAAAACAAGCAAGGCTGCATAAAAGTGCGTGTCAGTCCTGCGTATAGACATCACTCAAGAGAGGAGATACTCACTAGCCAGTACCTGTGCCTGAGAGACTTGGGCTCGAAAGAGAAGGCTGAGAGCTGGGGTTCCATGAGGATCGATGCAGGTTTTATAGACACGCGGGCTGGCTAGGCGCGGTCACATTCGGTAAACGACAAGTCCGCCCCTTGCAACCAAGCCCCCCTCCGGGGACCTCCATACGCGAGGCTATCCCGCGATCCGTCTCTGAATCTAAAGTTAGACGGGGCTGTGAGGAAATGCGCGCCCCACTGCACTGCCGGCAGTAACAGGATGACATGTGTAGAGCAGAGAAGACCGGCGGCGCTTCAGTAGAAACTTATTTGATAAAGCTGGCTTTGTTATCGACTGTAGTCAACAACAGCTCGAACGCAGCCCTTGCAAATGGGTCAGGAGCAGTTTGGGCCACGCCATCTGAGCGAAACTTCAGGTGATCAATTCGCGCAATGCGAGAGATATCACCAGTGACGAGTAAGCAAACTGCTTGAAAGAGCGCATCCGGCGTCCTGATCCAGTCATATAAATAGCACAATTTGATGGCGCCGGTGGCGTACACTTGTGCAAAACAGGCTGATCATTTGCACTCTCGTCAAGACGCTGTCGACCACAGAGTTTCGAGATAACTCTAGCGTGCCCCTCGCCTAAGAATCAGACCCTGTTCAGCACATGAGAGAGTTGAGAATCACCCGAAAATAACTGCTGATGCAACTCACCAAAGGCGTCCACATTGCGAGTAGAATCGAGACGCCGATAAGCAAATGATCTCTCCAGAGAGGCTCTCCTGGCGAGATGGGAACGAAGATTGTGCCACGCTGTCAGATGCCGACCGCGAGGGATGTATCACCATCTCCATCAGTTCCAACCCATGGAAGAGAAAAATATCGAGCTCGACCAGCCACGACCGAAGGACGAGGCCCGCGCTTAGCCTTGATTGAAGCGCCCGGAGCTCACGAGGGCACTCGTTGACAGGGGTTCCAGTAGCAGCGCCGGAAACGAAGAGCATCCTCTCAGTGATTGACGTTCCGGTGACATGTCTCTGATGTCTGCAAGAAGGGGTGATGCACTTGCGGCTGTGTTGTGACATGGGCTGTAGATGACTAGGAATAGAACAGGCAGCTCACCTGCGTCCTAAACATAGCTATCATGTCAAACAACTGTTTCCACCACAAGATCCAGACATCCCGCCAAGAATAGACTTGCACCAAGACACACGTGTGTGGCTGAAGATGAGACGGGTCGCCGTGCAATCGCCCCTAGAAGTTGCAGTACGATCTCGATAACAGGTATAGTCATTCCTCAGAGTGTGATAGGGTAATAGCACTGGTTTGCACTGCTCGCCCAATATGAGTCACGATCTTTCGATGTGATTTCAAAGGCATCACACTGTCCTTCGGTGCGGCGTATTGTTATCAACAATGAGGGATGATTGGGCTCGACCAGCTTGAAACAAAGGACAATAACAGCGGCACAGCTAGAAGGGAGCAGACTCACCAAAGAGCAAGTCCAAGAAGAAGAGGACGTCATCACTTCGGATTGGATCAGTATAATCACGTGCGCTGCAATTGAACCGTCTACACTGCCAGAGCTTGGTCCCGAGTCTAACCTGAGTTCCCACGCCACGGGGTCACCCGGAGTCCCCGGATTGGGTTTAACCCACGTCCTCTTGGCCCCTCGCCCATCCGCCCCGATCCCGACGTCAGCTCAGCATAGGAAGTCGGGGAAAACCCAAAGCCCGCAAGCATGGGGCCGGCGCTAAAACTCCCTCAGGCCATGGATAGGGGCCACCCCACCCTTGGCTTGCATCCGCCCTTGTATATATTTGCTCCTCTGCCCTCATTTTCTCATCACTCTTATTCTTGTCATCCTGCGTGTCGCTCGTCCTATGCTGCCAGTCCTGCACACAGTTGCACCCGAACCTGTGCAGAGCCTATTGGCCTCGAGATGTACGTATCCGAGTTCACACCAGCAGACACTGATGCCCTTGAGGTCACAGTCATGTGACCTGGGTAACACATTGTGACTGTGCATTTGCCAGCGTGAGTCGTCGTTTTTCTTCCTCAACTCCCTGCACCTGTGGCTGACTGGTTGTCAATATTCAAAGGTGCGGGACACTTTGAGGAGGTGAGTACATGATATTGACAAGACTGACAAGACTGACATACCACTGACAAGAGCGATGCACTAATCATATACTGACAATACTGATGTCCCAACCTACTGACATCCGAACTTACTGACTTACTGACATACTGACCTACTGACCTACTGACTACTAATGTCGCGACTTAGGGTCAAGCGACTGGGGAAACACAGACAGAGGATGCTGGGGGCGTTCGACTGGGTCTTACCGAAGCGATGGTGAGCTTACGCTCAAACCTAAGGCTAGGGACAAGATGATATATTAGTTAGTGAAGTAAAGAAAGGATACAAAGGAAGGCTTACTGACCTAGGGACAAGAGGTCGAAACTGAGGTCCCTAGGGCAGCAGAGGCTGGCTTATATACAGGGGATGTTTAGAGGAGGCTGTGTGATACAACGGTCTACACTCCTATATTGATGCCTGACTCGTAGACGACGAGCGAGGACTTATGGACAGTGCGTCGTCCTGAAGATCGAGCGAGGAAGTCGAGAATGACCACTACCCCAAGCAAAGAGGAGCAGAGACTTGAATGAATAACCAGGTCGAACTTAGGGTTCGACCGACTAATGGTACAACTACTTATACAAGTACCGACTGCGCACGGACCATCGTGTCTATGTGGTCGTGTTAGTGAAGAAAGAAACGTAGTGGTACGATACCAGGCACGAAGTGCGCACGGACCCCATTATGTAAGCTACATAATGTTCAACCTGCGGGTGAGCGCTAAGACAGGCGCCAGTATGGGCGCTAGTAGTACAAGGAATAGAACGGAAAGACAAATGTTTCATTACCCCCCTACCAGAGTCGAAGTCCCATTCGACTACTTACTGCTCACCATCTCCATACAACTCCCAATCTACGCCGTCGTCCTCCTCTTCGTCGAACCACTCCTTGCGCGCGTTCCTCCCTACG